TATTCATTTCTCCACAAATAAGTGTTGTTCATAGTATGAACGTGCAAAATTACAAAATAATTACATCATTCTTGAAAAATAACTAAGTGTGCTTCTAGAAAGTGTGCATCTTGATAAAAATAAATATATAAATAATTAGTAAATACGAGTAATAAATTGTAGAGGAAAGATTCAATTGTGAGCAAGTGGTTGATCAAATATCGAAACGTACATGTGTTATCAGAATGGTAAGGGATAATAATTAAGTTTGATTTGGGATCATCAACCATGTGAACAATCAAATAGATGCTTGAACCAATGCCGCACTTGTTTTTATACGATATGAAGCATTAAGATTTACGATTGATCAAAGTCAATATTGTGATGGATGGTTCCAATGCAAAAATAATAAGCTTTATACATTGAACATGTTTCTTTTGATTAGAGAAGTAAATTACCAACAACATAAAATGTGCTTCTAGGCTCTAAACATTATTGAACTTGTACTTGATCTCTTCTCTTTTCTTTTCACTTTCTCACTCGGAATAATTTTTAAAGTGCTTATTTTGCCAATTTTAGCATAACTTGCACAATCAAAATTATATCTTTGTCCATATATTAGATCCTTGTACATGGTACAATTAGTATTCCGATAAAATTCTCTTACAATTTCATAATCTTAAGTGATTAATATAGGATCTACTAGCTTGTTCGACGAGTCAAAGCAACATGTACGCAGTAACCTTAACCACTGTAGAGATGATTCCGTAAATAATAGTAGACGCTTATCATTATTAATTACAAAACACAACCCTAAATGTTTTTATATTGTTAAACAAATCTTATAAGATATCATTCTTTTAGATTTCCGCTAAAACAAATTAAAAAATCATACCCTATATGGCTATACGATCATAACCCTAAAATCTTGGAAACAAAATTAGAAACTAAAGATTTTTGTTTCTTAGAGAAAATGATGAAAAATGTTGAAAATTTTGGTTGCACATGATGTGTTTGATTGTGTTGCTTAATTTTCGCCGAGGCTTTAAAGTTAAGGTCGTTAAGCAGTAATTTGGGATCATTAATCAAATCATATTGATCGATCAATAAGGATTGTACTTCCCTAGGTAATTGCTGCTTAAGCTAATCATATAGGAAGACCTTTATTTCCCCTTCCCACATTTATTAAACTTATTAAATTAAACATGAATTTCAACTTGCTATGTTTCAACTTGTCATTAAATTAACACAAAGACAAGTTAATTATAAGAATCATTTAATGGCCCATCGTCCTTTGACCTTTGACTAAATTAACCATCCCTTTTTGGTTAATGTCAATTGAGTTGGAAGTACTTATATGGTACATCATGACTTCTATCATAAACCCGGCCATCCGAGCAACATGTTAATATTCACACGTTATCTTGCCATTGTCGCCGGTATATCTTTCTCTAGGCAAATTTTAAGTGTATTGTAAAATTGGCAACACTAGCCTAAATGTTTATATAGTATTGAAACTTTATCTCCAAACACGTGTTTTTGTTCTCAAATTTCCATTACCTGAGTTGATAATGTATGATAATAAGCATTTATGCAAAAAATGTGGTGAATAATTGGGATAGATTGACTCACATTACCATATATGATGATTAATGAAGTAGGTTTTCTTTACAAATTTACACATAAACTCGTTGTCATTCCCACGACTTATAATCACTTACCAAACGAACATAATCATGTATGTTGTACACTTGGGTATTCCTAGAGAATTCCACTTTATTGACTTTTCGTGCACTTTAAACCTGTTAACAATGCTAATTAACTTAATTAAAGGAGGATAAAACTCTTTAATTAAACTGTATGTCTACATCAGCAAATTAACATTAGGGCAGATCACATGATTAACCTCATTTTTGCCTTCTCCTCCCCCTTAATTAAAGATTAAAACTTCACCAAATCATCTTATAGATAACGGGCGATTTGGGGAAGATATGTACCTATAAAAAAACAACAATAAGGAAATAATATAATTACTCTCTAATCAATGATTAATCAACTTTTATAGGACGGATTTCGTACTGCATTAAAATTGATAAAAATGATAGTACTACTTCATAATAGAAGTACGTAATACTACCAAATCACATTATCACATGCTAACAATAATAACCCACCTTAAACATTTTGTTAATTAATAGGGACTATAATATAGTCTATTATATAATTGTATGTAGGTCTATTATTATTTATTTTGATTCAATTGGTTGTTTATTTAATTGTTAATAATATTATCAATTCACGGCAGGATAGTAAGGAGTTCTCACATGGAACCCTTTCTATTGCCATTTTCTCCACGTTCTTCAAAGCAATTCCCCAAATTTCTGATGTCTCTATAAAACAATTGTGTTATGTGCATGTACGTATACTTCTTCGTCTACTTGTACAAGAGAGGTGGAGGAATTAGTTGGTGGTTTATTGTCAATATCAGCGTGAATAATGCTAGTTTGGACTATCACGAGGTATTAGATCACCTTAAGTTTTATTATTTGACGATCATGCATAATTCTCAACCTCCAACTTGATGAAGAGTAGTAGAAGGTTTGAAGTGTACGTAGTATTTGTTTTTTTGGATGAATGTAATTATGTAAGGTAGCAAAACCAACAATAACACATTGGGTATGCCTCGAATGAACAAGATGCTCAAAAGCGGAACAACACTGGTTTATTAGTCACTAATAGAGAGTAGTGGTAGCTAATAAGGTACAATTATTTTATCTACGGAGCACAGTGAAGTATATTTTAAAGTTATATTAGCGGTGAGTTATCTATTCAATAGGTAGATGTAGTAATGTACGTTTTTCCATATACATATACACATATGTGCATAATTATTGATAAAACAACAATAGCATGTTTAGGCATGCATTTAGCCACATTTTGACTTTAATCATAGTAAGTTTTACCATCAATGCAGATTTGACATGTAAAAAGTTGTTCACCCACTTACCCACTGCTCACAGTCATCGTATTGCTTGTTCTAACAGAAGTTATTCATAGCATAAGACAATTCACATATTATTGGCATACTATGTTAATAAATTATAATAACATAAAGTCAAATAGTCAATCTTATAAAAAGTTAATCAAGGATAATTAAGGTGCAATTTGAGATTAAGTAGAAGTAATAATAATGAAAGGATAGATAATAAAATATACAAGTACATCTTTAAAAGTCGGAATGTTTATAATTCAATATACAAATACGAAGTATATATAAGCGAAGCTTAGAACCAATTCAATACGACTACTTGTATACGTATCTATATCCGTATCGTAACATTACCTTTGTGTATATGTTCAATTCATCATTGTTTAATAAACGACAACAGAGTCACGGGCACCAATGCAAAGAAAAGGGAAGAAATATAAGACTCGTACTACGAACATGAAATCAAGAAAGAGAGATTTGCGTTTGATGGTTTTTGACTGTTGAAGTAGTTACTACATACTATAATAAGCTTATAATTAATACAGCTCCTGGTATGAAGGGAGGCATTTTACCTTGTATTCCGGGGAACTATACATCTGTTATATGGTAGTTTTGCTGCAGCTAAATTTAGTTACACTCTGCTGCCTACTCAAAATCTACCGGTTTACATATATTAACTATTAAGCATTTAATAATATCGAGTAGCTTTTTAAATTGATATCCCGTATAATTAATTTAGAAATACATGAAAATAAACCTATTAAATATAATGAACGCTGATTTAAATTAGTATTTTACTTTTTATTTTCTTATATGCAAACCTAATGACGTATGTATCATTGTTTGTCTAAGTTAAAAATTATGGTTGTGTTTGGTAACTAGCTTATTTGAGCAAAATTAGCTTATTTGACCAATATTAGCTTATTGACTATTAAATAAGCTAATTCAAGGTGTTTGGTGGAAAACTTATTCAAAGGGCTTATTCCACTAAATAATCTATTTTTCAAAAAGCTCCTTTTAAGAACTTTTTCAATTAGCTTATTCAATATCTTACGGTTAAGTGACACTTATACCGGCCCCTATTTAAATTAAAATCCAACTACAACTACCTACCCTTACTATTAACTTATTGGTTATTTCACATACTGAAACAACTTTAAGCAATCAGCTATTTACCAAACACTTTTACACAATCAACTAATAAAATAAGGTAGTCAAATCAGTTAATACAACCAGCTAATCAAAATCAGTTAATACAATCAAGTTCAGCTTTCAACTTTTCACCAAACACGATCTATAATTAATATACCGATGAAACACATCATTACCATACGTGGTTAACCGAAATAGTCAGATAAATACGAAGTAGTGTTTAGTGTAGAGTGTATAGTGTGGCGGTTAAGGATAGGTTAACTTTTTAATGAAGTTTTACTGTACATTTGTTTGTTTTGTATTTTTGCTACCTAATGCTTGTTTCTTCTTCGTTCTAAAGTTGGTTCACAATTTCAACCATGTCGATCTTTCTTGTCTAAGATTAATTAATTTGGTTAAAGGCAACTAAGTCAAATTACCCTTCCCCTTCAATTAAATAATACACTAACCCTTTTTTCTGCCTCATGAAGATAGCTAGTCAAAGACAGTAACATTATGGGGAAGGGCCTCCCAATTGTGTCGCTCATCGAAACAACCATTATATCAAATTTCATGACATATATTATGTGAAAATTAGTTAACTTTTGACTTTATGAAAAATAAGATTTCTTACGTTCATTCGAGTATACTTATCTCTATTTTTGTCCATTTGATATTAAATAGACAAAAAATATTAAATTAGTATAAAAAATACCCTTAGTTCTACCTAACTCTAAGTGCATCCGAGTGTATATAAGAATTTTAAATGAAAATTAGAAAATAAAGATCTGCTAGCTAGAAGCAGTAAATAACGTCATGCACTCATACTTTCATCACCTCGATGATTCAATTTAACCCCTTAAAATAGGTTTTAATTAAAAAGACTACAAAGTCTTTTTTTTTTTTTTTTTTAGCTACAGTTACATATTCCAAAACCTCTTGTTTTACTAAAATACTAAAGCTTGGTGCATGGTCCTTTAGGGTCTGTGACTCTGTGGCACCAAGCCACCAAAGGCCAGGGTCAAATTTGCTAAATTTGAGATCAATAAACAACATTATTTAATTGGAATCATCAGTTTCTAGTTTTCACATACGTAGTACAAAAAATTTAATTTAAGAAACTAACATGAATTAGAATAAATCAACCATCAATCAAATTTAACTTATTATTTGCGGATAGAGGTAGCATTATTTTCGATAATGTATTCAACATCTATGTTCAATAAATTATTTTAGCAATTTTTTTTTAAAAAAAAAAAAAAAAAAAAAAAAAAAACGCAACAATTTTTATAAATGAAATTATCTAAAACAGCCAATATGGAAAGAAAGGAAACATACCTACCTAGGGGAGCCAACTGTCTAGTTGTTGAAAAATCTGGAAACTCCATTACATCGAAATTCTAAATTAAACACCCCTGAATGATTTATTCGACTCTTGAGGCAGTTGCAACACCAACTAATTAAACTAAATAAAACTTCCACTCTCTCAAACTATATAATAACATAAAAATATACAATTTTCAATAAATAAATATAAACTATAGTTTAGCTAGTACTCTAGTAGGTATATTATTTTATTTCTTTAAAATATTCAAACAAAAATAAAAAATTCAACCCCTTAACCCTTTCCATCCCCTTTAAATTGCCCCCTAACATAGTTGCTTCACCAATCATCCCCTCATCTCACTTTTTGAAAAAAAAAAAAAAACAACAAAAAATATCATGGATTCAAAAAAATCCAACAAAATTAGAGATATAGTGAGGCTACAACAAATCCTCAAAAAATGGAGAAAAGTAGCTAATGCATCTAAAACGAACACAATTACCACCACTACATCACCAAACACGGCCTCGGCCACTACCACCACCACTGCGAGCAATGGTGGTGGTAGCAGTAGTGGAAATAAAGGCATAAAATTCTTAAAAAAGACACTTTCATTTTCAGACAACTCTGTTTCAGGAACAGAGTATGTTCCAAAAGGTTACTTAGCAGTTTGCGTAGGAAAAGAGCTTAAGAGATATGTGATTCCAACAGAATACTTAGGTCATCAAGCATTTGGAATATTGCTAAGAGAAGCAGAAGAAGAGTTCGGATTCCATCAAGAAGGTGTCCTTAAGATCCCTTCCGACGTCGCGGTGTTTGAGAAGATCTTACAGATGGTACAGCATAAGAGAGAAGAGTTTTACTTCCATGAAATGTCTCAAAGTTTTGAGTTTCATGCATCTGATATTGATGTTATGAGTTCTACTTTGAGTGGTTGTTGTTCACCTGATTGTGATCAAATTCTTCAGCCTTCCCTTCCTCAGTTGTGCAGATGATTTTACTACTAATTAAACTTTTGGTTATGATTTTTTCATAAATTTTAGCCATTTTTTTTTTTGTTGGGTTTGTTTGCCCTTCCCTATTACTACATTTTTGTTGGAAAAAAAAAATGTATGCAAGGGGAATGAGGTAGATTTTTCTCATTAAAACAAAACAAATTTGTTCTGTTTGTAATGGTTGATTAGTTTTTAATAGATCAGTCATTCATCTATCATTAATTCATTATCGTTTTTTTCATATTGTATTTATGTTAATATTATCGCACATGTTTATTTTCACGCATAAAGACGGGAAAATAGATTTTGACTTCAAAATAAATATTCCGTAAACTTTACCAGGTCATCTAATTGACTCAAGCTCTATTATTTGATACCAATTCAGTTGTATTTTCTAGGAAGTAGGAACTAGAATTTCATTTGAGAAACAGATTTATTTCTAGAAGTATTGTAATTAATTCCCTTCATTTGCTATCAATCAACAAGCCGTGATATATGATGAGATTTGAATATTTTATTTTGATTGAGAATTGTCCTCTAATTTGTCCTTTTATTCTAAGGAATTATAGTAAAATTAAGTTGTACATTTTTATTTTATGGTATCCAATCATAGATTATGGATTCAGAATATGGTAATCATGTTGTAATTTTCTTAGAAAACACTATAAGACAATTTTCCCATGATAGTCGGGAAGCAATAATCAAACTTTTATAGGGAATAACAAATGTTTAATCTTTCTGCTTTAAGTTTGAATGATTTAAAAAAATATAGCTTTTTAAAAACTTATTTACAGTTTTGCGTTGGAATGAAACTTATTTACGAAAATACAGTCCACGTAAGCTCGGTAATACATTTGGGGTAATTTTTCTTTAGAGACAAACCGCTACCTTAAGTAGCGGTTTTAGTACATAATTAAGTTTGATTCCGACGTAAAAGCGTAAATAAGTTTTAAACTAACCATACTTTTGTAAATCATCCCTTTAAGTTTACCATTATTTTTTATTCTTGTTCAAATAGACAAATAAGATCTAAAAAAGAGAGTATATGTTGAAGTGTGAAGACCTTAGATGGATCAATAAAATCTACCCTCCTCAAGTGTTTCCTTTATTATAAATATACTACCTCCGTTAATTGTTATTTGCGATTTTGACCAAAGTTGCAAATAACAATTAACTAAAATTTTATTAGGAGAGCTTAGTTTAAATTTCAACTGATTTTACAACTATAGAAACTATGTTAATGCAATAGAGGCATGGGTCAACTTAGTTAGAACATAGTGTAAAAACGTATACTCATTTTTCTTGGTATCTTTTTAGCATAATCAGCACGTGCACACACTTTTTATTGTCTAAACCTTAAACCTTAAATAATTCAACATTTTTAAAAGTGAACCATAATACATTTGGCTCAAGCTATTGATCCAAGATTATATTATTGATCATTTACAACAAATTATAGTACTCCATATAAGCTAATAAGTGAACAACATGAATTATTTCCATATCAGAAAGTCAGAATTAATAATAAATAAAAATAATAATTCATGAAGAAAGTGCATGCACGATACAAATCAACCATCATGCTTAAAGTAATGCAAGCTTATACAAGCAATTAAGTATATTCTCACCCCATAAAACAAGCAATTAATAATTATAACATAATTATTTTGTGGTGCAAATTAATAATAACTTAATAAATGAGTATACAATATAAATATATACATGTAATTTCCTTATTATATTAAATTAAATTGAGAATAGGACGCAAAGTTGCACATGAGCATCTATTCAGAGAAGTAGTTATTATTGCCTATGCAAAGGCAGGCTGTTATGCTGCAATGCAGGCATAGTGGACGTGGTAACTCATCAATTTTATTTTTCTGTTTTTAATATTTACGGCTTTTATTTTTATGCCTCATAAATATACTACTAGTATAACATCAGCTCACATGCAGCTCATACGTTAACTGCTCTCTTTTCAACCGAAAAAAACATTTGGGCCCCACTATTCATGTGGACCCAACTCTTTTTTTATATTTAATTTTTTTTTTATAATTTCGATTTTTTAATAACAATAATACGGAGTACAATACTTCCTCTATTTTTTATAAGTTGACACATTTTATGTACGTTTGCCAACGCATACTTTGAAATGTAAATATCTTTAATTGAGTATTAGCAAAAATTATAAAATTTTGATATTTGGATACTAGACGTTGAAACGAAACTAACAAGACCCACATGACTATGTTTTTATCTAACATAAATCACAAAACAAAGCCAAAATAAGTTATGTGAATAGTGTACATAGTCAAAACTTGTCAACTAAAAAAAACGGAGGTAGTATAAGGATAAGCTCTGCTCGATATATTTCATTTTAATAATAGTATTGCGAGTATAAGGTGTATAACATTAGAACTTCTTGAAGGATTTTAATGTACGAATTGAAATAGCTAGAAGTAATTTATGCATTATTTTAGAATGTTTGAAAAACAATGTTTATGTTTCTTAAATTAATTTTTTTTATTATTATTTTTTTTATGCAAATGTTTCTTAAATTAGTAATGATTCATTAACTTGTTTTGACTTTTTTCCAAAACATTCATACTAATTATATTAAGATTGAGTAAGATTGACATAAAGGAACAAGTACTAAACTACTATAAGTACACTATTAGAAATAGGCTGATCATCAACAAAACATTCGTTGAATTTGCTTGTTATTGTAAAATCAAAATATGACTTGATCTTATAATAAATTATTACTTTTTGTATAAAATTTTATTACATTGCACTATACTTGTAATTTATAATATCATGTCATGTTACTAACAACTATTTCAGGTGGTCATGACGGGGGGTAAAGATGGGGAATCGTCGAAGAAATCAAAGGGGAAAGGTAAAGCTCCAATGGTGATCGACTACTCCGACGAAGAAATGGAGGAAGCGGAGGCACATGATTTGGGTGCCACTAAGGAGCCCGCCTTCAGCCAACCACGAGATCAGATACAGCAGCATTCAGAGTTGCCGGTATTAGACCCTACTACGCTTTGGTACGTACGTACATTTAATGATTTGGACTTATATTCTTAAGCTCGAAAAATTAACCTATTTATTACGTCTAACAAGTTCTACATTACTTTTTGTTGATGATCATCTAACATTGTTGTTTCTCGTTTATTGTAGGTTTGATGATAACAAGGTGAGGAGTGCGGTCTCTGGTACGCTAGCTAGATACTATCGAGACCCTTGGAGGAATTTTGGAGAGGTTAATGAAGGAACGAAACAACACTGGTGGAACTTGTTCATGCTATTTTTAACTTAGTTAATACATGTTTTATTAAGTGTATTGATGGAGTTGAGTTTATAACTTTTAAAGTTTATCATTCGCAGAAACAATACACATGGGCACCTCAATTGAACGAGCATGTGAAGATCACTTTTGAAAGGAAGTTTGCAACTCGCCTACGTGACATGTTCCACACAGTCACACACAAGATGAATGGCGCCAAGCCAGGCTGGCTCAATAAGGAAGTCCACAAGAAGATGATGGACATTGTTGCCACAGATCCGACGTATAAGAAGCGGTTGGCCCAAAATCGGAAGAACAGAAGGGGCGGTTCGATGGAAAATGCGGTTGAACCAACCCATTATCAGGGTTCTATGTCAGCTATCCAACATGCAAAAAGGATGGTAAGTTTGTTTAATAGGCAAGTAAAATAGAAGGCATTTGTGTATTACAATGTAATGGTGGTGTGACATTTATAACGATGATTTTTTGCATGTATAATCAAAGGCGGAGAAGAATCAAGGCCAGTTACCAACAGCTCCTGAGCTTTTTCTGAAGACGCACTTCAAGGATGTGCCTGGGAAAGGCACAGTGCCAGCCAACACCAAAGCAAAGCAAATTGCGGTAAGAACTTCAATATAACTTAGAATCTAAACTTCAATGATTGATTTCATGATAATGGGCAAAGTAGAAGTCATTTAGGCCATACTTGGATGAATTTGGATGAAAATGGTTCCTAAAACTTAATTAATTGGTTTTCTTTTGTGATTTCAAGCTCTAAACACCTAAAACTACCTATTATTGACATGTTATGAGAAAGAAAGAGTTCATTTGGTAAGAAATGTAAAAAATGGGCAAAGTAGAAGTCATTTAGGCCACATTTGGATGAAAATGGTTCCTAAAACTTAGTTAATTGGTTTTTCTTTTTTTTTTTTTTTTTTTTTTTTGTGATTTCAAGCCCTAAAAACACCTAAAACTACCTATTATTGACATGTTATGAGAAAGAAAGAGTTCATTTAGTAAGAAATGTAGAAAATGGGCAAAGTAGAAGTCATTTAGGCCACATTTGGATGAAATTGGATGAAAATGGTTCCTAAAACATAGTTAATTGGTGTTTTTTTTTTTTTTTTTTTGTGATTTCAAGCCCTAAACACCTAAACTACCTATTATTGACATGTTATGAGAAAGAAAGAGTTAATTTGGTAAGAAATGTAGAAAATGGGCAAAGTAAAAGGCATTTAGGCCATACTTGGATGAATTTGGATGAAAATGGTTCCTAAAACTTAGTTAATTGGTTTTTTTTTGTGACTTCAAGCCCTAAACACCTAAAACTACCTATTATTGACATGTTATGAGAAAGAAAGAGTTCATTTGGTAAGAAATGTAGAAAATGGGCAAAGTAAAAGTCATTTAAGCCACATTTGGATGAAAATGGTTCCTCAAACTTAGTTAATTGTTTTTTTTTTTTTATTTTTTTTTTTTGTGATTTCAAGCCCTAAACACCTAAAACTACCTATTATTGACATGTTATGAGAAAGAAAGTGTTCATTTGGTAAATGTAGGAAATGGGCAAAGTAGAATTCATTTCGGCCTTACTTGGATGAATTTGGATGAAAATGGTTCCTAAAACTTAGTTAATTAGTTTTTTTTTTTTTTTTTTTTTTTTTTTTTTTTTTTTTTTGTGATTTCAAGCCCTATACACCTAAAACTATCTATTATTGACATGTTATGAAAAAGAAAGAGTTCATTTGGAAAGAAATGAAGAAAATGGGCAAAGTAGAAGTCATTTAGGTCGTGTACTTGGTTCTATTTTGTTGAAAATGCTTACTTTAACTTAGTAAGGTGCTCCTTTTCATATGTATATCTTGTAGGAGGCCTACCAGAAGAAAATTGAAGAAACAAGCACTCAAGGGATTCGGAAGAGTCCGAATGAGTTGTACTTCGAAACTGTGGGTGGTCGCAACAAGAAGGGTCGTGTGAAGGGACTTGGCCAAAGTGCACAACTCTACTATGGCAACAAGATGGGTTGAGTTTCCACGTCTTCACAGCAGTACACGCCTTCCGTTGTTTCCCAGATGCAGGATCAGATGGAGCATAAGGTGCAGGCTCTTCGCAGTGAAATCCGGAGTGAACTAGAAGTCGAGATGGAAGCCCGATTTGAAGCCCAAATGGCCGCAATAGAGAGGAGAAACCAGGAGAAGTGGGATGAGTTTATGCGTCGTTTCCCCAACGACACATGTTCCACCATTCAATCTCAGAGTCGAGACCTCAGGGACGACTCGGGTAGTGGCGGTGCAGGGTAGGGTACTCCGGCTACAACTTAACATTTGTGTATGTAGTATGTACATGTACTTAATTTGGATTATGTTTTATGGTTGCACACAATGTATATATATATCCATTGTGTGAACCATAAAACATAATCATGAATTTAATTTTATCTTGAATTAGGTGCAGGAGGTATAGGTTTCGAATGGTGGTAATTCCAAAAAAAATCGATTAATTTGTTAAATTAGCAGGATAAATTCCGACGGAATTTTTAATAGTATTTTCCATCGGAAGCAGGTTTGTTACGACGGAAAAATAATCCGTCGGAATATGGCGACGGATTTTCAGAAGCTTAATTCCGTCGGAAATCATATATTTTACAAGGGAAAAAAAATCCGTCGGAACGTTGCGACGGATAAATCCGTAAAGTGTTCGGACGGATTATTTTTCCGTCGCAAAAAACAGACCTTTCGACGGAAATAATCCATCGGAAACTTGTATGGTTACGACGGATTTTTCCGTCGGAAGAATTCAGTCGGAAAATTGCGACGGAATCTCAAATTAAGTCATATTATGCGCCGACGGATTTAAATACGTTGGAATATGATCTTCCAACGGAAAATCCCTCGGAAATAGTCGACATTCCTACATATTGTTTCGCGACAGAACATTCTGATGGAATTCCAATGGATTTTTTCCGTCGGAATCAAGCTGTTTTCTAGTAGTGCTAGTTCATATATTGAAAAACAATTTAGACAAGTTAACATAATGAGCATATCAGTTTGTTCATATATTTAACACCCAGGTGTAATTATACAATCAATTCGCTCCCTCACATTTTTCTCACTCCCTCTGTACTCACAAGACCATATACAGGAGAAGGAGAACATAAAAGGGTGTAACACTAAATCCGATCCAAACATAAGATAAATTCGTACGGAATACTATTATAATATGTAACAAGCTCATATGTGGTCCAATCTTATAAGCACATCTACACTTGCCACAAACCATAAGCAACGAGCAACGGCTAAGTCAAAAGCACTAAAGCAGCTGCTGCGCCATTCTGATTCTCTTATTGTACGTGCAAATAAACTTCTGCAAAACAAACTATATATACTTAAACAACTTAAAACCCACATACTCTGATATAACTTCCATCTTTGGAATATGAACATTTTATCCATAATTTGCATGACGTGTAACATTCACAAAGTTGTAACAGAACATGTGTAACACAAAGAAAGCAAAACTCGTATTGTAACATTTAATTCGTTCTTTCCCAAACACCAGTGGATAATAATCCTTAGTTCCTGGCCTGAGTGTGCATGTGTGTACATACGTACGTTTTCCTGCAAATTTTATGCTTTGAAATGCTTTACTTTCCCAATGTTTTGCTGATCCATCTTGCAGTAGATTTTTATTCAATTGAAGTTCCCAGGCCATATGCATGCACGGTTAATCTTCGATCTGCCAGGGATAATGTTTTTATTATGGACTAGCCGTTTATCTTTTCTGTAGATCAAGTGTACCTACATATTTCGATCACCTAGACCAGTTATAGAGAATCTGTTAGATTTTGACTAAATTAAAATTTAAGTAGTCATATCAGATTTCTTACAGTCAATAGATGTTAACTGATACATTATTCTCGAGATTTGAAAGTGAGACATTTGATTAAGCTGGAGTCAAGCTGATCCAATAATTTGTTGGCTCGATTTTTATAATAGTTGTTTTATGATTGTATAGTAGCACATGCATTCATGCAATACGTCATCCTTTGAAGTAAGAAACCTTAGCTTAGAAGTGTTTAAAAATGGTGCCCACTTCATGCACACGTATATGATAGGTTAAGGTAAGTGGTGGTTAAAGTTAAGAACCAATTAAATGAGTGAAATTAAAACCGACATGGTTTAATAATATTTGAATGCATTAGTATTTTTTTTTTTTTCAGATGATATTTATGACTTTTACGTTTTGTAACATAATATTCAGCCATGCAGCATAAATCATGGTGCTATTATACAATTCGCCACACATCCATAGAATTGGGTTTATCGTTTTCAGGTCATGCATGACTATACCCGTGCGAGACTTGGATAAGTTTTTCTTTTCCTTTACCCCTTTATTTAATAAATCCACTAAGTTATTTATGTACTCTATTTATCCACAAATAATTTCCGAATTACTATTGTTTTAGACTGTAAATGGAAACATATTCGTCTATTACTGAAAATGTAGTTACTTCTGATTATAATTTAGCTAATAATAAAAGTTAAGGCCATTGTTTTTCAAAAAAGTTAAAGCCATTGGTCAGTTGCTGAAAAAAATTGTGAGGGTGAGTTAATCTCTTAAACTTGTTCCCTCACAACTTCATATCATGTTAAATTGGCTATATTCTCGTTTATATATATATATATAGTTGTACATATTTCATACAAATTAGTACATACTTCAAAAGAAATTTTGGATAAATGAAAAACAAAAATTGGCGAATATGATGTTACATAATACGTGCTATTTACTATCTTTGTTCCTTTTTTATCCATCCTTCACATTTATTGTTCATATAATCAAAGTAAAGAAAAACTTTATCACATTTTTTATGTATAAAAAAAATTAGGTAAGATCATGTTGTATGTCAAAGCATATACTTCGTATATATAATGTTTCAAAAATATCAATGTTTCATAAACTTTCTTATATCTAAAAGATATTAATGATACAAGTTATACCATCACATAATTTAATGCATACTAGGTCATATATATACTTTGTATAACATATACACTCCCAACTATGTAATTAATTAACATCCCATCTTTGCTCATATTCATTTATCTTTTCTTCCTTTAATCATTTTAGCTCCTAGGCTCCTAGCTTAAGAATGAACTTCCTCCTTATAAATCAAGTAAACGTCGTAACTAAATTTTTGTTTTAATAAAATGGAATTATACTTGTACACGATTCAAACAACTAGGATATAAATATTGAAAGAACATGTAAACCTTTCGTTTTATCCCTTGTGCAATACACAAAAGTATGCGATAAATATCATTTGCTTAGAATTAAAGCAATCCATGGTTTCATTGGTTTGAGGAGCTACAAACAAGATGGAGCATATTAATGCAATGAATTTTTTAAATGAACTTCATTACTCCCCCTGTTAGGGCTGTTACTATCAAAAAAGCCGCCTTCACTTTTCAATAACTAACTTAACCCGTCAATTTTTTTTTAAATACATAGACATAATCTGTACTCCATAAAAGATTAGTACGGAGTACAAATGTAGGTTCTTTTTAATACGATTTAGCCAAAATAACATCAAAGTCCCAACTTTGATAAGCAGAAGTAACAAATTGGTATTGTGGTCTGATTGCATGAAACAGGTTTTTGAAGTCTGTAAAGTAGTTATAACAGACAAGTTCCTTAATATTTTCGATGTTCTGTTTTAGAGAGTCCAAAAAGGCAAAAATAGTAAACACAGAGTATAAAGCTCCCAATTTTTAAGGGATTTGCATGGTTGAAGATCAACCTTTGCATAGAGATCACCAGATTCAGTAATCATCGGCATTCACAATCTGCCTCTTAATTTTAATAATCTATCATCTATTCGCAATGAACCCTCTCCAACACCCTCGTCGTGAGAGTATAATTTGTGACATAACAACTCGAACCCCTCCTCCACCCCCCTTGCAAGCCCTGGAGATTTAAACCAATGTCGATCTCTTTCTAATAAACCGATATCAACTTTCCCCAACAGAGGGTTCTTTTTCCTTCCCCTGTTCTTCCCCCCATGGCTACCTTATGCAAGACAAACTTTATGAATGTTTTGCAGGGTAGACACATCCGGCGGCTGATAATATTGAGAGCTCATCATCATCATCGTAACTCACTAGTATCATACAAGAAAATTAAGGGTCCGAATACAAGCTATGATGAGCCATCCTTTAACAGATGGTGCAAACCACATACGGAAAAGACAGAAAAGATAGAGAAGATACCGAGAGGATCCTTACCTGTTTATGTGGGGCCACACGAGAAGAGGTTTGTCATCCTTGTGGCGTATCTGACGATGCCTGATTTTGAGAGCTTAATGGAGACAGCCGCTGAGGAATTTGGGTTTAAGCAGGAGGGTGGGTTGAAGATCCCCTGTGACGAGGATGACTTCAAGGAGATCCTGTCAAAGTGCTTGGCAAATCATAAGGCCACTTTCATAACCAGAAACAGAAAATGGGCAAGAGGTTAGAAATATTTACAGGCAATATTTTGTTGTTTTACAATCTAAAATTTTATTCAAGTATATGAAGAAAAATAGGCGAAAAAAGAAATACAGAAAATAGTGGAATCATATGAAAAATATATGCTATCGTCCTGTTATGATATTGATGGACCATTGCAGAGTCTTGAACACCTATACATCTCAAAAATATCAAAATTCTAGTGCTCAAGATAATGTATCAATATTAGGAACACTATCTAATGCTTTTCACCAAATTTTACCAGTTAGATTTACAACGCTCAAGAGCATAGGGGGGTTGGCTGGCACTGCAAGCAAGGAGGTGGTCGACACAGCGAGCTGAGAGCGAGGTTGGCCAGGAGTAAGGAAGGAAGACAGTCATGGCACATTGATGTATATTAATATTGATTTGTTCAATGTAACATACAGTGGAATAGCGTATTGAAGCGACTCCATTTCTCCTTCAGTTTTTTTTTTCTTCTTTTTTTTACGAGTATAGGATACGTAGGAGCTTATTTGATTTCATTTCTTGCTCGCTATGCAATCCAAATATACTCTGGGAAAGAAAGAATTAGAAAGTCAGAAATATAACCCAAGATAACACTAAGTTGATCAACTAAAGAAAAAAGTTATTTGTGCAGTTTATATGCTTACATGTACTGTTAAGTTTTTGAGTAACGATCAACAAATGCCTTTGCTTTCTCAGGAGCAAAGAAACGTGCCTGCATATGACACACAAACTGTTATTCATATGCCCATCACATCAAAAAAAAGTTGGCTTTCAGAAAAATAAATATGTTCCCAAATTGCAGATTTCGTGAGAACATGCAGATAAATGCGACTGGACGGAAGTGATAAATAAGAATCCTTTTGAAAAAGGAAGATCCCCAAACAAGGCCTAGATTTAATAATATTCGCAGATGGTGCAAACCATTCACAGAAAAGACAGAAAATCCTACTAATGTAAAATCAAATGCTGATCAACCAAATCACCCCATATATACAAAGTTGAAGACTTTCATATCATGAAAAGAAGCTACAGGTGAAGACTGCTCCAGACAGCATGGAGAATAGGAATTAACTCACAAAAATTAGGATAGTTTTCCATCTACCTTTCTTGTCACTTTTCAGTAACATGTCTAAATTGATTCATGAACAGCAGAAATGTCAGCACAATTGAATAAGAGCACATGACTGAAAATAAGATTATGGAACATGATATGCCAGAAAACTTAGGAGACTACCCGGAGTGAAGATCATAGGTTAAGATATAATGTTCTTCATCCATCACGATGTGCAAGATCAGATCATTAAAATGGTTGCAAATTGAATGCAAGTGCATCAAAATTAACTAACACACACACACACACAAGCCAATGAATTTGCCCAAGTCAAAGCTGCATGAACACTTTCTACATAAGCAAGGAATAGCTAACATGAAGCTAACCAGAGGATTTCAATGTCTTACTTGTATAAACATCCGTTCTGCATCTCCAACATTGCCATTTTGTTTCAATATTATCCCCTGCAGGGCCAACACATGAAACCTTTAATTGGCTTACTACTAAAGAAAATAACTTGTGAGAAAGTAAACAGGTATAGAATTCTTAAGATCTTAAGGGGCAAATATATATAGCATGATTTTCTATTTTTCTAGACCAACTGATGATACAAACCCTTCCTATTTCGCAAATCAAAGCCTCTCTCTAAATTAGAGCATTAGACATCAGGAAAGTGGCCAGACATAACTGTAAACAAAAACCTCTCTCTAAATGCCAGCTTTCTTAAAGAGTATGAAAGATTTTGAAAAGATCACCTTAGCTAAGTATCCCCGGAAGTCATCAGGATGACTAGAAATCAATTGATCATAAACAGATAATGCATCGCTGATATGACCCCAATCTGAATAGGCTTTTCCAAGCAGCAGTTCAACCTGGACAACAAATATCATTAATTGATAAATTACTCTGGGCCCAATTTTAACAAGTAGATTCCAATTCAGATGGAAACAATATCATGGTATAAAATACGTCAAATCCAGCTTTCCAATAAGAAATTACAATAAAAATCAGGTGTTATTTTTTTTAAATATATAATTGATATATACAAAAGAACTCAATGCCCAATTCCTCCCCTCTCCCCTTCCCAGCGACTTACACAAAGGGGAATTTAAGAAAACAAAAATTAAGATGGATTCTAGTATTCTTAACCAGGTGACACCTAGACCAATACAAACTAATATGCAGGACATGATCAAGGTTCTGAAAGCACATAAAATTGTATTAGAAACATAAAACCCTGTGGATGGAACAGAAAAATAGACATTAAGCCCAGCATTAACCTATTTAGATCAGAGAGATTTATACTTGTACTCTGTGCAAGACTCATCAAGAAAACCTCACTTCGTACATAAAAATACAGGCTGGTTATCCTAGTTCAGTTTCAGAACAACAGAACAACTGTTTTGTTCAATTAAGAAATATTTATGAAGTTACTGAAAATTCAATGTCCCTGAAGAATTATCAATTCAGACTTACTTGAATTGGATCCACATTCTGGGCGTCATTTTCCTCTGTGCTACTTTCTGTCTTGACAGTGCTATCACTAGATTTACCATTATTGAGACGTTCACGGATATCCAGAAGGACCTGAACAGCCTACAACCAGAAAATAAAACAAATCCAAGTCAACAGATAGGTGTAGGTTAGGAGGAAAACAAAAGCGAGATGAAAAATTTACTTTTTTTGATAAGTGACACATAAAATGACTTATGCAATGTTGTTTCAAAGTCTTTCTAAGGGTACTGGATATTCAGAAATAATAAGTTTGATTCTAGCTAAACTGCCTACATGCAGCCAGATATAACAATCAAAATTAGATTGATGCATGCTAGCAACATTAAGAAAATCCCAACTGAACTACTAGGATCAAACTATACACTAATTCTTACAAAACATCACACGGAGCTAAATTTTAACTTCAGATCATGATGCAAAGTCAAGGGTAGATAATAAGCAAAATTAAATTGGAACATCAATGCATGTGTGCAAATGTCCATTATTGAGATAGCAACACATTGAAAAGCTAATAGTCAAGTAGTAGTGCACTAGCATGTGTATTTTGGGCCAGGAAGATGATGAAAAAGCATAAGACTGCAGAAAATGTACTACAAAGTCTTGAAGAAAGCACTCTAGATAACCATGTTCATGCTGAATTAGACCAACACCTACACTTCCTCATAACATAAAGCTAATAATTCAAGCAAGACTCTCTAACCAATAATTGATTCACTCAAGTGTATAAGTTGATGCAAATTGCGTATCATAGCAGAACAATGACATCTTAAAAAAAACTGGGATTTTTCTATTTTATCCCAATTCATATCGTCTCAAGATGCTGAAGTAAAGACTAGCATGTAAAAATACTGAATGTTGAGTTACTCTACACAGCAAAAATAAACAACTAATCTATGATTGAACCAGATGGCAAACCTCATCTGGCTTCTTAGAAGCAAGCAATGCATTCGTAAGGCCACGAAGAACTTCAAAATCAATACCTTTGGTCACCTTTTAAGAAAACAAAAGTTATAAACTGTCAGGATGCATGCAGCTCACAGCACCAAAAAAAACTTTTGAAATGAATTCCCTCTTTAGACAACTACTTATCTTCATTGATATAGAATTTAATAGAAAGGAGGGAGCATCACTGAGCGCACAGAAGAATAAATGAGAACAACCACTAATATTTCTATTGCATTAGAAAATGTTCTAGGATAACGTATGCATAGGATATTTTAGAGTGATGGTTTGCATTAATACCTGATAAGTATTTATCTATAAATTTAGTGCCAGATATTGAGGTTCAAAAAGTTTGAAAACTCATTTGGACAGACTACAAGCTGCAGCTAATGGAAAATGCAAGAAAAAATTTAAGCATAAAGACCTTTGCTGAACTTTTGTATGCTGCAGTGCTTCCTTCATAATCGTTGAGCTCATACTTTATCTCCCCCAACAAGCGAAAGACATCTGGGTCACTTGGTTTTTCCTGAGAAATCAGAACAACATACTTCAGATTGTCTATTTGAAACATGTTACGAAACTTATGATTATATCAAAGTAACAAACAACCTTTGCCAAGTTCTCGAGATAAGTAGCAGCCCGAGCATATTCACCAAGTTCTGCTGATGTGACTGCAGCTCCCTGCACGATGTCTCTATGGATTATAAAAGAAGTTGCCAGATGTTCTTTTTGGCTAAAATGCAAAAATAAGTGACTGATTCTGCTGAAATTATTAGATTTTCATTCCGGTGTATAGGCTTTTAAGTCATTATCAATAAATGCTCTCTCTTTCTAACACTCCCACATTTTTTCATTTAGGAAGCCATAAGAACTAACCATATGTTAAAACAAAGAGGCAGAAATTTTAACAACATTTCACTTAAAATTGGCAGTAAAATTTTTGGTAGGAAAATAGTCATTCAGTTTAAGTGCTGAAAAAAGTTTCAAAGAACAGGAATGTTGTAGTTAGCTAAAACAAATAAAAAAAATAGTACCTCTGTTTCTTTGAGCAGATTTTGTTACCTTTTTGCACAGTTTTCAATGCACACTCTAAGCATAAATATCTTTAGTGTTATATATATATTTTTTATTTTTTTAAGTTGATATTTTAAATATATATCCCAAGATGAATCGTTCCCCCATGAGTATGTTTTTTCTTATATATTAATAAAACATTACCAGATGTATTGTCAGATTGTATTTGCATGTTAACACATAGTTCAAACAAGAACATATATGAACTGAGGTGTTAGTAATTAAAAGAAAGAAGATAGACTGACACTGTAAATTTGCTTTCTCGTTAAAGGATAGGAGCAACTACCAAGTTTAGGATGTATGACAGTATCAGGCCAAAAAACAAGGAATAAGAAATCCTAATAAGTAAATTAAAATTTGAATTCCCAGTCCCACTAGTACACAGGTATCATTATCTAAGCTGAGCAAGATATATAACATGCATGCCAACAGATACCCACCATCATATAATATACGTGGTACAATGCTTTGTAAGGAATGGTCCATATTTCAAGCTGAAAATTGAGTCTCATAAGACTCATTACAAACTTATAGCACAGTAGCACACACATAAATCTTGATCTCCACTAAAATAAAAGATGTGACCAAGAATAGAGTATTGGAAAGGAAACAACAGACATACGAGTATACATCAAGTATAAGATGCCCAGTGTACAACAGAAACACAGACCATTTACAGCATAACTAGCCTGTTAATGTTCCCAAAAAAAATGCCCAGAGTCAACAGTTATATGTAGGATAATGCCTAAAGACAAACATAATGCACGAAAATCTGATATTATTAATCAGGAACAAAATTCAAAGAAATCATCACTCACTTCAAGAGCAACTGGATCTTTAGGCGAAGAGCTCAGAGTTGCCTCATATTGCTGAAGCTTACTCTGTTAAAATACAAAAACAAACCTTGTCAATAGGCAGGGGAATTTGATAAATCCCTCCACTCTGGAAATACTTACAGAAGAATATTCTTAATTAGAATTATTAAATTTTTTTCAATAATCAACAGAAGAATTTTGTGGCTAGATCTAAACCATATTCTGCAAGAAATTGCGATTTATTGCCTCACATGTGATATCCCCACCATGATTTCATACTTCACATGAAAATAGATTGGAGATAATAGAGAGGCGTTTCTTTAATATTTAGCTAAAACACGCATTAGCCCTGTTAATGAATTGGTAATTACCTTGTTATTTTATTAATGGTTCTACTTCTATGGTTCTACCACAAATTCTAATTTCTATAATATGAGGTCACAAAGGCAAACAACTGAGCAAGCTTCTCACAACTCTAGTTCTTTTTCTTCTTTAATCCTACATTCATGCTCTCACCTTCAACTTCACCAATTTCTCTCTTAAAAGCTGTGTTATCAAAAGTTGTTGAACATTTAGCTTATAGCCTTGAAGTAATTTACTTGAAAATATACAAAAGGCAGACTGCAGCCTTGAAGTAATTTACTTGAAAATACACAAAAGGCAGAATGCTGAAAATGACTGTCCACAATTTACCTGAAGAACTGCTGTCTCTTCTTTGGACAACTTTTTACTGAGTGCTCCATTGTCTTCACTGGAAGTTATGCTGCAAAATATGGGACAAGCCAAAGAAAAAAAAAAAAAAAGCACCAAGATATATTGTTACTTAGATGCACATATGATAACATTATATTGACAATTTTTATGAAAGACATATGTATACATATCAATTGACACACACGAGTATATCACTCAGGAAACCAAAACATACAGAAGCATATGCATCATGATATCAAAACCAAAAGAGCTCATTCACATCTTGAGACCATTTAGCATTAAATATGAAGATATACACAGAAATGATCCAGGAGAGTATAAAGAATGCGTTGTAAAGAGTTGTGCAGCCTCTAACAAAAGGCTTGTTTTCTTCAGTGAAAGATGCTAAAGCATGTGGAAGTGAAGATACAGAGAGAAAACAATAGTAAGCCTTTAACGTAAGAAGGGTTTTTTTTTTTTTTGGGTGTGTGTGTGTGTGTGTGGGTGTGTGTGCTCAGAAGATTCAATTAGCTTTGATTTTTTTGAGACAAAAAGAAGAAATAGTGTTGACCTACTAACGCAACTTAATATTAACAAGAGCAAATTTTATTATGCAAGAGTACCTTCCAGTTGGTAGAAAGTCTCCCAAAGCAAAAACAAGGCCAAAGACCACAACAGCAATTCCAACTCCGATCTACCATATTTTCAAATTCATTCAGAAAAAAGCATAGCACAAATCAAGAGAACTCCACCAATATGCTAATATAATTGCATAAGACAACTTTCCAACTCAGACCTTAGTCCCAAGCCCGACTGTGTTCTGTTTTGGTTCAATTGGTGCATCATAGTCTATTGCCCTAAACTCTTTTGTAGTCTCCGATTTCTTCTTTTCAACAGCAGACCTGATAGAATATATCAGAATTTACATATTAAGATTCTAGTATACTACCAAGAAGAATGGAGCAGATGGGAAAGAGAATCCCAATGTGAAAGGAAAGATGCATAATCAACAACAGAAGTTGACAACATTTTAAGTCATAATACTCATAAATAACAGAGGAACAAAGTTGTGTGCTTTGTTGCATACATTGCAGCAAAGAATGTAAGTCTAAGAAGTAATCAAAAACCTAATTTTAGACTCAATTTGATTATTTTATAACAGGAATACTAATAACCCATTACCTCAGATTAGTTAATAAATGGAAACTTGGACAGCTGTTATCCCAACAGTGGATCTTTAACATACAGCTCAAGAATTGGGCTACAACACTCATATACTACAAAAATGTTGTACTGGAGTTTAAGACTTCAATGGCTCAAACAGGTAGGGGTTCATTCTCAGATGCCAAATATCTTTGTCCAAGACCAACTTTATATGGAGCAAAACAGGCTCACCAATGTTCAATTATCAGTAGCACTTAGTCAATACCGAATTTGGCGAAAGCCTTTTGAAATTAAAGTAGAATATCAATATCTTGGCAATTATGTCATAATTATGTGTACGCAACACAATTGTGGGACTAAGAAATTTTATTATAGAAGGTACATGACTTACAAGAAGTCAAGAACCACTAGCTGATGGATCAAGGTGAGACAAATCAGACAATTATTATTTCAAGGGACTATTGAACATCAATCAATCAATCAATCACAGCCTTAATCCCATAAGTGGGGTTGGCTACACGTACATGTTTCTGATAATTCAAAGCAAAGAGCATAGCTTTGAACAAGGTCATATAAATGAATATTGAAGTTCTAACATTGATTAACCATCCAGAATCTTTTTATCATTTAGACCTAAAGTCTAGATTCCTCCAATAACCACCAACTGTAAAAGAGGTAAATTGTGAAAATGCCAGAAAATTGCACCTTTTGACTGCTTGAAGCTTTTTCTCAAACTCTAGATCAGAGAAAGTTTGCTTAAACTTTTTGTCAGGCCTTGAACTCACTCCTGGTGCTTCTACAAAATATACAGCCTATAATTTTAGAGAGGGCAATGTAGAAAAAGGAACATTGAAAGAAAGTCCACAAAGTGGTGAAATGGTTAAATAAATTTCTCAAAGGAAATTTATTATAAACACAGGATATGTTTATGGGCATGAAGATGTCCATATCTGTTCCCATATGATAAACAGACTATAATGGGAAGTAATATGAGACAATAAAAAAAATTATAATATTCAGAATGAAAACATCATACAATTAAAGCTACGATTTTTATAAAACATCTTGTATTCGACCTTGAGAAAACATAACCCTCTATAGGAATAGGAAAATACTTGAATCTATCTAAAACAAGTAGAGGAGAGAAAGCTCCACTTACGACTAGGCATAGAGCTAGATTCCGTACTCGCTGACTTGCTGCACTAAGCAATATAGAAAAGATTAGAAATTGCTATGAGATACAAAGAGTAATGAAAAAAATGACAATAAATCTAAGGGTGACAGTATGACAAAAGAAAAAAGCAAAATCATGGGAATTATACGCACAATCATATCAAATAGACCTTGGTGTATACAAGAAACAATTTCTTCCCCTTGTTTCAACAAATCTACTTCGCTTAGACTCAAATATGTGTCCAACGGTCCAACCATTGAAACTCAGGGGTACATAAAAGTGTATGACAGTAAAACAAACGCCTTAAATTGGAATTGAGAGACATAGAATTCCCTGCAAATAGTGGATTCTAAACTTAAAGCCACACCCTACCCAATCCTTGCTCCCTTGGTCCGAGACCGAATAATAACTCAAAATGAACTACAAATAATTCCTAACAATATGTTCAAAACAAATTTCATCTTATCTTTAGGGTAGACAAGGTTAATGGATCTCAGCTATGGCACTGTGCCAACATTTTACTTTCTGCCAACCATCAGAAAGCTGATAAATTTCTGCTTTGATGTTGTAGTATTTAGTACATTAGCATTCTTAAATAATTGTGAAACTAAGTGACTAAAAAAATATTAGTAAAATAGTTGCACATAATTCATTATGCATTTGACCAAACTTCAACTCACTCAAAACTACAACAATACACATCATATTAAAATTCTATAAATACAATTAGAAATTAGAAATTTGACCATATTTACAACCAAAATCCACGACATAAATACAACCAAAACCCAAATTAGAGGTTAACCAAAAAAAAAAGCACCTTTGTTGTGGAAGAATGCTCTTTTGCTGCTTTGAGCTGCTCCATTTTTTGGTCTGAAAAGATCAAACACCCAACTCAGCCAATAAAAAAAAAAAAAAAACACACAAAGAAAAATTATAGTATAAAAAAATTGCAGCCACAAAATTAATCAAGTAACCATAATTGAGTTATTATCATAAGCAATATTAATAAAAAGTAAAATAATGTTTACATTTTTATCATCGTCTTCAGAGCCGAATCCACGAGGATTATCAGAACATTGAACACGAAATGAAGAATAATTGCAGCGTTTAATTATAAAGAAGCGCGAATAATTCAATGGGGTTGCTGCAACCCACATTATTATTTCTGACGTTTGCTTCAATTTTCAATTCTCAAAATTTCTGGGCTTTACCTACTTGATTTTTTATTTTAATTTTTTTATATTTATAAATTCAGAAGAAAATAAATACCAGAAAGGCAGAAAGTAAAGTAAGAGGGGGTGATTAAGAACGGATAAATTGAAGAAAATAATGGGAATTTCAAAGTTTAATTCTTGCTAAAACTGCCATAAAATTGTAGTTTAAGCTGTTTTCCAGGGTAGCTTTCCACAGTTTCACTATGAAGGGAGAGTAGAAGATTGAAATGGATAAAGAAGAAACTCGTTAACGAGTACTTGTTCGCGGGGCAGTTCAATTATGGCTCATGACTTGTGAGTCTTATGACTCGTGAGTAGAGCTATTAGAGCCTTAAAGGTGTGTACTATCCGGTCCGAACTGGGGTTTCGGATGGTACTGATGGATTTCGTTTCAATCTTCGATCCTTGATTTTGTTTTTTCAGCCTACTCTCAACATACTAGTATTTCATTTCGGTTATGCTTGAAATGCTACTAATCAAGTTTTTTTGGGTTTAAAATTACAAAACCGGTTTTAAATTGAACCAGATAATGCACATTTAAGGAGAAAAGTCCCACTCAGCCAGAACCTCATATGTCAACTTGGCCCAAATTAGTAACCTAGGCCCTTAGGAGTTCTCATATGTCAACTTGATCCGAGTTAGTGAACTAGGCCCTTGGGAATGGAAGGAAACTTTAAGAAATACCTTACTCCAAAATGCTTCCAATGGAGTTTGATCTCACAACTTTATAATTGTTAGATTCAAACCTAACTAAACCAAGCCTTGGCATGTTGGGAGTTATTGGTTACCCATAGAATGATAGATATACCACAATTTTATTTTCGTTAAATGAAACGGGTATACCATCAGACTAGCGCAATTTGAAATAATGGGTTCAAGTGGGTAAATGAATCCAGAATGCACCTCTTCTTTTATTTATTTTTTTATTTTTTTTTTTTTTTTTTTTTTTTTTTTGCTGTATAGAAAATCACCATTAACATCAGCCTAAATATTGTAGAAGCAGAAGAGTAGGGCAAAGGCCAAAGTGAACCAGCTCCTTTAATTTTCCTAGTCATAGGCTGATAGCAACAACAGGACAGTCCCTGAATTATGTATTTGATTACACATCAAGATTACAATTATTATAGGATGTACAGCTGACAATTAAAGCCAAATCGCAGGAGGTATAACCGTATAAATCTAAAATCTAGACTAGATAGTTCGAGAATCAAGCAGAATGGGAGCTACATAACCTGGACTGTTAATCTCCTACCTTGTCAAAATGCATAATCAATAAAATGAGCATTGGTTAATTCTTCAATCTTCATTAAGAAAAAAGAACACAATCCAACTTGCACATATCTTGGCTCTTATTAGTTATTACCAAAACAATGACCAACTAAAGCTTTCCACTCTTCAGATGAGCACCAACCTAACAGTACTGCTGGAATAAGCAGCAGGATTTTAAGTTTCTCAAACTTGTAGCACGTTTTATAATATCAAAATTCTCAGCGTGCTATAAGAAACAATGCAGATACAGGTATATACGAGCATACATTAACTGGAACTGTGATAGCCTGTACAGGTCAACTACCAGAAAAAACCTCTGGAGATCTGCATTCTTCCCACAGGCAGCTTTGTAGTGTTAATTGTCTTTAGGAGTGTCCTTCGGATGAACTTGTCCATCAACTTGCTTGGGTTTAACTTTCTCTGCTGCCCTACAGAAATGTTACACTCCAGTCAGGGGAAGAAAAGGAAAAAAAAAAGTGAAGATAGTAGGAAATACAAAAAAAAAAAACACAGGTGAAATGATAAACCCAAAATCCTGAAAATCACACTTTTCATAAACAATTGCCTAAGACACAATCATACAATGAATGGAGGCTAGAGAATAGCACTGAAGTATTAATCAAATATAGCTCAATAAACAGTGAGCAAAGGCTATAGTCGGCCATCTCAATGTCACATGGACTTTCCCAACCAAAGTTCTCAGAGCCAAAAATTTTTGAAGCTCGGACACCAAGTTATAACATAATAGATGAGCATGATGAATTTGGACATGTCTAACCTTTGACTCCATCCATATATTGATATATATACCTAATCATGGTCCCTAGATCCAGTCATCCATATAGCATAATGCATCTTTCTCATGTCATTAATTGGACTGCTCTAATAAGAAGCTTTTGGTCAGAAAGCAGCACTCTGAAACACAAAAACTCTAACAAGAAAATATCGTCTATCAAAAACCAAGACCATACCAGGGTTTCTCGACAACAAGGCATTCACCATTAAACAAAAAGCTAATCAGCACAATGGTTCACTAAGTTCCATGAATAAAGCAGACACCAGATCAAACCCCAGAAAGACTGTTTTATAGCAGAACTACTTAAAAGTTAAGCCATGTGATTGACCTAAAGCCCGTAAATCTTGGTTTTGGATTCGTAATTCCACAGGAATAAATGAAGTCAACCTGTTACAACCCTGATTAGTACAGGATTTCAATAAGAGCAAGCCATAAAATTTGTTCAGCACTATAGCCAAATTGGTTGCACCATTTTAAGTGCCATAAGCTTATTAATTAGACTTGCAACATCTCAACCATTGTAAATTGTATTCACAAAGACGTAACTTCTTATTAGTAAGAACGTGAACCTTCCATGTTTAACCTTGTAAATATTGAGTCATAAACTTGGTATCAGCACAAGGCTAAAGAACATTGTTGTAATTTGTACACATTCGACTCGCCTTACCCTCAAAATGGACAAAAGCCTTCTTAGAGGCATTGTGTAACGTTCATAAAATAAACTTTGTCACATCGTTTGACATGAGCCACAATGATTGAGAGTGGGATGGGTGATCTCCTAATAAGTCCTCGTGTTGGCTGTAGCCAACCCCACTAATGGAATTAAGACAGTTCAAGCAAGCAAGCATAGACCTTGTTCATAAAATAAACCAAGCCTAAAGATTAAATGACCAACTACGAGTTGGCCTGTTGCTCCTGTAACACGAGGATTAGATGTACGCAACCTAACCCCTACGTTATAAAATTATTTTATAACAAACTATAATTTAATTAAACAGGTGGACAAACAAAATTTCCTTAGTAAAAGCACAATCATCCATCAGTTATACTACTAACAGTAGAACACAACATGAAATTCAAAGCAAAATTTTAACAATACTCTAAATTGAGCTACATTAACACTATTGAAGTAAATCAACCAAGAAAAAAAATTCATAAAAAAAAAAAAAAAGAAATTAAGAAGAAATTGATAAAAGAGGGGAGAGAGGAGATACTTGGAGGAAGAGGAGAGAGATTCTTCTTCAATCCAATTACGAATCTGGCGGATGTTGCGGCGGAAGATGGCGGAGGAGTTCCTGACGTCGCTGCGGAGGATGAGTATGGCGGCGCTTACTCCAGCCACCGTCAATATGAAGTTTGTCAATGCCATTTTTACCCCTTTTGCTCTTTCTCTTTCCGTCTCTCTAAGTATCGCAGGATTCTCAGCTACGAGCTATGCCTAGCTCTACTGAAAAAAGTAGAGGTGTCAATTTGGGTTGTTATTGAGTCGAGTTTGATTATGTGTAGATGAGTTGGGTCAAGTTTTGAGTTAGGCAACGAATAGAGTTTTCTGGGTCGAATTTAGTAAGGTCAGGTCAATTTTTGACACTTTTATGTCAACTTAAATTGTGTTTTGTTTGTAAGTAAATACGAAGTACAAATTACAAGTATTCAGTAACACTTTATGTGTGTATCATTGTGTGTGATTTTAAGAAGATTTGTAGTTGGGTTTTATTTGAAAATAAATAAATGATGTGCAAGTAAAGCTAATACGATATTTTTAACGGCTTATTGGAGAAATAGGAAGTAACGTTAAAAAAGAATTATAGTAAATAAATTGTGCAAATGAGATTGAAACAATAACTAATTAATAAATTAATACAAGGAAATTGAACAACTAATTGGCTTACAATTTTCCACTGAATTTGTGGTTATCTCTTTCAATTGTGTTGGGCAAGCGATTACGAGTATGTTATGTTGTAATTAGATCATTTTATTTTTATGGGTAGTAATTTGGGATTTTGTTAGGTATACTCTTATCATTTGACCATGAATAAAGTGACACGAGTGTACAAATAAAACCTCCAATTAGGTTTTAAGCTTCTACTCGTATATTTATTTATTTTCTTTTCAGTTCTTAATAATTGCTAGAAAATCAGAAGTGTTTATTTCAAAAAGAAAGAAAGAAAAAATAAATAAATAAATAAATAAATAAATTAGAAGTGTTACACTTTGTGGGAAAGTTGCAACATTTACATGTAAGAAATCGTGATTAAACTAAAGATTTAGTGAGAAGTTTTTGTTCTTGATAATGTAATGAAGTAAAAAAAAAAAAAAAAAAAAAAAAGGCAAATTAAGCAAGGAGAGGTCTAAGTGGATTTTCTGCTCTAATGACTTCTGTAATTCCGTTTTATATAGTATAATAATACACAGATCAAAAGCTAAGATAGGAACTGTCTTTAAAGAATTTTAGTAATATATAAACTGTAAATGAATCATGAAAAATGCATGCAAGATTAAGTGCGCAATTCCATCGCAAAATTTCCTATGAATCTGCTACTTTTGGGAACACACTTTAGGTCTCTGCCTTTTTCTGACTATTTAACTGGGATTCAGTTTATCATGATTTCAAGCAGATGTGAATTTATATGTTCAGGTCATGCTTAATAGTCTAAAATCATTTGTTGCGGCACTAGTTCATGGTGCCAAGGTGCCTCGACTTTTAATGGCAGAGGGTAACGAACAGGGTGATGCAAAACAATTGTTGAGGAAATCCTACAACTTTTTCCTTAATTGCACTTACAAGGTTCTATCAGTTGGTCCCATCCCAGAACACATCGCCTTTATCATGGATGGAAATCGAAGGTATGCAAAGATGAACAACATTGACCCTGCGGATAGTCATAGGCCAGGATTCATAGCCCTCATGTCGGTTATCAAGCATTGCTATGAGCTTGGTGTAAGATACATAACAATCTACGCCTTCAGCCTACACAATTTCAGGAGAAAGCCTGAAGAAATTGAGAGGTTGATGAATTGGATGAGAGAAAAAATCGATACATTTCTTGAGGATGATGGTTTTATCAAAAGGTACGGTGTTAGAATATACTTCGTAGGGAAATTGGAGGAGCTAAGTGAAGACCTTCAGGTTGCAACCAACAAGGCGATGGAAGTAACAGCCAATAATACAACAACATACCTGCTAGTATGTGTGGCTTATACTTCAACAGACGAAATTGCTCATGCTGTAGAAGAATCTATTCCTTGCAATGGTACGATTAGAAAACAGGAAAACAACCTTGCTACTTTCAGAATCGAATTAGCAGAACTAGAAAAACAAATGTACATGGCAGTAGGACCGATGCCAGACATTTTGGTTCGAAGTTCAGGGGAGACAAGACTCAGCAACTTCCTTCTCTGGCAAACCGATAGATGCCTCCTGTATAGTCCTTCTGCGCTGTGGCCAGAGCTTGGGTTAGGCAATTTGGTGTGGGCAGTTATCAGCTACCAAAGACAATATCTCTACTTGCAGAAAATACGAAAATCGTTTTAATGTTATGTCTTGTTCCTATATGTTTTTGCTTTGCTATACTTGGGCACACTTAATGTTCTTGGCCATTATATGAGACATCCATGCTAAATCAAGGGTAATCATCAACAAATTGAATGTCTGTAGTTCTGTTTTAACTGTTGGAATAAATCAGATTAGACATTTTTTTTTTTCAGATTTTTCGTGAAATACCACTGAGTTTTTCGAAAATTCACCATATACCACACAAAAAATTTTTAATACACCAAATACCACTGAGTTTTTGGTAAATGTCACAACATACCATTAATGACTAACGGACGTTAACACCGTTAGTCATTAAGGCTAATCATGCCACGTGGCAGCTTGTGATTGGTTCCCTTCTAAATTATTTAATTTTAGAATAATTATTTAATTAATTATCAAATAAAAACCAAAAAATAACAAAAAATAATAAAAAGTAACAAAAATTATTATAAAAAAAACAAAACCTGCTGCCAGCTTGCCACCAGCCCACCACCACCACCACCACCAGCCAGCCCATTCCGGCCACCTCACCGCCAAACCCCTTGCCGCCAAGGCCAGAAACGACAGGCGCGCCGGAGGCCGGCGGCCTTCCACCCCTTCCCTCCCCTTTTCAATTCTGGCCACCCCACCCAAAACCCCCTTCCCCATCCCTTTCGAATTCCGGCCACCCCACCCAAAACCCCCTTCCCCTCCCCTTTTCGATTTCGGCCACCCACCCAAAACCCCCTTCCCCTCCCCTTTCCGATTCCGGCCACCCACCCAAAACCCCCTTGCCCTCCCCTTTTCGATTCCAGCCACTTCACCCAAAACCCCCTTCCTCATCCCTTTTCGACTATTTCCGACCAACCCACCATCCCACGAAACCCTTCCCCTTCCTATTTTCGGCTGCCGAAACCCCTAAAATCCTCTCTAAAGTGTTACAGGTGGTTTCGGGGGTGGAGGGAGGCGAGGGAGGTTAGTGTTACAGGTGGTTTCGGGGGTGGAGAGAGCCGATTTTGTGGAGGTGGAGCGGTTTTAGGGGAGGTTTCGGGAGCTGGGGTTAGGGAGGGGAGTGCCACCACCAGTGGTTGTGGGCTGGTGTTGGCTTGGATTTTTTTTTCCCCCTTTTTTCTATTAGTTTTATTTTAATTTTTTTAAAAGTTAGTTAATTAAATAAATAATATCAATAATCACCAATTACAAGCTGCCACGTGGCATAATTAACGTTAATGACTAGCACCGTTAACGGAAATGGTATGTTGTGACATTTACCAAAAACTCAGTGGTATTTTGTGTATTAAAAAATTTTGTGTGATATATGGTGAATTTTCGAAAAACTCAGTGGTATTTCATGAAAAATCCGTTTTTTTTTTTAAATCAGCACATACTATAAACTTCTTACACTCTCACCAACCACTCCAAAAACAAGCTAATCAACTTCCAAAGGCACCATTATATCCAATGGGACTTGCAGAAGTTGGTCAATCATAATCTTAAGGTCGTATTCCTTCATCGGCTACATATTCCTCAAATAAGCACCAGATTTTAGCGTGCTTATAATAAACCTAGGCGTAGTGCATGTCATTCGCGTGCCAATGCGTGGCAACATAAAGGCACATAAGCGCGCTACTTAGATGTACAATAGAATTGGTGCTGGTATCTAGCTTTTCTTAAACCCAAATTAAGCAGTAATTTTGTGTATAATCTATTTGGGTCCTTACATGATTGAGTCCTTGGTGGTTAGCAGTTTGCATATGGCAATCAGGCAATCAGTGTTGAATCAACAAACTTTTAAGAGATGGTGCCTAATATTTAGGATTGTATCCTTATAACTCCCTAAGCATAAACCCAAAAACTATTTTACTCGGACTCTTCATTTCAGCTCAACTTGTCAAATAGTCTAAACTCAAACACGGATATGACACAAATGCTCCATTTTGGACCAAAATCATGTTAACTTACTATACTATGACCTGTGTTTGAGTGCCATAAGTCAAGCTATATTTCAATTGATGGTGTACATGTAACTTGAATTATTATACAATAACCAATTTAAGTCAGCAAAAAAATTCACCTAAACAATACTGAAAATTTAACCACTGCAAAATTCAATCATTCTCATTCCTCAAAAAACTACAGCCACTACAATTATATAACTACCACATTGTGGACGCCAACTAGCTTAGTTCAATAAAAGTCGTACCTCATGTCAAATCCCGTCTACGTCACCGCCCAGAATTAAAAAAACACAACTCCCTAAGTATTAGTAGAGCCTCTAACAGAGTTCCAAAGACTAGAAGCAGCAGAAAGAAGCTGAGGCCAAACAGCAGCGACACCGCGAAAGGCAACAGCAGAAGCAACACCAATGGCGACACTTTCAGGGTAACCAGGTTTAGAATCAAGCTTCATTTCAATAATAGCAAGACGAGTATTAGCAGTATCAAGTTTTCTAGAAGCTTCAGCCATGAACTTATCTTTCTTCCCTCTTCCAGAAGTAACAACCCTAAAAAGCATGTGTTGAAGATCATCGATTACTTTAATGGAGGCTTCGTTGGAATTCATTCCTTGGGATTCGTAATGGGTAATTAGCTCTTGTGGGGTTGGGAGTTTAAGTTTTTGTTTTTTGCCGGAGTTTGCGGCGGAGTCTTTCGTGGTTGACGGTGATTGTTGTGGCGGAGATGAGGTTGAGGAATTGGGGAATTGGGGTTGCTCCATTGTTGGAATTGGAAGAGAGATAAACCCTAAATTGGATTGAATGAGGGGTTTTGGGAATTGGGATGAGGGAGGAGTGAAGAAAATAAATGGGTGTTTTGAGATAAGATTTTTATTTATTTGGAAAGTTTTAAGAGCAATAAAGCAGGAACTGTCAAAAATATTACTTTCTGTTAAATGTTTACCGATAGAAAGTCTTTTATCAGTGAAAGGAGAAAGTGAAGGAGAAGAAGTAAAGAGGATGAGTGAAATTGTAGTATGTTATTATTATTGCCTCATATGACACCCTATATATATAGCTAATACTTCTATACTAAGAGTACAATTCAATCATGCTCATATATTGCCATATAAGTTCACAAGGGTTGGACTTATATGTGCATTGCAACATCAAATCAATGATTGGCATTCACATTGTCTTCTAACACTCCCCCTTGAATGCCCTTTTTCCCATACTTATACATAAAAAAAAATATTTGTTGCCTTATTAAAAACCTTGCTAGGTAAAACCCTTTTGGGATAAAAACCATAACTAGGGAAAAAGAGTACAACGATATAGTATTATATGCTTTGGTATACTGCCTCGTTAAAAACCTTGTCAGGAAAAACCCGGTGGGATAAAAACCTGATCGAAGGGAAAAAGAGTGCAGTACATATAATACTCCCCCTGATCTCAGCATAGTTCACGAAGATGTCGCATTCCGATTTTGTGAACTAACTGTTCAAATTTCTTCGAAGGAAGTGATTTGGTGAAAAGGTCGGCAAGATTTTCACAAGACTGAATTTGCTGGATATTTATTTCCTCGTCCTTTTGCAGATCATGTGTGAAGAACAGTTTTGGGGCAATATGTTTCGTTTTATCTCCCTTAATATATCCTTCAGTTACTTGAGCGATACATGTCGTATTGTCTTCAAAGATGATGGTTGGGTCTTCTGTTATTGCGTTCATTCCACACTCCTTTTGGATATTACTGATCATCGACCTCAGCTACACACATTCCCGTCCTGCTTCATAGAGGGCTATTAACTCTGCATGATTTGATGATGTCGCGGTCAATGTCTGCTTTGTTGATTTCCATGATATTGCAGTGCCGCCATAAGTGAATACATATCCATTTTGTGACTTGGCATTTTGAGGATCTGATAAGTATCCAGCGTCTGCATACCCAATGAGAGCAGCATCTTGTTTTGGTTGGTAATATAAACCAAGGTCTTGTGTCCCTCGTAGGTACCGGAGTAAGTGTCGAACTCCCTTCCAATGCCTATATGTTGGTGCATTGTTGTGCCTGGCTAACAAATTCACAGAGAAAGCTATGTCGGGTCTAGTATTGTTAGCTAAGTACATTAAGGCTCCAATTGCACTTAAGTATGGTACTTCTGGACCCAGAATCTCTTCATTTTCTTCTCGGGGTCTTAATGGATCATTTTTCATATTCAAAGAACGAACAACCATTGGGAAGTTGGTTGGGGTTGCTTTGTCCATGAAGAAACGTTTCAAAACTCTTTCTGTATAGTTTGATTGATGGACAAAAATGCCATGACTCAAGTGCTCAATTTGTAGTCCAAGGCAAAATTTAGTTTTCCCAAGGTCTTTCATCTCAAATTCTTTCATCAAGTATTTTGCAGTTTTCTCGAGTTCATTTGGGGTTCCGATGATATTTAAATCATCAACATAAACTGCAATGATAGCGAATCCTGATTGAGATCGCTTTATGAAAACACAGGGACTAACTTGGTTGTTTTTTAATCCTTCTCTCATAAGGTATTCACTCAGACGGTTGTACCACATCCTTCCAGATTGTTTCAATCCATAAAGTGACCTTTTTAGTTTTATGGAAAGCAGTTGTTAGGCTTGTGGTTTTCTGGTAGTTTTAGTCCTTCGGGGACTTTCATGTAAATGTCCGTATCGAGTGACCCATACAAATACGCAGTCACTACATCCATTAATCGCATTTGCAGTCCTTTTGTGACTGTCAAACTTACCAGAAATCTTAATGTAGTTGCATCAACCACTGGAGAATATGTTTCTTCATAATCAATCCCTGGAATTTGAGAAAATCCTTGGGCTACAAGTCTTGCCTTGTATCTAACTATTTCATTTTTCTCGTTACGTTTTCTTACAAATACCCATTTGTATCCAACGGGTTTTACACCTGCTGGTGTAAGGGTTATTTTCCCAAAAACTTCTCGTTTTTCAAGTGACTTTAACTCAGCCAGCATTGCCTCCTTCCACTTTGGCCAATCACTCCTACGTCGACATTCTTCTACAGTTCTTGGTTCAACATCATTTTCATCAGACACGATGTCGATTGCGATGGAATTTGCAAATGTTTCATTAACGATAACATCTTTCCTATTCCACTGAGTCTTTGTAGAGACGTAATTTATTGAAATTTCATTGTTATCGATGTTTTGAACATCTTGTTCATTCCCCGTAGGGTTGTCTTCTTGTTCGTCCCCTTTTGGATTATCATCATTTTCTTTACTTTCATCCACATTTGGTCTTTCTTGATCTTCTGACGGGGGAACATTATTAGTCTCATTTTCTATTCCATCCAATCTTTTTAGTTTCCTTGGCTTAGAATCTTTTGAACCAAGTGGTCTTCCACGCTTTCTGCGTGCCTGAGATTTATTTTCTATGGCCTTATTACCAGTTGGGATTTCAATACGTGCAGGGGCATTTTCTGTTGGTATATGTGATTTTGTCACCTTCTTTGTGTCTACAAATGCATCGGGCAATTGATTTGCAACACTTTGTAAATGAACAATTTTCTTAACTTCTTGTTCACACATATTTGTTCGTGGGTCTAACATCAACAGTTGTGTTGCATTCCAAATGAGTTCAATTTCTTTCTTATGTGGGTCCACTTTCTCTCCCCCTAAGGCTGGGAATATTGTTTCATTAAAGTGACAGTCCGCAAATCTAGCCGTAAATAAGTCACCAGTCAATGGTTCAAGGTATTTAATTATAGAGGGGGATTCAAACCCGACATAAATTCCCAGCCTTCTTTGTGGACCCATTTTTGTTCGTTGGGGTAGAGCAATGGGAACATATACAGCACAACCAAAGATTTTTAGATGTGAGATACTTGGTTCTCGACCACAAACAAGTTGTAGTGGTGAGAATTTATGATAAGTTGTAGGTCTCAATCTAATTAGCGCTGCTGCATGTATTATAGCATGTCCCCAAGCAGATGATGGCAATCTTGACCTCATTAATAATGGTCTTGCAATCAATTGTAATCTCTTAATTAGTGATTCAGCTAGACCATTTTGTGTATGAAAATGAGCTACTGGGTGTTCAACATCAATTCCAATTGACATACAATAATCATTAAATGTTTGGGATGTAAATTCCCCAGCATTATCGAGCCTTATTTTCTTTATTGTATGATCTGGGAATTGTGCTCTTAATTTGATAATTTGGGCAAGTAATTTTGCAAAAGCAACATTTCTTCTTGAAAGCAGACTGACATGTGACCATTGTGTGGAAGCATCAATTAAAACCATGAAATATCGAAATGGTCCACATGCTGGATTAATTGGCCCACATATATCTCCCTGAATTCTTTCCAAGAATTTTGGAGATTCAGTAGCAATTTTGTTCATAGATGGCCTTATTATTAATTTGCCAAGTGAACATGCAGAGCATGTTAATTCATCTGATCGGGGAATTTTGACATTTCTTATTGAATGTCCAACTGAATGTGCTATTATTCTTTGCATCATCCCAGTTGCTGGATGTCCCAAACGATCATGCCATAAAATAATCAAATGTTTGTCATCTAACTTCTGGTTAGATATCATATTGATTTCCACGGGTCGTATGTTTATACGGTATAACCCCGAAGAGTATGCTGGCAATTTCTCATATATATGTTTCTTGCCATGTTTTTCTGCCGTGAGGCATATATACTCTTTTTGATCTGTCGTCATTGTTTCTAGATGATAGCCATTTTGCCGTACATCTTTAAAGCTTATGAGATTTCTTCGGGATTTACTCGAATATAAAGCATTATTGATTATTAATTTTGTTCCATTTGGAAGCATTATACAAGCATTTCCGGATCCTTCAATTAATTTAGCTGACCCGGAAATGGTGTTTCATTTGCTTGAAACAACTTTAGTTGTGAAAAATATTTTCTATCTTTTAAGATAGTATGTGTTGTTCCACTGTCCAAAAGGCATTGATATTCGGAACTAACTTCATGTAGATCCATATCTTCATAAAATAAATTTAAGATTAGTTTACAATAATATCATACAAACTTTTATTGATGATAAAGATTTAAAGTACATGACTAGAAATTTAAAATACAGGGAACTAAGAAAATACATTAAAACATAGCATATGGTACATTAGTAGATGGGGAACCTAAGCATTGTTGTTTTCTCCAAGAATGAAATCATTCCCAGTTTCAGCATTGTCCATGAAGAAATCGGACACATCAAGGGTAGGACATGGAGCATTTTCTTCATTAACATAATTTGCTTCTGCATTTTTCTCTTTGCCTTTTACAGAAGCCTGGTAAAGGTCTACCAAATGTTTGGCCGTACGACAAGTACGTCCCCAATGTCCTGTCATGCCACATCTGTAACATGTGTCTTTTCCTTTTGAAAGAGTTTGTTTGTGGCTTCCAAATGACTGTCCCTTCTGTTTTTCAAAATTTTTGAAATTACTGTTTCTTTGAAAATTGTTTCTACCACGTCCTCGGGCTCGTCCGCGATAATTTCCACGGCCTTTTCCACGGCCATTGTAATTTCCACGTCCACCTCTTCGTGCAGCATTTGCCTCGAGTGGATAAGAACTTGTTGCATTTGCCTCATGATGAGTGGCCAAAGACCCAGTTGGTCTGAGATTATGATTTTTCAACAAAAGATCGCTATTTTGTTCCGCAACAAGCAATACACTCATTAATTCATTAAACTTCTTAAAACCTCTTTCATGATATTGTTCTTGCAACAGTATGTTGCTTGCATGAAAGGTAGTGAGTGTTTTTTCAATCATTTGTTCATCGGTGACTGGATGATCACAGTATCTCAATATAGATACTATCTCATGTATGGTTGAATTGTAATCTATTACAGATTTGAAATCCTGGAACCGTAAATTTGTCCAGTCAAATAATGCCTTAGGAAGGAGCACCCTTTTGTGGTGTCCAAATCTTTCATTAAGGCAGACCCATAATTCTTTGGGATCTTCAACCATCATGTACTCAGTTTTAAGGCCTTCATGTAAATGATGCCTTAACAACACTAAGGCTTTTGCCTTATCTTGTTCAGTGATAGGTTTTTCAACCGTCATTGCAGAAGAGGTAGCATCAGTTGTTTGACCAGAGGGACTTTTATTTTCTTTAACAGTGTGCTCCAAGCCTTGAGCTTTCAAATTCATCATTGCGTCCACTTTCCATTCCAGAAATTTCTTTCCAGATAAATCTAAGATGCTGAACTGTCTTTTCATAAGGTCTCCCATTTTAGCTACAACAAATTTCGTGATAATTAGTTTATAATAACAAATTATATGTACAACTCACATGTTTAGTTCTTCCATATTTATAATTAAGTTAATAAAACACGTGATAATTAAATTTAATAATAATAAACCATAAATAATGTAGTCTTTTCTCCCCCTTGGTTTATTATTGTGAGTAATTATGTGATTAGGCAAAAATTAATCATGTTAGTTGCAAAAAAAAACAGCAAAACGACAACAATGACAGTAGTAACAATAATTATAATGATAACGGTAATATTATACAATGATGATTAATAACAACAAACATACATAATAAAACAAAAACAAGCTTTTAATATACTAAAACGACAAAATAAGTGAGTTTTACTTATACATAATGACAAAAATTAATATTGCTACTAATAAAATTACAAGTGCCGTAATTAGAAGGAAATATTGTTTTATCTTCATTAAATCTTCCTCAAAAGTGAAGTTGTGGGTGTTTTGGTTGCCGTCGTCGGGGAACATATCGGAGAAGAAGGGGGTGAATTTTTTTTTTTTTTTTTATTTAGGTGATTTTTGGATAAAAAGTGGGAAGGGATAAGGGATTTGTGGTGAAATTGGGGGAAAAATCCGTCTTTTATAGAGGTAGGTTTATCCGTTACTGTTCTGTACAACTGTAAAAATATCATATAATAGTCTAACGTACTGGCATAAAATTATGGTCCATATATATATATTTATAATTGTAAAAGGTTATCACACTGGGAATGCAAGCCATAGTGGTCCGAGAGCCCTAATATCTATAAAAGATCATGGGTTCGAAAACGAAAAGAAACACAAAAAGTATGTAAAAGTAAGAAAAATAATAAGTATAAAAGGCTGCATCTTTTTGTTAATCTAGTTAATAATAATATGCATGCAAAGCTACTACTTAGCAATTATAATAACTAAGATAAAAATTTACGTAAAATGAGTATGTAATATCAACATGGATCAAACAAAGAAACATCAACATGAATAAACAAAAGATGATAGTAGTAAATTCACAAATAAGAGAACTTTCACCGTTGTTTTTGAGGTATATATAGTAAATGTTTGAGTTTCTGTTATAGAGGATCCCAAATATGGGCAACTATAGAGCATACTCATCGAAACATTTAGAAGTAGATAGTATTATTTGTTATAAATTTTTAGAAGTAGGTATAAATATACCTGACTGAAAACTGGTGCTGATAACGTGTTAAATGTTTACCGATAGAAAGTCTTTTATCAGTGAAAGGAGAAAGTGAAGGAGAAGAAGTAAAGAGGATGAGTGAAATTGTAGTATGTTATTATTATTGCCTCATATGACACCCTATATATATAGCTAATACTTCTATACTAAGAGTACAATTCAATCATGCTCATATATTGCCATATAAGTTCACAAGGGTTGGACTTATATGTGCATTGCAACATCAAATCAATGATTGGCATTCACATTGTCTTCTAACACTTTCTCCATTTTTTTTTTTTTTATAGTGTAACACTGTGACTGGTTTTGATGATTTATACTTCAAAAATATAGTCATATGGATCTTGTTAGATTCGTTTCAATTTATACTACTCAAATGTTTATAATTTTTACACATTGATAAAGATATTAACGATTGAAATCATTCATCGCCAAGCGTGAAAAGAAAAGTGTTGCAACTTTAAAAAAACGCAACAACTGGACTTTTGCACCTATTTATCATGCTTGTTTAACCACATATTATGATTTATATATTAAGTAAAATATATTCATGTGAGATCTTGTTAGATTCGCCTCGTAAAATACTTACACAATATCAACTTTTTATAATTTTTATTCTTATAGAATTATAAATATTTAACATGTAAAATGTGCCTGGGATGCGTAATTTCATCCTTGTTGCAATATTAATAAAACGGAGAAAGTATTTGTGAAAATAATAAGAATTTTGTTTGCTTTTTTTTTTCTTGGAGTTTTTTATTTAACTTTTATTTTTTGTAACAAAGACCCTGATTAGACCTCAACTTCACGGCTTTTTTGGTATAATATTTGCAAGTCACTAGCTTGAAAATCTATATTATAATTGCACAATTTTTTACTAACGTTTAACCGCAGTCTGCAGCACTTGAAAACCCCAATACTGTGGGTGTGTTCAGTAAAATGTAACGGTAGAGGTAGTCGTTGACTGTGATAGTAGCTATTAGCTGTATGTATAGTTGTTAGCATAATTAAGAATGAGTGTTTGGTAAAGTAGCTATATTAACTAGCTATTAACTGTAAAATACTAAAAACACAAAAGAAAAATCCCAACAGCTACCTAGCTTTTCACAAATTTTCAAAAAAGCTAATAATATTAACTTCTCATAAAACTACTCTAACCACTAAACTCTACACTCACCACTACATTGCCAAACACTCATATTTTGTATTAAGTAATGGTTTGAATAACTCAAACCACTAAAAGCTACTAGCGATTGAATACGCTCTTTAATTTAGTGTTTTTTTTTTGTTTTTTTTTTATATGATTGCCACAACTCAAACTAACATAATACAAAATATCCATAACTTTCACATATACTACTTTTGTTTCCTAAACACACTTATATCACGTGCATTATACATTCTAGTAGAGGTGAATTTTAGAGTGCTTTTATTTGTTTGATTTAACATCATTTATTATGAAGTATACTATCAAGCTCCATCTCCCTTTATGTTTATATTGGAATGAACTTACTATTTTTCCATTATAAGATACGTCTTAAATATAGTGAAAAGTTAATACTACATTAGGAGTGAAAAGTTAATACTACATTAGGAGTATTATACTGAAAATGAATCCAACAAGATCTTACATGCCTTTGTCACACAAATATTTAATAAACTAATAGATATTAATCATCAAAACTTTTAAATTTGACCAAAAAAAAAATGCAATCAAATTCACCTTCCAAACAAAACATTAAAAAATCTTCTATACCCCAGTTTAAGTATTTCATTCGACTCCCAGACATTTTTAAATGTGATAATTAGTACTTCTATGAGTAAACGAATACTCCTTTATATACTAATCATTCCCTTTGCTAGTATTCAGGTGCAGCAATCGAAAACAAGGTTTGTGGACAAATTTCTTCTGGGGTAACAAACCTCTCCATATAAATCTTTCACCATTGTCCTCAAGCCAACTGTTAATATTTATATTGTCATATACAGAAAAGTACCAATACAAGAGGATATTCGAGATTCTGCCTAAAGAGAGATTTATTCAAAATTAGGAAAAACAAAAAGAATTCCTCTGTGACTAAGTAACTCCACAAATCATTTTTGGCACCCTCTTATCTACATCGAAGGGGGACGAGAAAGGGGTGCTGGTCAGTTAAATCTGCAGTTTCGCATCAACAAAGTTACAGGAATACAGGCGCCATAACCAGAGTAATCGTCGCAAGCATTTTTATCAGAACGTGAATTGAAGGCCCAGCCGTGTCTTTAAAAGGGTCTCCGACACTGCAATTAAAATCAAAATTCAAACTTCCATGAGTGTAGCAGCAAAAGAAGACAATTTTGTAATGACTAAAAATTCAAGCAAATATAGATAGTCTCAAAACATATTAAGCAGAGCATTGATCATGAGTCTTTATAGACTTATAGCCTGTAAACTTTAGTTTTATTTCTCATATAAACAGATGCACAGCCAATATCATTAACAGGAACAACGATTTAAAAAAAAAAAAATAGGGAAGCTGAAACAAAAGCTAGCACTTCAGTTGAGCTCAGCCCTACAGCCACCAACTACAGTGGCTAGAGACATATTTTCTCTCCAAATGGTTGCTCTAAAAGAGTAAAGAAAGAGGTAACAGATTCCCTTCATCCACCCGAGGATTTCAATTTCCCCAATTTGGGGGTTTCAAGGCTAACTTACCATAACCATAACTCCACAACTCAACATCACAATCACATTTTTTGTTAACACCACTACCATCTTGACCACCACCCAGCATCAATTCAACTGCTGCCAGTACTCCTCTAGTACCAACAACCTAGATCTATTGTCCACATCTATCCCCATACCCACTTCCACAGCCACCTCCACCAACACAGCAACACTACTACCTGTCTACCACCTTTTGCGGCCATGACCACACTATGGGGGTGCAGGCCATCATGCCAAGGGCCGTGGCTAGGCTTAATAACAAATAGGTGTGTGTACATCTAAGATAATGCCAATCATACCTGCTGTATGAACCACCAGACCCACCAATAGAAGGGGTAAAACGAAAATTTCTCCTGCCAATAATAGCCAAGATGCAGACATCTAGGTGGTTAGATTCCAGCACCATCTTACATCAAACAGCCAAATCTTAATCATCTAAGTACCCATATCACAGAAAGAGATAGAGCGGTGGAGTGATCAAGTGCAGGATTCTTGGTCTTACATGGAGCCATCATGGCCTTAATAAGAGAAATAGATGAACGGAGAATAAAGTTAACGGTGGGCTGCTAGGGTTGAGGAAAGAATGAGTGGACATGTACACCAATGCCTATTAATGAGTGCATTGGGAGTTAGAGCAGAGGATGTGGAGGGGAGTAGAGGTAATCAATCCTTTATTATTGTGTCCAAACGTGTCTTTGCAATGATAATCAATTTCCCATTTGAAGTCTCTAAACCAAGCTTAAAATTGATTACTCTTTCTCGAGCCCTTTTTTTTCAAACCAAACCACACCTCAATGCCTACTTCATTACAATAAACAATTATCTCTATGTCCACACACAGAAGTCGTGACAATCATACCAACTTGATCAGTTTTGTCTGACCTTGTTGGAAGGTATTGACACTCATAGCTGGTCATATTTAGTAAGATATTTTTGTGTTTTTTTTTTTTTTATTTAATCACTTGACCTTGGGGATATAGCTACACTGCCAAATTGAGATCAACACACCACAGCTCCTGGTAAGTTTGTTTTTATCTTTCTTTTTCTTCATTTTTTAATTAGATGACTTTGGAGTAAATGTACAAAGGATTAAATTATACATTAAAGAAAGATGAAGTTGTTCATTAGCAGTGATTTACCAACTGTATCTTCATCTAAGACTTCTATGTTGTCATTTGATGAGGATTGTGGACAACATAATGCATTGATTCATTGAAGTAAAATTGATCACAGAAAGCAGGAGTAATTAATTTGTGATAAGCACACTGAATTGATCCATTGCACAAGGACTAGATTGAAGATCAATACACATTAACTTGCATTATCTTTCTATGACTGATCCTCAATAACAGCAAGTTAAAGTATATACTTCTCACTATCCACTCCAATAAACATACAAGACATCACTAGGTTGTTACAATTCGACAAAGATGTCCCATTTAGGCAGGCTTATATAGTGTGCATTCATATAAATTGATCATTGAAACCACAGAATAATGATCACTGAAAACATCTTAAGAATACAAGATTGGTGATATCCTCATTAAACCTACAATTGATGAAAAGTGCATGCAAGCATAAGCATGCCATGTACAGGGACAGGGTAACGACAGATCAGAACAGAACACACCAACCAGCAAATCTCTCATTTATTAGCAAAACGAAAAATTACTGCAAAAGCTTAGATGTATTTGTTAAGGAGTTTTTTTTTTTTTTAAAGAGAAAAAAAAAAAAAAAGAAAAAAAAAAAAAAAAAAAAAAGAAAATTATAACTTACGTGTCTCCAGTAATGGCAGCTTTGTGACAGTCACTTCCTTTGCCTCCAAGAGCCCCAGTCTCTATATACTTCTTTGCATTATCCCAGGCACCACCAGCAGTATTCAAGAATAGAGCCATAAGGATGCCAGAAACAGTTGCAAACATCAACATTGCAGCCACAACTTTAGCACCAAGTAATGGGTGTCCAACATAATGTCCTAGTATCCGAAAAACAACACCTGTAACAAACAAACTTATGTCAATAATGATCAGGAAAACTGGCAAATTAAGTATCTAATATTCAAAGCTTTCCAGTAATCCAGAGAGAAATATAATCATCTATAACATAATAGTTTCTTCTGTAGACAAATGATACCAGAACACAAGAACAAAAAACATACCAACCACTATTGGTGATATAATAGCCAAAGCACCAGGTTTGATCATTTCCTTCAATGAGGCTGACGCTACAATTGCCACACATCGACCATAATCAGGCTTTTCTTGGTAATCCTACAGTTGAACGACAATCATTAACTGGTACCAGACACATCACCAATCAGACTACAAACATGATGAGATAAATACTTACCATGATTCCAGGCCTTTCAATAAATTGTCTTCTGACTTCATTTACCACCTCCTGAGCAGTACGGCCAACTGCTGAACATGCCCAAGCACTGAAGAGAAAAATAAGCATAGAGCCTAGCAAGCCGCCCACAAAAATTTCAGGAACTGCAATGTCAACCTGAAACATAGAAAAAATTATAAATTTAGGAAGATCAAAACACTACAAGTACATAAGGAAACAAGCCAAGGTGCAAGTTAATACCAACCTCTTTAAACGGTACACGAGCAAAAGAAGCCACCTCATCCATGTAGGCACTGAAAAGAAGAAAAGATGCAAGTGCAGCAGATCCAATAGCAAAACCTTTAGTGGTAGCTTTGGTGGTGTTCCCAACTGCGTCAAGGACATCAGTAATTTCTCGAACACTTTCAGGCTAGAGAGAAGCATATGATAATCAGTTAGCATGAGCTAATAATGCATGTAAAATCATCTAGACTTAAAAATCCATTGATACCTGTTGGCTCATCTCCACAATTCCACCAGCATTGTCAGCTATTGGCCCAAACATATCCATGGTCAGGACATAAGCTGCTGTACTGAGCATGCCCATTGTGGCCACTGCTGTTCCAAACAAACCGCCGGTAGGGTTTCCAGCTTCATCCATCAATCCAGAAGTATGACCCAACCAGAAAGAAGAAATAATAGCTACACTGATAACAAGAACAGGGAGTGCAGTTGACTCCAGTCCCAAACTGACACCAGCAATTATATTAGTCCCATGGCCTGATGAGCTTGCAAGAGCCAATGTACGTACTGGCTCATACTTATAATCAGTGTAGTACTTGGTGATCCATACAAATACATATGCTGTTATGATTCCGACCAGCCCACACAATGCAAAATTTAACCAAGCTGAAGGTGCCTGCTCTGTGTATAGCAACCAACGCGTTGACTGCAGATAAACAAAGGCATAAAAAGAAAACTCAAAATAAGAACAGTAAATTATTGTTTGGGGAACAGAATTACCAAAACCAATAAGCAGCTTTCTCTCCCCCCCCCCCCCTCTTTTCCTAAGGGAAGTAAGTAGCTAAAGCTCAATCGTCAACTATGCCCAAAGAAAACAAAGTACAATGCTGGAGTACTTGAATGGATCGGTGGATTGAAGATTGATCTTACCGCACCAAAAGTCAAAACCGCTAATACTATTGTAACAGAATATCCTTTCTCAAGTATTCTCATTGGATCTTCTGCAGCTAAGCCAGCCTCTCGTGTGCCTCTTATTGAAAAGATACCCACAGTAGATACGACAAGGTCAAAGGAATGAACCACCAAAGGGAACAAGATAAAGCCAGTTGGATCTGTCACCAGAAAATGGGCAGCTAGTCAGTCTATAAGATGCAAGAAACTGCAAATATACAAAAGAACTTAATGAGGCAATATTGTCATTAATGCGCTCCAAAAGTAGCCTAAAAGTAGCTCTGAGATGAGAGAGAAAGTGGTGAAAATTTGATTTCAAATAGCAAATAATACAAAATATAAAATACAGCTATGAATATATGTATGTGAGTAGGTCTACAAAGATCGGGAATGACGCATGCTACAGGTCTGCTTACCTTCAATTTTACAACGCTGTGCCATTGTTCCACCCAATATCATGGCACTTATGATCTCAGCAGCAATACTTTCGAATAGATCTGCACCACGAGCAGCACAATCGCCGACATTGTCTCCAACCTGCAAATGACATCTCAATAGTTTCATATTTCAAGTTGCCATAACCAAGGAGCCTAAATATGTTTAACAATAAAGCGACTGCAAAAAATATCCGGATAGTAACAAAGTTCACAAGCTGACAGCAGTAAGCTTGACAAAAACCCCAAACAGAAAAATCATAGTACAGAAAATAAAAGGAAAAGAGGGATACTCCTCCTTTGGAAACATAAAGCTGGAGCATCTCCACTTTTCTGGCATAATGATAGATATTAATTACATCAATGTTGATTATGCTCTTCTTTTGTCATTGGACACTGGAAGGTCTTCGGTTCCCCAGACTCATGTACTTGTCAAAAGATTTTATCTTTCTCTTTTAATATTTTATTCACTAATGTATAGATGAAGCACAACAGACACAATAATGAGAAGATAAACAAAGAGAGGGGAGCACATAGGTTAGACGTCACTCCAATCAAAAAAGTTTAGCATGTCTACAAAATTCATAAATTAATAATTGGTTTACTTGAATTATTCAAAATTAGCAGGAAAACTGGCCAAGTACAATTTTCATAGTCTGTCATCAATAATACGCAAAGTATTTAATCACAAGATTTGCAACTTTAGAGGACCCATCTAATGAAGAGAGAGAGAAAAGGAGAAACATTGGAAATAAAGTAATGTTGCAATTATTTAGCAACTTCCTTATAGGATTGCAATTAAGAAAAAGAACGGAGGAAGTATATGAGAAACTAAAAAACTATAAGCTAAGAGTTCGTTTGGCACCGCAGTGGTTTTCTGTATTTTGTTTTTTTGTTTTTCAAAATCATATGATATATGTAATATAATGAATCAAAGATTAGTCAAATTTATTAAGATCATGATAATTTTGAAAACTGACAACAGAAAAGTGGAAACACCTTTTTCTTGTTTCTTGTTTTTGGTTTTTTGTTTTCAAAAAAGCTGAAAACTGAAAACAAAAAACAAGCTGAAAACTGAAAACAAAAAACGATGCCAAACAAGCCCTAAACTTCTAATAAATAGATTACCAGGTCAGCAATGACAGCAGGATTACGAGGATCATCTTCAGGTATTCCCTGCTCAACTTTTCCAACAAGGTCAGCTCCAACATCAGCTGCTTTCGTATATATACCACCACCCAATTGTGCAAAGAGAGCAACAAACGAAGCTCCAAAGCCGTAACCAACAAGTAGAAGAGGCACTGGCATAATGAAATTACGGAGGATCAATCCTCATGCCAACTTTAGCATGATATACAGGAATCAATTACACAGAAGATGAAATATAACCTACAGTAACAAGGAAAAGCATATCTTTTGTGTAAAAAGCAAGGAACATGGATGAGCAATACATGATTACATACCCACTTGTCAAACTGCATTAACTACCAAACCCAAAAATGAACTAGTACCTACAAAGACTGGTGTGGACATTCTACAGTGCAGCACAAGATTACACTTATGTCTCACTTTCCATCCTTCAAGCGGAGGCAAATTTGTTCTTAACATTTCACTTTTCACGTTTTCCAGTGAGAAAACTTGAACATGTATATCTCTTATTGTGTATTTGTAAAATTTATAAAAAGTTGATAGTTCAAATATACATTTTGAGATAAATCTAACAAGATCTCACATGAGTATATATTTCCTTATGTATATACTTCCTCCGTTATATAACAAGTGCAACGTTTCCAATTTTTGGAAGTTGCATAATAAGTGCAACATCACTACTTGTGGAAATGAATTCTCTCTATCTCTCTCCTAATCACATGGGACCACTTCCTTAACACTCTCTATCTCTCTCCTCTCCAATAATATTGTACATCCCCTACATGTTGCACTTATAAAAAGACAAGAAGTATTACAAATGATGGTCAAAATGAACTTTGTGAATAGTGCCAAAATAAAATAAAGCTAAGAACATTATGAGACAGAGGTAGTATGAAGAAACCATCAAAGGTGAAAAGTGCAAAGAGAGTTATTTGAGTTTGCATGTAAATAGTGCAAATCAGTACAACCATTGGAAATTTGATTAGACGAGCATTCAATATATTTTCCTTAGCATAGTAGCATTGCTATAGTGAGAACAATATTCCCACGATTCCCTACCATGTCCAGATTTGGAAGAATTTTATTAGTGAGAGTGTGAGACAGCTTCTCAAGTATTCAGATTTCAGAAATGATTATCCAGATTTATGTCATATGTTTGAGACTAATCAAAGGATTTGTTCTTCTCCAAATTTTTTTTCCACAGCCAAACATAGTAAAGTTTGCAACGGAAGATCCGGTAATTATTTTAGATTTTCATGGTCGTCATAGGTAACATGAATTTAAGGTGACAAGTAACAACCGACATTGAAAATGCTGAGCGTTGTAGCCATAGGGAGTCATCCAATTTATGAGAATGAGATGAATATGTAGCAACTCCATTGTCCTGCCAATAGGGTTAGGGCTTTTATGATGATCTAATCATGATCGGCTAAAAGGCCTAAAATTAGTAGCAAATAGAATAACAATAGGCATGTTCTGCAAAGTCAAGAGACAGTTAGTGTAAACTTCTCTTCTTTTTTTCTTTTTTTTTTTCTTTTTTTTTTTTTTTTTTTTGTCAAAAAACAAAAAGACCCCATACCCAAAGGCTTCTCACCTCTGATATGAGAGGAACAGCAGATAATTAAATCTGTTGTTCAATAGTGAAAGAATACCAGTATACAAGTTCTATATCTATTAAATTAAGCAAACACCCATCATGGCATCATGTTGAAGTATTCAGCTAAACAAACAATTTGTATAATAGAAGCATAATTAGTGGATGATGTAGAGTTCTCATAAAACATTGGGCTAGGGACTGATACATCTACATATCTTGAACCAATTATAAAGATACCACATCACAATAACAATAAAAAAATTAAACCAGCTTTTACAGTCAAGAAGATCTTTGCTCCCTTTATCCTAAAAGAAGTGGTCTAAATGAAGCAAGTAGTCTACAGCTTTTCAGTGGTCTAACAACACATCATTCATGTTCAAACATACGAAGATAACTACAAGAAAAATATGAGGAAAAAGAAAAAAGAACGCTTACGATCTGTGACTTTCATAGAACCATGTGAATCCACCCCCAACCATACATAGAAAGCAGCATAGAGAATGGCAACGCCAAGTACAGCCATGCCTACGACAATAATGGCTGAGAAACCACCAGCACGAACAGCTATCTGAAATTATTGTCCCATTTCATTATATTTACATGCATATATAGATATACTATAGGATAAAAAAGTTACACACACCACCAACCTGTAAGGCTTCTCTGGCTGACCGCCTTGCTGCACTTGAAACACGGACATTTGCACGAACAGACACCCACATCCCAACATATCCAGCTACACCTGAGCACAAAGCTCCCAGCAAAAAGGAAATAACAGTAATAAAAGCAGATGAGACCCTGCACCAAAACACATAAAGAAAATGATCAATTGATTAAGCACAAACCAAAGGCTTAAAGTCTTTATTTTTAGTGCTTGTTTGGTTGAATACAGGACATAGTTATTTCTACGAAGTTTTATTCACTTGTGATAGCAATTCCTAGGAAAATCATAGTTTTGCTTGGTTGATCATAGGAAATTTTAACTTCCCACAGGCATTTCCACTTACCTAGGGAACCCAAGTAAGTAAATTTCTCCAATTTGTGGGAAGAGCTTCATAGGAAGTTCAAATTCCCATGTTTTTGCCAACCAAACATCTTCTTCCACTTCGTATGAAGTTTCAATTTCCGAATTTTCTTTTGTCAGCCAAACAAGCACAGTAGTACCAAAAAGAAACTAGATAATACCTTCCAATGCCAGCAGCTTCTTGCTGCGGAGTTCTATCCCGCAACAAATATATACTGAGAATTACTAGGGCAAGCAGTACAGCCATTTTGGAGATGGTCCCATACTGGGTCCTAAAAAAGCCTTCAGCTCCATCACGTATAGCATATGATATCTAACAAGAGACAAAATATCATATTAAGAGGCAGACAAATTATCTTTATATCACTGTGATCAAGCAGTGGAGAACTGAACACTGAATACTACCCAACTTCCACAAAATTAGGGCACTTCCTCTTAGCCTCACGTTCAAAGCAATGAAAATAGAAGAGCCAATGGAGTCCTTACACAGTCAACTTATCTAGTTTATTGTTTTCTGCTTCCCGAATTACCCACAAAACATAATTTGAAGAAGAAATTTCAGCTTCACTTCTCTAGTCACAAAATAGCAGTCATTGGTGCCCCCATTCCCCCCCACCCAACATTTCAGATATTTACTGCTGTCCTTGAATTCATATTCCTCAGTTCTTTAATTGCACCATTTGCCTTTTTGAGAAGTTGCATATTAGTTGCACCATTTCCATGTTTGATATGCTTTATTCACTTTTTGTTTGTGTACACACACCAATTACCTTAATACCCTCAAAAATATTTGAAAACAACCATTGTTACCCCACCTTTTCTCTCTCTCATTTGTTTGTATCACATGGGCAATATTGGCTTTCCCCGCCTTTTCTTTTCCTTAAATCTTGTTCCCTTACCAAAGGTTCGATTTAAAAAAAAAAAAACGAAGTATAAGCCTTTGGTTTAACACAATCAAGCAGGAGAAATTAGAAAACCCCTGGTGTACTCCTTTTAAAAATTGAGAGTAACCCATTAATGACTAAAAATGACATTAACAGAAATTACCATACCAACAATCTGTACAATGAGAGAGGATAAACATCAAATGCACTGGAAGAGTACAAAATGAATACATGTGAGAGATATTAACAATATACTATGAAGGTACCTGGACCATCTCTGGAGGTCCCTCATCCTTTGCTAGAACCCACTTTGTGAGATATGTTGCCACAATGAAGCTGATGATGCAGATGGAAAATACAAAAACAATAATTGGAGAAGTGCTAGCTCCAATATAGAAGATAACTCCGAAGGTCAGAAGCATAAGAATATAAAGAACGCGAGTGTTTAACCCCATAATGAGTTGGAGAACCTGCAAAAGTAGATATTTACACTGTCCATAAATCGCATATTGAATATTGAATATTCACTTAAATAAGGCATTAAGGGAAGCAGATAAATTCACAAGAGAACAGGGATACTGATAAACAGTAATATATAATAAACAATCACTGGAAGTTAGGCTACCAAGTTTCTGTGCACATTCTACACTGCAAAACTCCATCCAGTCACCACCCAGAATGTTTCTGGTTCTTCACTGTCCAAACCTTTAAATCAGATTAACCTTTCCCTATTAGCCTATTTAGTTTATTTCACAGTTTGCAATTTTTTAAAGAGAGGTATAACGTAACACCGGAAGCTTGTATCTTTCTGTTCATCGTCAATATTTCACAATGTACTCTGAAAAGTGAAAAGTATTTATCCCTTGCATCAAACTCAAAACTAGTAGCCTTTGCTAGTCTTTCACAAAAAATGACATGTATTCAACAGTAGGGATAAGTTCTGCTAACAACCTTGTACACATTGATCATGCTTTAGTACAAGCTCATTTTATGCTATAGCCAATTATGGGTTACAGCTTACAAGTGTTTTTTAAATACTAGAAAAAGAATATTATACATGTAATACATCCCCATCTGTAAAATGTGTTATAGTATGGTCTTGTTGTCATCTACTTACTCATACACTTATAGCCTTATAGGTCATGCAAAGCTTTCTATATCTGTGCTAGGAATACAATAATTTTGTCCATCAACCATTCTTTGGCTTTTGGATTATAATGCAATATACTTAAATTGAATAGCTCATTAAACTAATTTACATATTTATTGTAAGGTTGCAGGCATTGTTATATATTGGATCAAGGATCAACCAAACAACTAGAAAAAACCTGTCACTGTTTTAGTTACGTATGACCATCCCTGGACAGAAGTCTCTTTAAAGGGTTGGGATAATGATAATGACTTGAAGTGCACTCAAGTAAATTCGAATGCCAAAAGCATACTCCCAGAAAATTTTAAAATGGAGAAGCAACCAAAATAATTACTTGTACAATAGTACATACTTGTAATAAAGTCTCGATGCATTATCACCCCAGCAGCAGCAACAAAGCCTAAGTCCCAAATAAAATGGTGCTACAGCTGCTCCTCGACAGACCGACAAAGGTTTGCCAATGATGTTAACATCAAATCCAAAAGCACAATCATGCCTAGGCCCTAGGGCACAATATTGTACTCTATATTTCCCAAATGCCATTCTCATCAGAAATTTCACTATCATTTCAATAACAGTGGTTTCACATAATGAGTATGTATTTGAAGCAGTTTTCTAGTTCTCCCTTCTGTCCTTTCTCTCTAGTTGAAAAGTCATAAACATGTATTTACAAGAACTCAAATCTCGGTAAGTCTTAGACTCCCTAGTCCCTACCCTGTAATCTATCAGTTCTCACTTTCCTCAACATTCCATACTCAAATAAACTCAACTTTTCCAAAGCCTGCAAAAGGTAATGCCGTAAAAATCCAGAAAAAGTGTCACAACCATTAACATATAACCCACAAAAACACAGTATAACATTTGAGAAACATTGGCTCAGAGTTTTCATGACCGTGAAATTGTTGTCTTTTCTTAGCAAAAGATAATCAAAAGGTTAGTCAACCCTAAAACTGTTTTTTGTTTTTTTCCCCAATAAGTTCCAAACAAAGAAACTAAACTGACACATCAAAACATCTCTGCCCAACAAACTTGCCAAGCTAGGGGAAAAAAAGTCTTACCAAAGGGGTGTAAGGTTTGGATCGCATGTCGGGGAAAGTGCGGGTCCGGTCTTGGTAAGACCCCATAGAACCACTCTCCATATCATCCATCATGATGGAATGAGTAGAATTTACCCTCCTGGCCACAGGAAACGGACTGAACTCGCCACTTTGGGGGAACTCACCCCCTGAACTTGGTCGCTGTATCTTGAAACGCTGTTTTTCACACCCCTGAGCGCCTCCCAGAGAGTCTGATAACAAGGGACTTCACCTCTCTCAGATACAAATCTCCAAAACAACCTGCTTACGAAACCTTAGCAAATTCTCCGGTCCAGCTTCTTATCACTTACAAGCAGGTATTCTAACTTCAAACAAGAATTCCACTCTTCTTTTTTTTTCACGACCGACACCTCTGTGCATATAAATCACTCAAAATAAATTTAATAATTCCAGTACACTAACAATAATATGAGCATTGCCCTTTCTCTTAGAAAAACAATCTCCATTTTTATTTATATACAAAAATTAGCTTATATAGCTCATATATTCACACTAAAAAAAAAAAAAAAAAAAAATCAAATGTTCTACCCCAAAATTACATGGAAAACTTTCCTTCAATTATAATTAATCATTTTTATGGAATTTTTTTAAAAAAATCGTTTTCCACATACTATTTTCGGATCCATTGTGAAGCAATAAACGAACTACGCTTCACAAATTTGCACATTACGAACACTAATTCACATGAGAATTCCAAAAATCAAACCTCCTAAACAACAATTCCAATCAACAACATAGCCCTAGAAATTCGATTATAGCACCAAAAATTCCGCAAAATAATCAAAACCATCTCAAACAATCAAATCAACGAACAAAATCAAACAAAATGACAAATCAAAATTAAAACATTTGATAAATGCGAATCGATCAATGATCAAACCAGTCAAATGCTAAAGAGATCCAAAATTGATCAAAAAAAAATGAAATTAAAACTTACAAGAAGATGAAGATTGAAATGTGAGATGAGATCTTAAGATAATGTTGAAGCGTTCTGCAGCTATTATGAATGGCTCCTGTGGGTCACTTGTGCAACTCCAGGAGGAGGAAGAGAAAGGAGGAGAGAGAAAATGAGAGTGAGAAAAGGGAGAATTTTTGGTGTCTGATTCTGTGAGCGTAGAATTTGTCTTTTTCTCTCTAAAAAACATAGAATTTTTGCTGTTTAAGTTTTTTTTTTTTTTTCCGTTTGCCGTATTGTACGAAGTAATACTCATTTTAAAATAGTGTTAACATTTTGACTTTGCGTAATTTAATGGTTTATGAAATATGAAGCAATGCATTAGATAATTAATCTCTTTGATACCGAGTAATCAAGTATTAGAATGTATAAGGATATTCTTTTATATGGGAATTCATGATTCATTTATACACGAGGATTGCAAATAAAATAAAACTAGGTCAGATCTCGTGCCATGCACATTGATTTATAGTTATATATAATTATATATTATTGATTGATAAGTAATATAATCATAAATTAGTCAAGGAATAATAAAAGTATGTGATAGGTTGATTTGGTATTTACATTTTTAAATTGTAGCATCTAATACACAACTTTTAAGAATATAATATTGTGATTTATAGTTGCCCAATTTTTTTTAAGAAAGATTTTTTAAATCTTTTTATTTTAAATATATTATTTACTACATTTTTTAATATGGAATACTTATGAAACATAATATTATTTTGTAAATGATTTGTTACCTTAACTAATAGATTTTTTTAATAAAAAATGAAAAATAACTAAGGATACACCAGGAGATGATACATGTCATTGCAGATGTGTCTTTTAGTATATGTTATTGATTGATTGATGTTCATACTACCCTTGTTATGAGAAGGTATAATAGCCCACATTAGCTATCTAGGACTCTAGGTAGTTCCACATTTTGTTTCACAATATACTTGTCGATTATTGCTCCAACTATCAAAATTATTGAGATCAATAAGAATGTTCGAAATAATGGGATTAATATTTCACAAGACTGTCTATGAACCTTTAATAGAGTTGATAAACATGAGATTGTCACCTAAAATAAGAGGGGGGGAAAAAATAAAAAAAATCTTGTTCAATTGCAAGAAGGATGTCATGGTGAAAAGTACAAAAGTTTTAGTGTTACAAAGCTAGGTTGAATGATGATTAACATAACCATTAAACACATGAAATGCATGGTAGGTTGAACTTATGGATTGAACAATTTTAATCATACAAGACCAAATTTGATAATGTGTTATCAATCCTTGAATAGTAAGTAAAAAAAGAATCAATTTTAATACGTACTACTCAATCTTTGGCGGTTGTCTTGGAAAAAAAAATAAAAATTTGCGGAATTGTTAATAGAATACAAAGGCTTACAAGGTCCATAATGTATATTTCAGGTTTCAACAAAATTTAACTATTGACATTGTAGTATAGATTAGTTCTTAGTTGTTGTGTTTAATTGTCATCATGGATAGGTGTTAGTATGTAATTAATTTTAAGTGTAAACCTTTTGTTCAACTAGAATTAACCTACACATTTGCTTATTGGATACTATTCAATTTAGTTGGATAAAGTCTAATGTATAAATTTGAGATTTGGGATCGATTCTTATGTTAGGTTCACAACTAAAACCTACACCAAAAATATATCGTCGATCATACCAACAAACATGGAAAATTAATTTGACGCACATTAGTTGTGCCAAAATTATTTCCGCTCATTATGAACTCTTAACCAAGTTCTACACACTTCAATTCATAAGGCCATATATGAGGTTATGAGCCATGCTTTCTCATTTTAGTTAAGGTAAGAATAGATATGCAATCTAAATCTACACTTACAACATATACTTGTATAATTATATTTATATATACAAGCCAGGCATAGACCTACAATGCAACACAATATCCATGTGTTTTCACTAAATTCAACATGCATGTGTTTTCCCGGACACTAATTAAAGTGTAAAAAATACTACTTACAAATTACAATGACAATAACAATATCACACGATTCTCCCCCACATTTACAAAGTCTTTGCAAAAACATTTGGAAATAATTAATAATCCAAGGATCATCTTGTCCTTTGCTTTTTAAACTTCATTGAGTTACTTCTTCTACTCTTTCTCAAACTTGACATCTGAACTTCATTGAGTTGATCCCTTCTTCTTCTCCTCCTCCTCCTATGTGACTTGCCTCCTTTCATACGAACAGTCCTCTCTTCAACCTTTCACTATTACAACGGCTCGTTCTTCTCCTTCTTACTTGTTCTCTATACGATTTTCTCTTTCGACCAAGACTTGAACCATAGTTATTAAAATCCCCCCTCTCATCACCATCTGAAGTAGACGATGTACTAATGTAGCCCAACTCAACATCCCTACTTAGTTGTCGCCTTAGAGGACGACGTCTACCACAATAAACTCGTTTGGTGTACCGGATCTTATGCCAACAAAAACAACAAATGTAGTCTAATGTCAACCATGAAGTTTCACAAGCAGCCCAACACATCTTACATAGGGACTTAGCTATACATTGACATAACCCCAACTTATATAACAAGTACAAGAAAACTAGGCCTGCAATTAACAACAAATTAAAATTTGTAATACTCCGTATCACAATAACGAAATATGTAAACAAATTACGCATGCAACAAAAAAAAAAGTATTACAAGTATATGCGACTATTAATTCCATGTGCAAATAATTACTCATTATCGATACTCTAGAATGTCTGAGTAATAAAGGACTTACATATGTACAAGAGATAACAAGCCAGCAGAAATTTCACCAAGTCGGCTATGCAGATGTGCTCAACAAAACAAACAACATCCCATTTTCCATCACATACATCCCTGCAAAATCAAATCATGTCACAATTTTTAATTCACATACTATTATTCAACAAATGATAAACATTATGGTATTATAAACTGATCACACTCTGTATTATTCGTAAATGCCGGTTAACTAGTAGTTTACTGGTACCGAGATCGTCTAATTATTCTCATATGAAAAATCCAGATTAAAATCAGAGTAAACTTACTGGCATGATCGATCGAAGATGGATTTGAATGGAGTGGCAACAATGTTTCCGATTACGGAACCAATATCATTAAGAACTTTGCTTGTAGAGGCTCCCATTTATGGTTCTATATGAACGATCACATCAGACTAGTCACAGACATACCTCCATTGATTTGGGTGAATTGGGTCTAGCGAAGACCGGAAGACCGAAGACAGAAAGACACCCGACACCGACTCTACACACCAGCGACACGAACTGTCGTCTGTCGAACTCCAAGTCCCGAACTGGTGATTTGGGTGAACAGAACCGGCGACGGGAGCAGGGGCGGAGCCAATTAAGGGCGGAAGACCGAAGACAGAAAGACACCCGACACCGCCACTGGACGGGAGAAGACGCGAACGAACCGACGAAGTGCCGCCGACGAGCCTGACTGCCTGAGAACTTCAAGTCTCCAACTTTCGAACTTCGAAGAGAGAGAAATTGAGAATTGAGAAAGTTAGGGTTTAGTTTTGCAATTTCTTTTCTTCTTTCTGTCTCAGTTCAGTTTTTTTTTTTTTTTTTTTTTTTTTTTGAAAATGTGGGGACAAGTGTCCCCACATGTCCCTTAATTGGCTCCGCCAATTGGATGATAAGTCAGCTCGTGTCCCGATACCCGGATTTTAAACCATACCAACTTGCAATAACTAATAAGGGCAATATGTGAACAATTAAAATAAAATTCTCATAGTTATAATACAAATGAAGAAAACAAAGAGTGATAATCAAAAAATCTTTTCCCTTTAATTAGTAACTCAAAATGTCAACCCATTTATGTTCAAAAGTAAAATTTTTTATTAATTAAAAAAAAAAAAAAGTAAAAACGAGTACTTGGTATCTAACCCAGATCCACGACAAAAACCTCTCATCAATCCAAATCCACCGCCGAAACCCCAAACCCACGACGAACCTACAACCCAACACCACTGATAGCCCTAACCCACAACCCACAATCGAAACCAACCCAACCAAACCCCACCCACACCAAACCGAAACCACCACCACCAGAATTTAACCAAAAATAATGAAATTTACCAAAACAAGCACGAAAATTACCAGAAATCATATCATATAAATGGATTTATTAAAAATTCAAAAAAAAAATTAAAAATAAGAAATCATACCTTTTAAACCGAAAATGGCCTTGAATTTCACCTCAAATTTCACCACTAAAACCTTTGTTTTGGCCAAATTTCGCGAATTTTGTGACGAAAACCTTCGTTTTGACCATGAAACCTTTGCTTTGACTATGAAAACCTTCGTTTTGGCCAAATTAAGCGAAATTTGTGACGTGGTGAAACCGTGGCAAAGAAAGGAAAAAAAAAAGGAGAAAGAGAGAGGTGTGAGGAAGAATAGAGGAAAGAGAAAGAAGGGAGGAGAGGAGAGAAGGAGAACAACGTGAAAAGGAGGGAAGAGAAAGCAGAGAGGAGAGAGGAGAGGAGAGCGTGAGAAGGAGAGAGAAAGAGAGTAACGGGGGGGGGGGGGAAGAGGAGAGAGAAAGAGGAGGATATCCGGGTACCCGAGACTAGCAAAGCCTGTCCCATGTCCCGACCCACGAAATTGTTATTTTAGCGGGACGGGTATCCGACCCGAAAAAAATAGAAAAATTTGTCAATTTCCCATCGGGTATTTTGCGGGTCATCGGATAATCGGGACGGGACAACCGGGTCGGGTTTTTTTTAACACCCCTAGTTAATAACTTACTACAATTTTTTCCTTTTTTTTTTTTAAGGATTTTTCCATTTATTTTCTCTTTTATTATTTTATATATATATATATTTTTTTTTTTTTTTTTTGGCGGAGCAAGTTTCCCTTAAATTTTCACTGTTCATTTTGTTAAAAACAAAACAAAATTTTTTTATTCATTGCCATGTTGTGCTTTTGCTCGTGGAGGTTAGGGGTGAAACTAATGCGGTGTAAAACCGAATCGAACCGCAAATCAATTCAAATCAGAAATGTGGTGCTGTTTTTTTTCTAATATGGTTCGATGCGATTTGAGGAATCCCAAAACCGAATTAATTGGTTTGGTTTCGATTTTTAGATTTGAAAAACCGAAACCGAAATCCAAACCAAATTATGTCTCATATCCAATTATGCTAATTGTATATTTGTATGTATATATATATCTTTGTTGTTTTGCTCTTTTTCATGTTGATTTTGTTGTTAATTACATGCCTAATTGTACATCATTTTTGCTTAAATTACCCTTGTTAATTTGTTATACCTCACTAAATACTGCTTGTTGTTGCTTTAATTGCTAAGTGTTAGTGTTTAAGCACTCCAATAATCACCAATTCCGTCAGTTTGTTGCTGCTTCATGTTGCTAGAAATTGTATTTGACTTGTGGTTTTTTTTATGTCCTAGAATGTCAACCAATGTGGGTGATGTTGGAGTGAATGACCAGTCAGATGGAGTAAAAAGGAAGAGAATGAAGAATGTTGATGTTGTTCGGTTTTCTTTTAAAAAATCGAATTTAAAACAGTGTGGTTTGGTTCGGTTTCAATAGTAATATGGTGCGGTGTGGTTTGAAAAATCCCAAAACCGAATTAATATGGTTTGGTTTCGGTTTGGGTTATAAACCACACCGCAAACCGAACTTTCACCCCTAGTGGAGGTGGCAGCCGAGTCTTTCAAATAAGGTAGACCTAGTTGATTTGCTCCAAGTTTATCAAGAGTTAAAATCGTCATTTTTGCTATAAAATAAAGGACAAATTTGTAAATCCATCCTCTTTCTTCTTCCTTCATCTCCTTCTTCCTCCTGTGAACACCATCAAAACCACCACCATCTTCTTTCTTCATCTCCTTCCTCCTTCAATCCACAACCAGAAACCAACCACCACCTTCACTCTTACCTCGATCACCACCTTCATCTTCTTCCTATGAGCCAACTAGCGACCACCATCTTCATCTTCATGCATCAACCAACATTAAAGGCGGCTTCGCCGTCAAATTAAACGAAAAATCTAAGGAAAATAGAGTAATTTAGGGCATGGTGAACCCTTAAAGGGTAGATGAGCTTTCTCTCCTCCATAGCTTTCTCCATTGAAGATGAGCTTTCATTTCTTGGATTGGATGTGAGCTTTCTCCATTAATAATAAAGCAAAAAAACAAAATTATGTGCAAAAGTAGCACGAATATCAAAGCAAATTATTTACCTAATTGCCACAAGATAAACATACAAAGTTTATCTTGGTGATAAACTTGGAATTCCTCCTTTTAAATCAAAGTATTAGACTATTAGAGTGGGTTGGCTCGGTTGGGTACTTGGGTTATATTTGGGTCAAATTGAGTCTCTACACTAAAGTAATACTTCGTATTAATATTTTGTTCATATAAGTGTATTAAGTCGACCGATACATTAGTTAATGAACAAATTTAACTATTTATATTTAGTTCATAAAAAATTGATGCTGTAAAATATGAGAATGACATATGATTAGTTTAACATCTTACATAATAACTTATGTTTTGTATTTATTTGTTATTTTTTGGAAATAAAGATACACGATTACAATTAGATTCTAGGTTTGTCTTCTCTCAAAACTAAAAACTAATTGATCTAAATTAATAAATTACGCTTTAGTGATACTTTTTTGGTTTCGTTAACTAAATACATTCAACATAGTTATTTTAAAACAAATGCTTTGTTGAATACCTAACAAGTTCCATTCCAAAAGGTCAGGAACTATTTGTAACATGTTCTTAATTTTAGTTCTCAGAACTGGAATCACAGATCCAATTGCAATTTCAAAACCATCGGTTTCTAACTTGTTATGTTTTCAATTCCGACTGAATTTTTTTACATATACCTGAATACAAGGTATATGTAAGGCTATTTTCTACTCATTTAATAATTTTTTCTCATTTAAAATCGTAAATTGAGCCAAAAAAAAAAAAAAAAAATCGAATGACCAAAATATCATTCTTGAATGTATGTGCAAAAGTTCTCAATCCCGACTTTTTCGATACCTATCCCTAAATGAAATAATCACGGGTACAAAGATAGCCCAAAATATTGATCCAAAGAAAGGAGGAAAGCCCAAACCCATAAAACACCAAAATTATCCAAAATCCAAATTTAAATACCCGTCAGAAAATTAAAAAAATCAAGGGGTTAGACAAATTCTAGGGTTTAAGGAAAACGAAGAAATCGGTGATCAGATCTTGAGGAGAGAGAAAAATGGCGATACCAAAAGGAAAGGGAAGAAAAGCGCGAGCAGAGGAAGAAGCCTGCAAGACCTTGAAGTGCTTTCAAGAGTGGACTAATTGGAGCTTGAAGAAGGCTAAAGTCGTCACTCACTATGGATTAATCCCTTTGATTATCTATATTGGGATGAACTCTGAGCCTAAGCCTACTCTTTCTCAGCTTCTCTCTCCTTTTTAAATTATTATTATTATTATTATTATTATTATTATTATTATTATTATTATGTTATCTTTTTATTTTGATTAGTCGGGTTGTTATAATGTTATTAAAGGTACTTATTATGAGTATTGATTGTTCAAACTTGAGAATTTTATGATGAGTTTTTTTGGTGTTAATTTGTTGGTGATTTTTGTGTTTATTGTTTTTTTAAATGTATTTTGATGTTAATTTGTTGGTTGTTGAATTGTATATTGGCGATTATGATTGTTAGGTTTTAGGGTAATGGCAAAACCGTGAGGAAGATGATGAATTTTGTTGATTATTACAGTTTGATTTTAGCGGAAGGGTGGAATCGCAAGAACTATGTTGAATTTAGGTGATTGTTTATGCCTATTTTTGGCATGTCTTTGGTAAAAAATATTGGTAGAACGAAGAACTTGGTGAACTTAGGTGTGGTAATTGTTCGGTTGACTTTGTTGTTATAATAGTTCAGTTGCAGTCGAATAATCGATAAAGCTCGAATCACTGTTGGAATTTGGTTATGATCATTCATTCTCTTGGAATTTTGATTTGGTCAGAACTTAAAAATTTACTTGTGATGAACAATTAAAGGTAGAATATAGGCAATTAGTACAGCATTGTGTGTCTGAAATAGATCTATTAAGGCGATAATAAGTACGGAGTACAAAGCTCATAACACCTGCCAATTCTCCTTGATAATCCTGCTGCACTCAATATGGCAAATGACAAAACCTCATAAGTCATAATTAAACTAGAGCATACATATGAACTTTACACCAGTTGAAATGACATCCTAATTACTCTACATTCGTTTGCTTCATTCTAATTATTCTACATTCGTTTGCTTCTATAATTACACGTCTGTGATACGACTATACGAGCGAGAGAAACACCAAGATGCCTGAGAGTTGTCTGAGACCATCAACACCAAGCACCTTCAAAAAGTGGAGTGGTTGGAGTGACATCTGCTCCAAAAGTCTTGACCAAATCTGAGCATTTGGGGTCTGGAACTTCTGTTTCGGTGTGAAGCTCCAAACCCAGTTCTTCCTCTATGTTATCTGATGCTGATATAAGAAGGAACTCACACCCTTCATAGTTCAGAAAATCAGGAGGATCAGCTGGCACATAGCGCTTACCTCCGAACTGCCCTTGCAAGTGTGCTGGAAACACGGCTTTGCGTTTGTTTCCAACCCCTTGGAATTCAGATCTCGCGCCACCTTGTTCTGGACTCTTTATCTGGATGATAAAAGAGCCTTCTCGCTCTATGTTGAGCTCTTCTTGAGGTTCATTTTTCTTGTCTTCAGGGGGTAGTTCTAGCTTGTATACCAAATGAGTGTGCATCTTTCTTTCAGAGTACTTGTGCCTTAGTATGCGGTATACACCTTCTCCTAGGGCCCTTGCATTGGGGTTGTGCCGATGTCCCCTTGTAGCAGTATCATATTCTCCTAAATATCGCAATGTACCAAAAATCAGATTAAAGCCTACTCTTGTCAACAGCATTGGGGTAACAATAGAAAATATGAAACTGGATCGTTGGAGCAAGATTAGGAACAGGATTGACATACCTCCTCGAAGAGCATCCTTGACATCATCAATCTTCGTGGTGACCAATTCAACAAATCCCCAAAAAGGCCTACTCTTCTTACCAGGATCAGGAAGACTCTTTCGTCCAGTGACAATGAATCGCAGAAGTGGTTGTTTCTCTATGTTAACTTCCTGCATTACCATGTCAAATATGAAACATATACCACGTTTTCACAAATTTGTAATATCAAGTAACAGAGCAGCTAATTTGACTGATCACCTTTTTTCCATGCCCGCCTTCAGGATGCTTTTCACCTTGATCCTCGTGATGACTCGAACTAGGACTATGCCCAGATTTCGTACCTTCTTTGCCAGAATCAGGGGCTTGCTTCTCCTCCACTGTCCTTTCACCGGACTCAGGGCGTAAAACTATGTACATTCTTTGAACATCATCAACACTGTGAGCTTCTTCTCTGTTTACCTTAGGCCTGTAGAAGAAAAATATCTCCCCTCTTTCCTGCAACGCGAAATAACATATTAAATAAATGTGAATGCAGTAGGGGAAGAACTCAATTTTTAAGTTTAAAGTATATGTTTTACAATAGTAAATCATCTTCAAATTAAATAAATACTCCGTAATATTAGCCGATATTAATGATGAACAATTATACAAGGAATCAATCCAACATGCATTTGTCCTGGAATTACCATTACTCCCTGACTTTTAGTAGAAATTAAACTTCCTTACATTTCCTTCTAGAATAGCTCTTCTTACCCAAAAAAAAAAGTTGCATTATTCACAACATCCCATGTTAACACACTAAAATTATTGACAATCAACAATACAAACATTATAGATTATAAAACAAATACTTAGAAAAACAATATTATGTTACTCGAACTTGGATATGACACATAAGGATGCATCTACTTACGCTCAGGTATTTTATGAAAAAAATTAACATACATAACAAAAATAACATATGGATCAATTAAATTGAGACAAGGGATTGAATAGAATAGACCTGAATTTCAACTTGAGGATCATTTCTAGTCTTAACTTCTTCACCTTGTCCCATATTTTTTTTTGTGCTTGCACGCGGTTGCTTTAATATCAGATATTGCTAAACATGGAAATGAAACGGTTAACTAGAAATCTAGTATAGTCGTCCTATAAAAGTTGATATGTTCAACTGAATATTCTGGTTACATAAAAGGACACCTGTCCTTTTCCCAATGAATGTCACCGCCACGTTACTAGAGCTTGGCCATGCCACGACCACGATCTTAAAGTTTGAACCGATGAAACTTGGCCGTGTTACTCACTTGTTCATCGTTCATGTGTTAACTTCTAGAGTCTTACTCGTAAAGTCGTAATACCTAGTCACTGTTCTTTATTTTTGCCTCCTTTTTCATATTAAGAAGTTTAGAAGTAGATTGCTATAATTCATAATTTACAATTTATTTAATTGTTACTATGAGTAATTAATTTTAAAGTTTCATATAGTTTGTTAAAAAAAAAAAGTTTTAATTATTTAGAAATTGAAGAGACCAATCTAACACGTTTATTCCCCATAAATATAAGAATACTAAAAAATTAATATCAGAATACAATAAATTAGTGAATTGTTATTTGTTATATTGGGGCAACTAATTAACGCAAATCGCAATATTTAGACATTATTTACTTAATTTTCAATAGCATTAGAACTAATTTCAGCTTATTTAATCTTATATATTGATGAATTTACGTTCAAAAAACATATATACATATTGATGAATTTAATAAAGTAAAAATTGACATGATTAATCCCAACTTTGCCTCATCCACCTGTATTAATCTCAACTTTAGATTATTTTTTATTACTCCGAACTTTATACTCCTTGCGCTCATAACACTCCCAGGTGACCGGTGACTTGTTGAGTAGGTTAATTTTTTTTGTTTTTGAAGTTTAATATATACTTGTCAGCATATGATAGGTAAAAAAATAAATAAAAAAAAGATTAAAATAAAAAAAACAAAAAAACCAAAACCACCAACCCAGCCACCCACAGCTAGCCCGCCGCCACCCACAGCCAGCCCAACCCCCTTCCCCTCGAGCTCTGGCCGCCACCCAGACCCCCTTCTCCTCCCCGGTGTCGGCGCTGCCCCGACCACCCTCCCCTTTCCCCTTAAAACCTCCCATAACCCCTCCCCCTCCCCAATAAAAGCTGCGCAACTCAACAACCACCAATTGTAATTCCCGGTAATTTTGTGAAATTTAAAATTATATTTTAACATATTTATGTGAATATTTAATTATGATTATTTATTTACATAATTTATTTTACTATGATTTAAGCAAATAAATTTAATGTTTACAAAGTTAATAAAATTATTTCATTAAATTATTTCACTACCCATATTTTAATCATGAATTATTATGCAAGCCCAACCCATTAATTACTAAGCCTATTCTTTAATCTAAAACCCACTCACTTTAAGCCCAAGTAACAATCCTAGTTTTATTAGAACTAGGAAACCCAAAACCCCACTTTTTAATCATTTAAACCCACCTAAAATTTTCCACCTTTTTACTCCAAAAACTCACGTTCAACTTGCTGCTGCTACCGCCGCCTTCTTCTTCCCATTCACGATCAAACCCACATTAAAAAAAAAAAAAAAAATCTGCTTGCTGCTCGGCGACACCAGCCACCACCGACGCCACCACTGCTGCTCCGGCATCCACCTCGGCCCCCTCCTCGACAGCAGTTCGCCCCTTTCTCCTTTCTCCCTCTTGTTTTCTCTTCTTTGTTAATTCAACCCAAGTTTAAACCTTTATCAATTTTGTTATTTAATTGTTATTATTATGGTTTGATTATGTATATGAATTATAAAAGATTATAAATTTATGAGTTTTATATGTTTAAACTATGAAATAAAATTTCAGATTTATTTAATTAAGAAAATTAAGGCTTAAAACGGTTAGTTTTCATGTTTTAGGGTTTTAAACATGTTGCTAAAATTATTTAATTAAAGCATGATTATATTGTAAGTCTACTATGATGATTGATGACATTAAATTCAAAAGCAATTTTTCAGTTTTCCGTAATCAACTTTGATCTCCGTTCTTAATTTTTTTAATCACGTTTAGATTCTAAATCGTCCGATTTATACAAAAAAAAAATAGTGTTTTTCGTGTGTAAACGACGTTTTAATCAAAATTCAGTACCTTTGGTAGTGAGAACCACCCTTTCGTGGCCAAATTTGGCCTCTAAATATGGTTTTTGGGCAGTTTTTTATTTTTAACGAAGGTTTAATGTTTAAAATAAATTTTCAGATTTTTATAAAGCTCTAAACTTGCTGTAATTTTATGAATAAGTATGTATTTTAATGTTTTTATTTAGGAAATTTTAAGAATAATATATAAGCTTTTAATTCTAGCAAAAAGGAAGGTTTTAAAGTGTTATTGAATTGAATTTTGAAGGTTTGATAGATTGAGTTTTTATGAAACTAGTTGAATTCTAATTATATATTTTAAGTTTAGATTGTTGTATTCATACATTCTACTATTAAATTAAATTTTCAGATTTTTAATCTTGGTTTTAAAGGTTTTAAATCATGGTTTTATGATGGATTTTTAGGTTTTTAACATACTAACCTACTATATAATGATTATTTCAAGTAGAGATGTTTATGAGGTTGTTTTATATTCTTAAACTAAATTTCCAGATTATAATCCTTACTTTAGAGTTGCTGGAATTTTATGTTAGAAGCTATATTTTCATAATTTTAACATATAAACTTATAGTTGAACTATTGAATTATTAACTTTGACTAATGTGAGTAATTTAAAAGCATTATTTCAATGGTTTAAGGGGTTTTAAAGTAAGTTAGTATTGCTGTAAATTATATTGCTTGGGTATTGATTGAATCATGTTAGGGAAACTTGTAGATTGGTTGAAATTGTTTGGTAGTGAATTTGATTGATGATTAATGTGATGATTGGTTTGATTCATGTATGAGAAATGCGTATTGGTTTTTCTTGTAAGTATTATTTATGCAATAACTTGCAAGATGGGCTTAGAGACAAAGATGGAATGAATTATTTTATTACTCATTCATAATTAATGAAATGGAATGAGTAAAGGGAGATTTAAAGTCTTATAAGACGAGGTTGAGGATTGAGGTGCCCTATGCACTTAAGGTGTTTATACACCGAGGTAGTTAAAGGATTCAATAATAAATATTGTTTGTCACTAATAAAACAAGAATTGAATCGGAAACTTGAATTGCTTAAATGATTATTGTTTGATTGATGGTATCGTTTTGCATTTGAGTCACCACCAAGTTTAAATTGGTAAATCACGTAAAGTGCAAGGTGGATGAGCAATAAAACTCTGGATTAGTGCACATCTAGAGTATTGACGATCAGGGGTTGGGGTTCACGGGGTATTAGCCGTGTACTTTCTAAAGGCTGTCTGATCTACGAGTCTCTTGTTTATAAATGTTTTTCTAAACTATAAGGAGTTAGATGAGATCTCATACTAGCTATGGCCACGGAGTCGCGCCCATCTGCCATTGGATGTTTATAGATGTTTCCGAAAGGAGGCATGCGGTTTTTCTTTATTGATGTTCCGAAATGGAGCATGGGGAGACAACCTTGTCTATTGCTTAATCCAACCAATGAATGAAATGAATTATTGTTAGTAATTAGTGAAGTCTTAGTAATGTTAACAGTTCAGGCGCGTGTGTTTGAGTCAATGATTAGATTGTGTGTGCTGATTGATTTTTAGTAACATGTTAGGGATTCTTTGTTATATTTCGCAGCTGGTATGTACTCAGCGTTGCTGATTGCGTGCTTTTGTATGTCTTTTTCTTGGTCATGGCCTTTGCCTTTTCAATGACCCTGTAATGATCCAATTTTTACACTTGTAATATTGGGGAGCAGATTAATCACAGGTTTATACATAATCAGAACTTGCATCAAGGTGGTGGGATTTTGAGTGGAGTGTTGGATATTTCCATAGTATATATTTCGTTTCATAAGTTTGGATTAATTAAACTCTGGTTTGATTTAATTACTACTTTTATTGGGTTTTGAATAATGGCCTTAATGGTTCCAATTTATAAGACTAAATTTGGTTTTGATTTTTGGTTTTGAAACTTATTCATATCTGAGTTAGTTTTTCCGCTGCTAAACTCTGAACTAGCCTTAACGTTTGAACACGTGGCGGTAGCACATCAGTAATTCTCTTGCAAATTGATAAAGGTATTTACAGGTTTTTAAGAGAGAATTATTGGGGTGTTACACCAACCACCGCAATTACTATCACAGTAGTCCAGCCGGAGATTTCCCTCACCGCTGCAGCAGCTCCGCATCTCAAACACCTATCACCGCAACTCCGTACTTCGCGCACTTAACAGAGCCCGCAACTCTGCCAACGACAGCAGCAAATCAGCCACTGCACCGCAACAACCACCGACCCAATTTCGCCTATCAACTCCACTCCGGCGATCCCTTTACCGCTGTCGGAGATCGAAGGTTAGGGTTAGGGTTTGGGATTTGGGGGTTGGGATTTGGGGGATTTTGTTGGATTTCGTGGTGATCGAAGGGGAAAGGGGAGGGTGGTCGGGGCAACGCCGACACCGGGGGAGGGGAAGGAGTCTGGGCGACGGCTGGCGCTCCGGGGGGGTTGGGCTGGGCATGGGTGGCAGCGGGCTGGCCATGAGTGGTTTTGGTTTTTTTGTTTTTTTTATTTACTTTGTTTTATTTATTTATTTTGTATTCTATTTATTTATTTTTTAAGCCAATCATACGTTGACACGTGTCTTGTAACATGTAATATTAGGTTGGATGACCGGTTGGGAGTGTTTTTGGCGAACGGGGTATAAAGTTCGGATTAATAAAAAATAATCCAAGATTGGGATTAATATTGGCAGATGAGGCAAAGTTGGAATTAATCATGACAATTTTCCCTTTAAATAAAATTCTTCTAAGGGTCATCATTCCTCTATTTACTTTCTTTTTATAAAAGTATTTCATCAAATTTAAAAGTAAAGCTACCAAAATATACTTTTGTAACATTTATCCATAAACACATATTAGACAATTCGAAACTTAATAGCCGAACTAATCAAAACATTCATCTTTTTTATTTATTTATTTATTATTATTTTTTTCCTTCTATGAATTTAACCACTACATAGATCACCATCATCCCAAATCACTTGGTAGAGGTGTCAATTCTGGTACTCAGATCGAGTTTAGTGAGTTCGGGTCGGCTCGAGTGTATTTCAAAGTTGAGTCGTGCTAAGTAGTGCCACAAAAGTTTTGCACCTCTACCACTGTGACTGTGTATAATATATATATGTTATTAACCCTAATTTATACTTGAGTATCATTACTCACATTAACTTTTATCTGAAATTTTTTTTCTTAAACTTATTTTATTAGACCTTATTAACCCTTATCTAATCTTACCTTTTTCTTGAAATAAGAGAAATCAAGGTAAACCAAACATAACATTGATCGGTTTGTAAGGAGTTAGTGAAACTTTGGATACGTTCTATTCGCAAGAATACATGATATTTACTTATCTGAACTTATATTATTTTATTATAAACTTATCGTTGATGTATTAACTCAAACTACTCCGTAATTTTAGTTAAAATTAAACTTCGGTCCTAATAAGATCTTATCAAAACTTCTTTTTGAGCCTGAGCCCATGTTCATAAAGGTTAACCATTAATTCGTATAACTATGGTCCACTTAGTTCTATAACCGAGTTTATTCATACATTCTTAATCATACCACTACTTGTATTTTCTATAGAAGTTCCCTTTTGGTTGGGTTCACTCTGCTTCCCTCCTAAATCCAGGTTCCTTTCCTCCCTTCTTTCAATCTCTAATTTTTCTGGGCTTTTCATCATTTTATTAGAACGAGCTTCAATATTTCCCCCTTATTATTTCGGCATCAAATTTGACTAGATTTAATTTCCTCCTCGAATTTCTCTGCAAATAACATCAATTATTTGTTGTTTCAGAAAACAACCCCAAATTCGAGTTCCTCAATTCCAACATTCTTCTCTTCCGCCTGTAATATTCTCTCTCCTCCTTTTTTAATCGATTTTCGTTTCTGCGACATTAATTCGTCTCCAAATTTCTTTACTTTATTGTTATTTTTTATGATTTGGGCAAAAGAATTCAAAAATTGAAGTGGGTAACTGATAAAATTGCTATATTTGTTATCAGGGTTTTGTTTCAAGTAATGCAACATGAATAACCCAATTATTGGTAATCAATTTCTCTCTTTCTTTAGTGGTTCTAAGTTTGCAATTGTTATTATAATTTTTTTATTTTTATTTTTGAATTTAATATTATTTGTTGGTTTGAAGATCCATTGCAAGGGGATTTCCCTGAAGTGATAGAAGAGTATTTGGAACATGGTGTTATGAAATGCATTGCCTTCAATCGTCGTGGCACCCTTCTTGCTGGTATAATTTTCCCTCTTTTACTGTGTTTAATTATTGTAAAAAATTGTAGTGAAGTTATGAGCTAGAATTTAATTGAAATTTTTTGTTTGAAGAAAAATTATTGCTTTGTTGAATTTTAGAATTGTCTGTAATTTGGCTTTGATTAAGTTGTAGAACATATTTGTGGGGTTATCTGATTTGTTTTATCGATTTGAAATTCCGAAATTTGTTGCTTCTGCATCATAATTTTAATACTTGGTTTATTAGTAGCTTTGGTTAAGTGGTGGAAGAATATATGTGGGTTTATCATGTTTCTATCCTAGAGTTGAAATTTGTGGCTCCTACATTAGACTTTCGGGCCCTGCATCGCCTTGTTTTATTAGGTTTTAAGGAGTTTGCATTGTAGAATTGATGATGAATGCTTGGACTTTTGGGACAAAGTCATTGACATCGGTATTGTTTTGCTTCTGTTGCAACTGCTTAGAAGGTTATAGCTACAATTTGATGTGTTAAATGTTACCGCCATTTAGGTTGGGAAGGAATTCAGCTACTGTTTATAATGATTAATTGATCTAACCCGAACTAATTCTGATATTCAAGAGTAAAAATGAAGAAAAATTTCTCATCTCGTCTCGTCCTCTGGAAATTCTTCATCCTTGCAGTGCTGTATAGGAATGAACACTGAAATACTGATTATGTTCACGTTCTGTCGTGGGTAAACCGGTAAAGAAGTATGAGAGATTCATGCGATTATTGACTTGTTTATGCATCAGAAATCTAGGGTATTTTATTTCTAAACTGTGCTCAATTGCTCATTTACTTAGGTGGACACTCCATTTGCATCCTAATGTCTTAGTGATTTCCAGTATCCCAATGTGTATCTTGTGGTTAGTAGCATTCATCAAAACTGGAAAGGTTTCAAGCTGTCAAGCTGGGATTTCACTTATGGTCATTATTCTATTTTGTTGTTATTCCAATATATTTGTATAACTTTTGACACTTTCTATTTACTTAGCTGGCTGCTCCAATGGAAGCTGTGTCATATGGGACTTTGAAACTCGGGGGATTGCGAAAGAGCTCCAAGATAAAGATTGTAATGCTGCCATTACAAGTGTCTCTTGGTCAAAGTATGGCCATCGCATATTAGCTTCTTCTGCTAACAGAACATTGATTCTCTGGGATGTAGCTACTGGAGAGAAAGTTGCCCAAACAGCATTGGAAAAAGCACCTTTGCAAGCCCGCCTTTATCCCGGATCTTCTACTCCATCTATGTGCTTGGTGTGCCCTGTCTATTCCCCTCCTTTGATTATTGAAATGAAAGCTGGAACAATCACTGCTTTGCCTGCATCAGTTTCAGATGGGGGAGATGGGCTTTCTGTTCCTTCCCGAAACAAAGTCTTTGATGAAACTACTCCTCACATTCCTGCATGCTTTAACAAGCATGGGGATCTCGTTTATTTGGGAAATTCTAAGGGGGAGATCCTCGTAGTTGATCATGATAAGGCTCAAGTACGTGCCCTTATTCCTCCAGCCGTGGGTGCTGTGATCAAGAACATTGTATTTAGTAGGAATGGACAATATCTTCTCACAAATTCCAGTGATCGGATTATTAGGGTTTATGAAAATATGCTACCTACAAAGGATGGTCTGAAAGCACTAGATGAGATGGATGAAACTTTGAATGATCTTGGTTGGGTTGAGAAGTTGAAGGCAATTGGATCTAAGAGTTTAGTCCTATACCGAGAGTTTCAAGACTCTGTAACCAGAATCCACTGGAAGGTTCCCGGTTTTAGTGGTGATGGTGAATGGGTTATTGGTGGCTCTGCTAGCAAAGGAGAGCATAAGATATACATATGGGACCGGGCAGGACATCTTGTGAAATTCCTTGAAGGTCCAAAAGAAGCTTTGATTGATTTGGCTTGGCATCCGGTTCACCCTATTGTTGTCTCAGTGTCCTTTTCTGGCTCAATCTTCATATGGGCTAAAGACTACACTGAGAACTGGAGCGCTTTTGCTCCTGATTTCAAAGAGCTTGAAGAAAATGAAGAATATGTAGAAAGAGAAGATGAATTTGATATCATGCCTGAAACTGAAAAGGTCTGTTGGTCATGGCTGTGTGTTCTTGCAATGTAGTTTTTCTTGATTTGCTCGTTGTTAATTTGTGTTATATTGATAGGTTAAAGATTCAGAGGCTAACCAGGAAGAAGAGGTTGATATTATAACAGTGGAGCATGATTCAACTTTCAGTGACTCGGATTTGTCGCAGGAAGAACTTTGCTTCTTGCCTGCAACCCCTTGTCCTGACGCTCCTGAGCAACAGGATATAAGTGTTGGAAATTCACTGAAATTGGTAGAAAATAATCACTCAGTGTCTCCTTTATCAGCAGATGCAGCACTAAATGGGCTAGCTATGAACCACGAGTCCGGTCATGTTGAAGGTAAATGCTTGATCAATCATTTGTCTGAATCATTTTAAGATGCTTCTTTCTTGTCAATTGTTCTCGGTAGGTGATACGAAGTCGTTGGAGATGCATGTAATTCAAAATATGTTACGCCTTACGCGTTGGAAAATAGAAAGCAAAAGATAGAAATTAAATAAGGAAATATTACTGCATTCTTGCTCAAATGAAATTAGAAGAAAGTGCCTTTAAATAGGTTACAAAATAAATCAACTTCCTAAAGAAACCAACTAATAATCTTGGAGTACTTAGTGTCATAAACATAGGAACCATATCCCGCCAACTGAATCATGCTACCAGTTAATGCCACTAACAATGTTGGCTTACTAACTAAAGCTAGAACATAGCAGCTAAATCAGAAAGACTAATAATTGATGTGACCAAAGAATACTTATTTTGAAGCATTTTTAGGATTTCTATACTAGTTATATGTATTGCAATATAGGTTACAGGTGAAAGAAAACCTTTAACTACGGGATACTCAAAGATCAGCTTATCCTTATCAATACTTGTCAATAATTTCAATACTAACTAGACCAGACTTTCTCATGGAAAAGACATAACCACATGCTAGTCCAGAGGGGACTTGATTTGAAGGACAAGTAGCTGTTTGTGGCTCATCAGAACTTTCTTTTTGGAAAAGAAAAAAAAAAATAAAAAAATCTTCAGAAACTTCAAGGAACAGGCTGAAAGATGAGTGATTGTTAGATATGTATGAAAAATCCTAAAGTCATGATCTACATATTAGATGTTGAAAGTAAGTGAAGTTCATTGTTAAGCTTTGCTGCTTAAGCTGGACTCTGACTTGGTTTCAATCACCAATGAAACTAAACTACCTTTAATCAGGTTTCTCTCACATAATCTAAGGATTTTATGTTTGAGTTTGCTTATTTAGGTATATTGCGTGATACTAGATAGAATTCAGAGGCTATGGACTGGTCTGCGCTTATTGGCCCAAAACAAAGATCCATTATGTACATAATTATGGGAAATGTGTCCAGTAATGATTTATTTATTTTCAATTAGCAGAGCAAATGCTTAGATATCTATATACCTATATAGGTATATATTATCTCCCAGTCTTTTTGGGTTAGTCTTCCTTTATGTGGTAGAATCAAAGTAAGAGTGTAAGACTGATGGCAAAGCTCATGTATAGAAAAAATTGAGGTGCTAAAAGTAAGCTCTAAAAGATTGAAATTACAGTTTTGGTTGCGATCGTGGGAACAATTGTGGTTGTCGTGATAATTTGAATTCAAAGTCTTTTTAGGATTCTATAATAGTTGTACACAGTATACTATTAGATTAGTTAGAGTAAATTGTTAAGAGGCATAAATCTATTATTGGGGAGACGGGGAATCTTTTCAGTGCATCTCTAAAGACGGAGTAGCAAGTAACAAATGATTCAGCATCCAATGCTGGGCTATACAGGGGTTTTGAAACACCCCTGAATATCCTTAACGATACCGCCGAACTGAAATGATGCAGCCGTATTTCATGGTTGAAACTTAAAAGTGACTGGAAGGCCTGATGTGTCTTAATTATGTTCGAGTATCTCCTTTTGGTGGGAATTACAACTAATAACATGAGGGTACTCCATGCATTTAGGCAACTCAACAAATTGAAATGCTGTTTTATTGTTTCAGTTAAACTTTTTAAGTATTCTCTCCGTCTGTTTTTGTTTGCTCCGTATTCCTCTTTGGGGTGTCCCTTTGAGATTGCTCCATTGCCTTGGTAACTTTCCCACTTGCAACCCCACTGTCTCTCTCTCTCTCTCTCACACACACACACACACACACACACACATCAACCCCACTTGCAAACCCATATGCACAAATTTGCCTCTTTTTTTCATTAAGTGAACTTTACCCTGTGGAGAAATTAAAAAGGGACTAAGGGAATATAACTTAAAATTGATGTGTTTAGCCTATGTGTTCAATTACCCCCTTTTTTTTTTTTAAATAAGAAAATATATACAAATAGCAGTAAGAACAGAAACAGAGGACAAGTTGCCCTTGTAAGTTGTAACAGCCAAAAACAGATCTAATATTAGCCCAATTTTGACGAATAAGCCTTACTGAGTACTCCGTAACTCTTAAATTCTCCTTCCACCTTAGCTCACAACAGAACTAAATACTTCAGTTATCCTATCCCACAATCCCACAACAAATACTAACCAGCAGTTTCAAGGTTTTTTCTTAATGTAGAGATTGTAGACCCAATAACAATATGGAGTATCACTGACTAAAAATGAAGACTATGAAGTCCAAAATGTGCTAGATTCATCTGTTTATTTTTTCTAATTGACTTGAAATTCTTGATAATTTGAAGTATATTGTGCTAAAATTCCATGCAAGGACTTAAATGATCACCATCTGATATGTTACTATGTGATGGATCAATCAGTAGCAATTCTCAGTTGTCTATATGGCTGTCTGGCTGGGCTGGCATAAATTTACTCGACCCAAAAAAGCCTGATCAGAACTTAATCTGAGATAACCTGCTAACACCAACTTTTAATTGGAAGATTAAAACTGACTCTAAAACCCTTTTTGCTGAACTCGTTACTGACCTGGCTAAACTCGTGACTTGAAATTGTGACGACACTGCCAATTATATCAATGCTTGTGCATGCTATAAGAGTTACTTGTCAATGATATTGATATGAACGCCATTTTGGTTTACAGGTATAGACAATTCTCCTGCAGAAGACACAAGTGGACGCTTGAAAAGGAAGCGGAAACCCTCTGAGAAGGTCTTGGAGTCACAGGCAGAGATGGTGAAGAAACCTGTGAAGAAGGCAAAGCCTTCAGCTAAAGCATTGAAACCCAAAGATAAAGTAGTTGATGAAGATAATGGTTTATCAGTATCTGTAGATGAGGTTTCTGATGATTATTATAGATGATCTATTTCTTTAATGTACACGTAGGCTCCTTTTTTTCCTCAGTAGCTGAAGGTCCTATCCTAACTGTCATAAACTGAGCAGGAAGTTAGGACTGTAATGGTATGAAGGAGACAAAATTGTTGACAAATGCAGCCTATTTGTACAGGGTATTTCGCTCTAGTTCCATCTGCGTTGGGAGATGAAAGTTACAGAGTCGAGCGTAGGAGTTAAGATAGTGTTTTGTAGTTAGGTGATAGTATCTGTAGACAGCCATTAAATATTCAAGATTTTGCATTTGCTTTTCCTGTATTCAAGAGATTTCATAGAAGCAATTGAAGCTAATTAACCCTCCCCAAGAAGCGATGTACGTATGGTTTTTTCCTTTGTGTCAAATGTTGAAATGGAAATGGTAACTCTTAGGATCATATAGTGTTAGGTATGATTATGAATTAGATTGTGGAAACATACATCAATATTTTGACAATAGGAAAAAGGGACTCATAGTTGTCGATCTCATGGCATTCTAAGGAACATTATATGTGGTGTAAACTTAAAATCGAGCACTTGTTCCACAATTTGTAACAATTTGTCCCATATCTATCTTTTTCTTGATAAAAATTGGGTGAGTGGGTATTGGGAAATAATTTCGATACCCTGTGTTAGGACAAAAAATTGGGCCTTATGGTTTATATTTTAAATGAAAATTCTTTGTAGCTTTTTTTAATGGATGTAAAAATTACATGAGGTAGAATTACAATATTTAGTCTAACCATATGGTCTTTGGTTTTACATGTGCAAACTGATAGGACTCTACCTGAAACATGTTACGATATACCAATTAAGGCAATTACCCTTTATTAGCTATCAATCATTTAATCTGGAGACCCCATTTTCTTGGGAGGGCCTGTTCTAGGTTCCATGTAAGACATGTATGTAGCTGGACTTGAACCCTAATTAGTAGGACACTTGTTAACTCATAAATCCATTATATACATCATTGTTCTTTCTTAAGGGATATTCAGACTCAACTCATTACTTTACACTTTGCCATATCAGTTTTATACTAACTTTTACTCACTTTATATTATTCGACTCATCCAACCATCTCTAATTTTAGACTTTATTTTATGTCCTTTTTTTCCCACACTTTACTTTCCCCCATGTGATTAGGGTCTTGAAAGCAAAACCCAATTAAGACTTTGACCAATTGTCAAAGACTTTCTTTTAGACCCCCTTTAAGATGAGTGAGTGATAAGTCGTGTTTTGTGCATATTTGTTAGCTTATTTTTAGTTGGTTTTATTAGCTTAGTCGAGTGTTTTAGTCTATTTTGGTGTAATTTGGTTTAGTTTCGATGATTCGATACTTTTATGGGTAGTTTCGTTGTTTTTGATGTATTTCAGGATTAACGGAGCTAATTTGGAGATTTTATGAAGTCACGAAGCTAAGCCGAGGCCCACGAACCTTCACGAGACCTTACTCGTCCACTAGGGTAGCCTAGGGATTTAAAGGGCTTGTTGCATACGCTAAATGCAATCCTGATTCCTACGACAGTGAATTATATGAAAATGGAGTATGGTTGGCTAATCTTGAGTATAATAATTATGGAGTATGAAAACATATTGCTTAAGAATATCAAATCATGTGTTCGAGACGAACTTGAGTGAAAATGAAGCAAAACGTTGATGAAATACTTGACAAATATGACACCTGTTCACTATTATGCTCATATCTTTTGATATACAAATGATAATGGAGTGATTCAAATTGCATTGGAAAGTAGACTTGAAGACCTTTCCAACGATATATTACACGCCTCAAATGGAGCTCCGGATATGAAGTTATGACTGATTTATGATGAGTGATACGCGCAGCAGAGGAGGCACGTCCGTGCCCCGTTGAAGCACGTCCGTGTCTCATCGCGAAAGAATTAATCCAAAGTTTCTTCCATAGAGGCACGTCCGTGCCTATTGAGGGGCACGTCCATGCCTCCTGGGAGGATTATGCGCCAAGCAACTTACTTATCTTATTATCTTTCTAGGGCTATATATATATATTAAGTAGAGTTTTATTTCTTCATCAAGTTTTATTTTAGCCTTTAGTTTTACGTTGTTAAGAACTAGTTCTCTCTATTTATTTTCTTTGCTTTTGTAATTCAAGATTCAAGAATTCTACTTTCCGTTCTCCATTTAATTCAAGATTCGGTATTTTCTTTTAATCTCTTGTTTCTTAATTATGTTTTCTTCAATCATTATTGTTATTGTTTATTTAATTATGAGTGAGTAGATTCCCTATTCCAAGATCTAGGGTAGCCCAATTATGATTGATGCATGAATTAAATCTTTAAATTCTCTAATGACTTTTGCAATTTCTATGCTAAATTGATTGTGATTATGCCAATGCTAGATTAGACGTAATTTTAGTATTGTGATTATTCCATTGTTTCTATCACAGCGAGAGTTGGGTTTAAACGGATTTGAGTAGATCAATTTAGGGTTTGATATTCAACACGAGAGTAGTTGGGTTTGATAATTGGGAAGTTAGAGTAATGTGTTCAATGTCTCTAATATGCATGATACCATGAGAATAGGCTTGATTGTATGTTAGGGAAGCCATTGATACTCGAGAGAGGTCCTTGGTACTTATTAGGGTTTACTTTTCCCCGTTCAATTGGAATCGTATGTTAGGGGTAGAAATATAATTGCATCAAGCGTAATTGTGGTGATACTTGATCTTGGATGTTTTAATTACTTGATTTCTTCATATTCTTTAGTTTATTTTCGAATTTTCCATACATTAGTTCCTTAGTTAATCGATCATTATTGATTCTTGCTTAGTAGGAATTTGAGTCTATTTAATTATTTTTGAACCTTAGTCTCTTGGGATTCGACCCTTGCTTGCCCTGCTACATAGTAGTGGTCAGTTAGGTTATATTATGTTAGGTACGCGACACGCCTATCAGTGAGCCCCCAGTTTTCTCAATTGAAAAACATCTCATGTTTCTCAAATGGCAAAAGTGGTGCAATTTTGTCACTATTTTATTGTTTTTAGTTGGCTGACTCACCCTCTTGGGGCCTCTCCCTCTGTCTCCTTCCATTGCTTCAACTTTATTCATCATACCTTCTTCAACCTTATTCATCATCTTCAACCTTTCTCATCATCAATGGTGGACGGACCTCAACTCCATAAAAAACACCATACTCAACACCACAACAAACCCTAACCTCAACACCACCATTTTCGGTGACTTTGCGCCGAATTTAACGAAACACCCTAAAAGAAATATATAATTTAAAGGCATAGTTAACCCCAAATGATTGGTGTTTGTCATTGTTTGTGTACCTTCCTCTATTATTGAAGAATTTCTCGACCTCCATTTTGAAAAGAGACCAGTGGAATATAGGTTACGGATTAACGGTGTTAATTCCCTGTTTTGTTAAACCGACATTAATAACCTTGCTTGTTTGACCAAATAGGCGAAAATACCCTCTTGAGAAACATACAATGTTTCTCATGTTGAGAAACTTATATGTAGCCCTTCAAGACTAGAGACAAACTTTACTCTCAAGTGTAGGGATGTCAATGGGGCGGGGCGGATGTTGTCCTTCCCATCCTCATCCCCGCGGCTGGTCCAAAATTCATCCTCATTTCCGCCCTGGCGGGTACAATTTCAAAACCATTTCCGCCCTATCCCCCACTTGGATATCCACCCCCACCTAAGACTCGCCTCCCAAATACAATAATACTACATAAATATTGATAATAATAAAAAAAAATCATTGTTTATATTACACGTTTTTTTTTCTTATAATATAAGTAAAATACAAATTATTATACTTTTACTGCGTACATTATTTTACTTAATTTATTTTATAAAATTATAGAAGTACATAATTTTATTTTTTAAAATATTAAATGTGGGCATGGGGTGGGTACGAAGTGGGGCGGGGCGGGTATGAAGTGGGGCGGGGTGGGTACAACCTAAAATCCACCCCCGCCTCATCACCCATGACGGGCATGGTTTTTATCCTCATCCCCGCCTCACCACCCGCCAAACTGGGACCCATCCCCTCCCCACTAGGACGGGGATGGAACGGGTTTCCTACTTGACCCGCCCTACTAACATCCCTACTCAAGTGCACAAATCATAGATAGGAATATAGGATGTCTATAATGATTAGTGATATGGTAAGGAGTACATTATATTTTTTTTGATCCGATTCTTTTTAGTACACATTTTGACATTTAACAATATTCATGAACGGAGAAATTAGTTAGTAAAAAAAATTCTCAATGGTATTCTCAAACTCTCAATAATTGCTCCACGAATTTGGTAATTCTTTTTTTTGGAAATTTTGCATAAAACCACCTTTTTAATCTTGTTTTTTGCAATTAACCACCTTATAAAAAAATGTTGCAAAAGGCCACCACTTTTTAAAAAAAGTTACAACTTAACACCTACTGCCGGAAAGTGGCTATTTGACCAGCTGTTCCGGCGTTGACCCAGTCACGTGCCACGCACGTGACAATAATTAATCCCTAATTCCCCCCCTTTTCTTTTTTCTTTCCTTTTCTCTTTCAATTTCCCTCTTCTCCCCCCGGTTCCTCTTTCTTTCTCTTTCTTTCTCGCATTTAATCTTCTCGACAATTGTTGAGCAGGTTGTAGAGTAGACTTGACAGACGATTTATTGCATTTGGTTGAAATATTGCTGGGTAATCCAAATAAGGTAAAAAAAAATTGATTTTTCATCTACTATTTTCATTGGGTCTCTAATTTTCGCCCAATTACATCATCTTCTCTGAATTTATCTCTGAACAATTGTTGTCATCAATGGTTAAAGGTACAAGAGGCAAATGCAAGGCTCAATTTGAGGGGGGACCAATGGGAGATTGAGACATTCAACCTAGGAGTACCAATTTAAGAAAGAAATTAACAAACCCTAATTTCTGTAATTCGCAAAATTAAATTGAATTTAATTAAACGAATTTAATTATTAGAGAAGAGACGAAGAAGAAGAACAGAGAAGAAAAAGAAATAGAAAAAAAAACCTTAATTGAATGTTAAGAAGAAGCGGCAATCTACAATGGAGGAGGATTAGAGATGCGAGGAAGAAAGAGGAATGGAGAAGAGAAAGAAAGAGGAAAGAGGAACAGGGGAGAAAGTGGGAAATCGAAGGAGAAAAAGAAAGAAAAAAAAAGGGGCTCATTAAATGTCATGTGCCACGCACGTGACTGGGCAATAGGTGGTAAGTTGCAACATATTTTTTACAATATTTTTTTAATAAGGTGGTTATTTGCAAAAAACAGGATTTAAAAGGGGGTAAAATGCAAAATTTCCCTTTTTTTTTTTTTTTTTTTTTTGAAAATTTATAAATAGTACTTGCCTACTCCGTAATTTATGTAGTAGTGTACTACTACACCTCTGCAAGAAGAAAAAATACTCAGTAGAACTCCCGCCCTTAAAAAATTACCCAAATCCTAAAACAATGTTCATCTCTGAAAACTGAGAAAATCAGGATTCAACTTCGACTATTCAACTCAGAAAATGGGAAATTTGTAGGTAATCCAGTTGATAATTTAAGTTTTTAAGTTTGATTTGGGGTTGCATGCATAGCAATTAGCAATCATATGCTATGAATTTAACTAATTTTACTCTAAATTGCAAAATTAGTAACTATCAATGCATTCTTGTGTTTGCCCAGATTCTTGATGCCATAGTTTAGCCAGGGTACTTCCTTCAATTTTGAATTTTTGCTAAATTTAATTTATTAATTGCACTCCATTCACTTAATTTTTATACGATGCTGCTAATTTTTTTTATGATTAACATCGAATTTTCCTGTGATTTACCCACAATTTTGCTAAATTTGTTTTCTAGGTACCACTTAAAATTCATAATAGTTAGAGTGAGAAAGTGTTGATCTTCTCAAACCTCAGTTCAGTTTGAATTTAAACTGGGTTTATGTTGTTCTTGTATTACTATTATTAGTATTGTTTTTATAAATAAGCAATAGCAATTATTGTTGGAATTTTACGTGTGGAAGTAGTAGTGGGTTTTTGGTTTAGAGATGGATTTATGCTTGGGAGACAAAAAGAGAGAGTGATAATATGATGATTTTATTTGATGTGTTTGATTATTATTGATCTCAACATGTTACATGTCATGGTATTTATAGATGTCTTACAACTCTCTAGAGATTTCTAGCTTAGGTTAGTCTAGATTTTTCTAAGATATTTTCTCCCAGATTTTTCTTAGATAGCTTCTACATACTTTAGATATTTTTACATAATACTTCCTACATTTTTCAAGACTATCCTTTAGATATTTATTTTACAAAATATTCTAGGTTTTTCTACAAACACGAGACTCGACATTGTTCATGCAGTCAGCATCATTTCAAGGTTTATGAGTGAGCCAAGCAAAGCTCACTTAGCAGCAGCAAAAAGGATTATCTGGTATATCAAAGGAACGAAAAGCCATGGAATCATGTACAGGTCCGAAATCGACTACAAACTCGCAGGTTACACAGACAGTGACTGGCTGGAAGCATCAATGATAGAAGAAGCACGAGTGGGTACGTGTTCTAGTTAGGATCCAAGTTTGTTTCATGGTCATCAAAGAAACAAGCAATAGTAGCACTATCTTCATCGGAAGCAGCTACAAGCGCGGCATGTGAAGCAGTGTGGCTAAGGAGAATTCTAAAAGATCTACAACAAGGCACAGAAGATCCAACCACCATCTACTGTGACAATATGTCAGCCATAGCAATGACAAAGAATCCAGTCTTCCATAGTCGTACAAAGCATATCGAGATACGAAACCACTTCATCAGAGAGTTGGTAGAAAAACAAGAGATCGAGCTACGATTCTGCAAGAAAGGAGAGCAACTCGCAGATATCTTTATCAAGGCACTTCCAACGGATAAATTCTTCCATTTTTCGAAGAAAACTCGGTGTTCAAGTTTTTCAAGATTAAGGGAGAGTGTTAAAAATTATTAATCTAGAAACATCTAGATGTGGTATGAAAAATCTAGTGTGTAGATTAGAAAAATCTAGAATGAAGTAGGAAAATCAAGAGAGGTTTAGAAATATCTCGTAAAATATCTAAGATGAGTGATGTAGAAAAATCTAGATACATGTAATATGAGATAAGTGTAGAAAAATCTAGAAAGTGGAAAACACCACTATAAATATGTTATGTGTGCTTGAGTAAGAAGTGAGCTAATCATGAGCTCCACCAATGGTTGATAGAAATTAAGGGTTCTATCAAGAGAGTGACAGACGTGATCTCTCACAAACATGTTTGTACAATTTATGATGAAGTTTATGAAATCATAAAATTGTTATATGATATTTGGGTCCATTAAACTTCCGCGTATGCCCAAATTCTATCAATTATAGCTTACAATCCTGCACTATAGCAACTGGGGAAGGGGTAGGTATCAAACCCGGGCCGAGACCCTTGGAACTGAAGGTGTCCCCTAAGTCTCGATTGAGCAACCATGGTTGCTTTGTTCTTGCATTAGTAGTAATATCAAATTATGTATTGAACCTTTCATTATTTTTTAAAGCTGCAATCACTTCAAAGCAAGTCTTTACCTCTAACGGCTTGATACCATGGAAAAATAATCGCAGTAATGATCGGGTTGTCGCAGAAGCGGCTTATGGCAGATGAATTGAACGGGATCACCGTCAACGTGGCGTGAATTTTTTCAAGATAGTTACATCAATGGGTTTTAGCTTCATTTACAATTTTTTAGTTTTAGAAACATTCCTTTACCAACCAGGATATAAATAACCTATACCAATATATTTGTGTGTGTGTGTTTATTTTTCTTAATCTAATGTAAGAAATCTAAGAATAATTGTGTAAAACAGCTTGTTTGATGAACTGTACAATTTAGTTATAAAAATATTTTTGACAAAAGAACATACATCACGGGAATATATGTTCTAACATGGTGAGTTACTGTCATGTATCAGTCGACACCACAAGAAATATGAAATCATTACCATGGTATTTGGAACAGGCTTTCTCGGAATGGTAGCTTCAAAATCCATTATAGAATGGCCAAATTTCCATGCTTGAGATCCATTCCTTCATGTATCCCCCCCTCCCTTTTTTTTTTCTTCTAAATCTATGTATCCATGTAACTATAGCACATGCTAAACATCAGCTCTTTTGTCACGCTTATTAACAGGCTTCAGCAATTGACAGTTTTGACTTGTTGTATAAGATAAGTTGGCTAAACTGATTGGGGGTAGCTCAACATGTTGTCAAAAACTTGTAAGTCATCTCTTTTCTTTATTCTGTTTCATCTGCATTTGCTGTAAAGAAAAGAAGGTAAAGGGTTAGAGGAGAACAACTTAAAATAATGAATTTGTTGCTGTTGCAGGATGTGAAGAACATATGTTTTTGATTATTTACCTCTTGATGATGTTGTGGATGAGGGGGCCTTTGTGCTGCTCGGAATTGAATTAGAGGCATCGCTCTGCAATTTTTTTTTTTTGTTAGAATATTTGCTAATAACATCACATTCACAAGAACAGAAATCAATAGCACTTACCCTCCACCGAGCTTTGAAGTAAGTGGGTATAAAATGTCCCTTTCCAATGTAGTCAAGGATTCAACATATAAGAATTTTGAGTATTGAATTACTTTCACCGTTGTCCCAAGTTCTACTCACTTTCTGTTTCATCCGTATTTCTAATCTCTACTCTTTACTTTATCCCTAATATGGTAATCTTTTATTAGTTTTTTTTTAAACTGCATGTATATCTTAGTGATTTGTAAAGTAGCACACAACCATTATATTTCAGATAAAAGGATGATGGAATTTAGCTTCTTGATTGTCTAGGGGTTAAGTGTGTATATCTGACCATCTTATTCTGCCAAGGGTAGGTTAAGAGGCATTGAGTAGCTATGATGTGGTAAGTAGTAAGTGGGAACAGATATATTTACTTTCAGTTCACCTGACACATAATATTGGGGTGATGTCCTATCTAAAATTCTAGTTTCAATTTGCAGCTAATTATATAGAGATGGACAATGAAACATATGCTATCTAAATAATGAACATTTCAAATATAAACGACTGTAATATGCTCCGAGGCTTGTCTCCACTGTCCAAGGTTCTCTGAGAGAATTTGTGGAAGAATGTATATGGTTCAATTTGTATTATTAATAGTCCAGCCAATCAGATTTTGGTTTTTTCGGTCAAATTTTCACAGTTGCATGTTTACTATTACTGCATTTTGTTTAAGGGGAAAAAAAATCTATTATTCCTTTCCTGATCATGTTGTAGCTTCTAGGAAGGCCTTGACAGTTATTTTTCTAGAAGCCATAATGTTTATGTAATTTTTTCAGCCTTTCAGCATTCTTGCTATTAAAACTGAAAAGGTTTCCTTAATGCTGACCTGTGACATGGATGTCTGGCTGTGGATAGGGGAAGGTTCTGGTGTGGCAACGAACATGAATTGATGTGCTCTTTCGTCAGCAAAGTCTCTCAACCTCTCTAACTCTGGCAATACAACTTTCTCAAGATCTGGTCTGTCTTTCCTCCTCAACTCAGCACATTGTATAGCTACCTTTGCCAGACTTAAGGCTTCCTCCACCGGCCAATCAGGTACCGACTGATCCAGTATATCAGCAAATGTTCCCTTCTCAATGTAATGTTCCACTTGGTGAGCCAAACCCATGGGTGGCTTAGCAGTTAGCAGTTGGAGAAGCACAATCCCTAGTGAATAGACGTCTGATTTAACGCCAAGCATTCCACTTTGCTGATACTCTGGATCGATGTAGCAGAAAGTCCCGGCAGCTGATGTCTTGCAATATTGTGTTATGTGATCAGCAACGGACGGGGGCACCAGCCTTGCCAATCCAACATCTCCAATCTTAGCAACATAATACTTATCCAGAAGTATATTCCCTGGTTTTAGGTCACGATGAACTAGCGGTTCTGGCTTTGTCTGATGGAGGAAATTCAGTCCTGTTGCAATGTCTGCTGCAATTCGGAACCTAACTTGCCAAGTAAGGGGTTGGGTTTTCCCTCGACGAAACAGACGGTCATCTAAACTACCGTTGGCCATGTATTCATAAACAATGCAACCATATTCTGGGCATGCTCCTAGTAGAAGAACCATATTGGGATGCCTGATGCAGCTCAGTACTTCAACCTGCAACATATTCAAGGTAAAAAAAAATGACGTGCTGGATTTTACATTTGAATGGGTTTATAAATTTTAAAAGTCTTGCATTTGGTGTTACAAAAGTTCAGTTTAAGTTTGGTTTGGATAACTGAACTCTTCATGTGTTCGTGAGATAGGGAAATGCGTTGCACTGAATTTAGTAGACAGAAGAGAACTAGTGTTTTTTTAAGGTTTTGGTAATTTTTTTCCCATACAATTGAAATTATGTTTAAATGTTTTATTCAAGGGCGGTTTTTTCCTTTAATAAATTTTTAATGTTCCACAATATGTAGTTTAAAAACTAAAACACAAATCTATCAACATCTTTTCAGCTTCTGATCATAATTTCTCTTAAGCACAAAATGTTTTGTCTCTGCCTTGTAAAATGTTTTTTCTCTGCCTTGTAAAATGTTATGAAGCCGTTAAAGCAGTAACATTACTCATTTCTATGATGAGAGAATGACGAGACCATGGGGAAACTCGGAAAGCCTTGAACATGCTCAAGGCAGGGGATTTTATAAGGCATTGGGGCAATGATATGATAGGTGTAGAATTTGATGTATAAATGCTAAAGATTGTCAAATATATGACCCTTTGACTCTGTTGACATGTACTGATGGTATATCAGTTGGACATCCAAAGAAGGGAAACATTTAGATAAACAAAAGCTTTTGCATGCATTGAGTGTACAGTAAATTTAATGTAGTTATTGTATATCAAAAGTTACCCACATTATCACAAAAGTTACCCTTAGTTCCATAAAAGTTAACCTTTTTACCCAGTTACTTTTTTTCTCACAAAATAACCCTTAAACTATCAAAAGTTACCCATATTACCCATTTACTTTTATTCTCACAAAATTATCCTTAAACTATCAAAAGTTACCCATAAACTACCATAAACTATCAAAAGTTATTCATAGTGTCGCAAAAGTTACCCATATTTCTTTTCTTTTTCTTCCCGCCACACAGTAACCCGGTTTTTTTAAAAACATTTGTCTTAGATAAAATAATATCAAAGTCAGTTGGAGTTGAGGCTTCTTTTTGAAGTAAAGGAAGCAAGCATCATTGTCATCATAATCCTTTTCCACAAGTCATCATCAGTAAACAAATTAAGTCATTCTCAGGTGAATAAAGTGTACTAAGATGGTTATCCATGATTTTCTCCCCAGCATTGGTTAAAATCTATCTGGTGCATGTGCAATCAGGTTGTCACAGGTTATTCTAATTTCTTTGTCTACAACACTTAATGGAAGATTGCAAAACACTAGCCTCTGATATAGGGACTCATATTTTACTAAAGTAACAAATACTTCTATATGTATTACCTCTTGCTGGAACTGCGTTCTTCCTTGAGCGGCATCTGGACGTAGAACTTTCACTGCAACTCTTGTATGATCAAGATAACACTTAAATACAGGTCCATAGCCTCCTTCTCCAACCTTGAGAGATGCAGAGAATTTATCCGTCGCTGTTTCAATTTCTTCAATGGTGTACCTCTTGTAACTTAAGGCACTATGAGTTGGTCTGTATTCTGTGTTTCCTGCAGTTAGTTTTCTTTCTTCCTGCAGTGCTGCTTCCCTTTCTGATCTTTTTCTCTCAGCAAGCACCATTGCAACTTCCTCAGGAGTTCCTGCTTCTTGCAATTTTTTGTCTTCTTCTAGCCTCCATCGGTGGAGCTCCATTGCCTGCACTTGTTTGACATTCTAACTATCAATTGCCAGATATGTGGAATTATTTGTAAAATGATCCTTGAGAACATATCTTTATTTTGGGACAAAGGGGTTGGGGGTCTGTGTGTTAGTATAAAACGCACTTGTTGTCTTTCTCTCTCTTTTGCAAAAACTGCTTCTTTGCAGGCTTCACCATACATGTGCATGGTTTGCTTCAGCTCAAGCTTTAACCTCCTCATCTCAGCATCCGTATCTTCCTGTGTTTACGTGAACAGAATTCATATTATTGCAAATGATTTACCAAAAAAAAACATGCAAATAAGCATAGAAGGCATTGGCACATGGTTTGTATTCTGTACATGAGTGGAGAAACCGGTTAACAATACTTGCAAGATACATAAAAGTCTGCTGCCTTTGTTGGGAAGAGAATATGGAAGGATATTTTAGAACTAAACAACCTAGTTATTTTATCAGTTGCATTTTTGCACCTGCTCTTTTTTCTACCAAAAGATTCACCTTTCAAAAAAAAAAAAAAAAAAAAACACTTTGTTGGCTGATTACTTCATCCCATATTTCCTTCTCACAAATGCTATTGACAATATTTCTAGGTTCCCTGGTGGGCAGCTGTTTGATATTAAGTGACAGTACTTCATGGTAATATTCGCTATTTGTGTAAAATATATATTTATGATAATACGCTATTTGATATTAAGTGACAGTACTTCATGTTTTGCTGCGATTGGAGATGCTGTCCATTGATATGTCAATTGAAGTAAAAAAATACTTACACTATGCTGTGAAGAAACTGAAGTCCATCCACTGTCTTGCGATGAGTATGAAATTTCACGCCTTAGGTTAGTATCATTCATCCTTTGTCCGCCCCTAGAAGACCCATAACTGTAATCTAAAGTAGAAGAAAATCTTGGTGTACGTGTTATATCCATGTAGTCATATTGCATAGAAAGGCGGTCCACACTTGTTCTGTCAGAGCTCACGAAGGATATATCTGTTTCACTTTCTGGAAATTCACTCAACATCAGCCTTTCATTCCATCTGTCTAACCTGATACAACATTTGTTAGACATGAATCAATATCATCAAAATAATTCTGTACTGTTGAATGGATGAGAATATTGGATACGGATGCTGAGATTTAATTAGTATTAGAAAACTGATCGCGTTTTTGTATGCTTATATTCTACCTTTGAAGTCTGTGAAACATGATTTTTTTGCCTCATGTTTCATCATATTTAAGCTTTTATGCAAAGAAAATACCAATATCTAGTATCTAAGGAATATTGACACTACACTATTGACAAACAGAAATTGAGCTTCCCCTGCTGGTGGATGTACCTCAAGTCTTTTTCTTCTCTTGGAGGTGTGAATGAAGGCCTATCCCCTGCTTGCACAGAATTCAGGTATTACTACTTTGAGTTGAAGAAACATTAAGTAATATATTAGGACAATGGAAATAAAGAAACCTCTAATGCTCATACTACGTCGTGGCGGTGTTGAAACAGGTGTGGAGACATTTGGTTTGTCTTTGACTATGTTTTCTATGTAGCTCTGAAGAGGGGACATGTGTGGAACTGGTCGTGATGCATTGCGTACACTTGACATCTTTGCCTTGGAGATTACATAAACAGTGCAGAAATCAGGTGCTCCTCTTGCCACCATACTTGGTATATCTGCACTCTTGAATTTTCTGTGTCATCATAAAATAAATGTTTAGCAATCAATGTCTATCAGACAAATATATTTCTTCACATAATTTTTAGTGCTTGCTTTGATATGTGATGCCAAACTAAAAAGGTTTCAAGTATATTTCTATTACTGCTGGGTAAAATTCAACAAGATCAGGGAATTGCTCTTTTTGTCTATACAATTTATTCTTTTTTGATATGCCATCTGCCTGAAACATTTTACTGTGTGGTTCTCATAGAGCACTATTTACTGCAATTTCTGTGAAGTTAGCTGTCATACATACTTACATAGATCCATTCTTGTTTGTGATAAACGAATAGATAAGCTAATGTGTATTGGTACTTATCAAAGGGCATTGTCTTTTTGTCTGGAGTTATCACCTGATGAATCCACCTTTTGAAGCACCAAGGACCAAATTCTCAATGGCAGCATAATTTGCGTATTCTATTAGAGCCCTGCCTACATCGTTATCTTTGAGCGTGACATCTATGCAGCGTATCTGACCAAGTGCAGAAAAGAAGCCAGTTTAGTAAGCACTTTAACAAATACCAAAAAGCAAAAAGAGTAATAGTGATATAATTATGACAACTAGCTTATGTGTTTTCAGGTTTTGTTCATAGATCCTGTCAAGATGTATGAGATTAACTTGTACTTGTTAGTTTATATTGATCTTGCTCCTGATCTTTGCACTTCTTTTGTCTAGATCTTGCTGACTTATCTAGTGTGGTTAATTCTAGCTAGTGTGATTAAGTGTTGATAGCTACATGGTAATAGTATGATTAAGAAAACATACATCCTTGCGAGTACAAAAGCAGCGAAATGTGAGGAACAGGTCCTTAGTCTTCCTGTCAACTTGTTGATAGTTTGGTGATGTGCCTGGACTTGATGTTGATACAATGGCAGAACTGCCCGCTGCAAGCAACAAAGAAATTATGATTACATCTTGGTGATATTTTACACTATGATATTTTACGCTGTTATTGGTTGTTATTCATATAATATCTGGCTGAAGGTTCATACTCATGATAATAAAATTTTTGCTTCTTATGAATATCCAAAGAATAATTCTGCATACATATAGTAGTTTTATTTATTTATTTTTGGAAGGATATTGTATCTTGATCAGATGGTCATGAAAAAAAAATGTGAGCAAAGCCTTATTTTTATTATGTTAATGTAATTAACTTTGCATGTTATACCAAGACATATTGTTACTTGGACATAAGTTTTCTTTTATTTACACTTACGGTATGGACACATGGTTGAATTTGAATTTAATATGAGCTGAGTTTAGAAAATTTTTAGGGTGGAAATTTATGTAACTTTTTACTATGTAATTCATTTTAGAAAAAATTCCCGGCCACTAGCTAAAATGATTTATAAAAATTGTACAAGAATATTTTATTTTTTAAAAAAAACACCTTTCTTTGATTAAAACATAATCATCAATATAATCTATCTTGAAATAAAGGAGAAAAGCTTAAAAATTTCAAATGAATGGACGGAGAATAATTTTTTGGTTGGCTTATTGTTATTTTACAAAATTAACAAATTCAACTCCGTATAAATTCTTAACAAATCATCTACAATGATTTGACTCCTAATCTAAAAGGCGGAATTCCACGGCCTAATCTTGAAATTATTATGATTAGTAATATCTGTGATAATACAAGTAAATGGAAATGAAGAGAAGGAGTTGGGGATGGAACCTGCACGAGAAGAGTCAGAGGAAACGTGTATCAGGACAACCGGCCGACCTCGACCAAGAAGGTGGTCAGTGGCCCATCTGATGGCATATTGGCTGCCTTTATCCTTGTCTATTGCCACAGCCACCAGCCCGCGGTCCTCTGCTTTCTTTCCTGCATTCACTTTCGATCCCCACATTGCAAATCCTTCCTCCTTTCTGTACTTTTGTCTATCTTTTTTTTTTTTTTTTTTTTTTCCTTTTCACCTCCTTTTCTTTCTCTGTTAATTAATCTCATGCATGCAAATGCATGCATAATGATCTAAACTCAAATTTGGCCTCATGTTATTCCTGGTTGTTTTCTAATTCTCTACATTATTTTTGAGAAAGAGATGAAAGAGAAAATTATCCACCTTAATTTCCTCGAGTCAATGTGCTTCAACTTTTTCTTTCCCTTATTTCTTTTATTTTTTTGCTTTCTTGGGCATCCAGTTTTTCCCACCCTTATATGTTGTGCTTATATTTAGCTAAAATCTACTATATCCCATGATGAAAGGGGGGATATCTAAAAAGTCAAACATAAGAAGAGAAAATCAGAATATTCTTAATAATATTAGTGAAAACTCTGATATTACTTTTCCACGTTATTTATGTTCGTATTCCGGTACATGTTAAAGATTGAATTTTTATTATTTATAAGGACTATTCTACATGCATTTATATACGAGTATTTGTTTAGTAGAAGAGAAAATACAAGGATTATTTTATTATAAATAGCTAGTTAAGTTAGTTGAAATGTATTTTCATTGTCTAATATTGCAATGAATCTATTTATTTTAGTAATGAATAGTTGGCTAAGTTGGAAGAATTGGTTAGTATAGGTTTCCAATTTATTTCAAAACATAATGTCTATTATAAAATGTTATGTTAGGCTCAATGTATATTATAAAAAATCAATTGAGTGATACATAATTTAATATACTAATGGTCAAGTTATGCATTGACAAACATGCAATTGTTGCAAGCTACTCTGTATAAAGAATGGCTGAAGTGCTGCATATTAATTGTATTTTTGTCTTTTGAGGTCAAACAATATTAATGAGAAAGAAAGTCTTGCCATGTTACAAGAATACTAGCAGGTATAATGAATATGAATTACCAATGCAGGGCCCTTTCGTTGGTGGACATTTGATCGTAAAGTGAAGGTGGTGTTATTCCATGAGGTTTTGGGTCTAGTTTGCAACAAGTGAAAGTTCGAATGAATTGCTTCATTGATAGTCTTGCGGTGAGAACTTTTGTTCCTTTTGATTTGATTTCTACCCTATATATTGAGTAGCTGTCTCATTATACTCAAGTTGTTTTTTTTTTTTTATTTTTTTTTTATGGGTTGTTTATCATACCGTAATTTTAGAAACTTTCAATATCTCTAATGAGGTTCCTACCTAAAGTAAGATGAAAGAGGGGGGAGGGATGTTTAAAAAATCTCTTTGGTGAAATCAATTTGAAGAGTAAAACAAAAAAAACGAAGAAACAAGTTCAAGAATTTATACAAGTTTTATAATTGTCTAAGTTTTGACCAAAATGCCTATAAAAAAAAGTGACCTTTGATACATTCTCTAATTGACAATTGACGGGGAAAGATAAATAAAAAGGATTTTAAATGAGCTCGTCTGTCTCTTTGATCTCTTGAATCTTTTGAACAGCCTCTTTTATGCTCCATCTTACATCTACATTCTCATGGCAACAACCAAACCCAATCTTCAAAAGTTTGTTCATTTGAACCTTGCTGAAACGAGTACCTCCCATCCCTTTATCAAACACGTCTACTCCCTTTTCCTCTTCATTAACTATATCATTTACCCAGGCCACTAGGTTTTCACCCTTGACATTTCCGACAGCAAGGAAGTTGGTCGGGAATTTCCCAGTTAGCACTTCCAGTATAAGAATGCCAAGGCTCCAAACATCAGTTTTCTTTGTAAGACGGCCAAGGTGAGCATATTCTGGTGACTTGTAGGCAACCATGAGCTGTTTAGCATGCTCTGCGTTGATCAAAGGTTTGAGGGCGTAGTCCATGAGAAGGGGTTCATATGAATAATCGAGAAGTACATTCGATGATTTGAGATATCCATGGGGCACTATTAAGCTTGGGAGCTCACTGTAAAGGTAAGCCAACCCCCTTGCTACTCCTTTGATAATCTTCAACCGCATTGGCCAATCAAATACTTCATCCTTCGTAGTATGTTTTCCTGAAACACACTACATTATGTTTAAAAATCTTCTTATGCATGCATTAATGTTTCCTCTTCTAGGAATAGTAATGAAAGGCGGCAATTTAGGCTGAGGGAGCCCCAGTTTCTCATATTGAGAAACATTTTTGTTTCTCACACAACATTTTTGTAAATAAACAAACAACTTTATTCAATTGTGAAGCCCACCATAATGAAAAAGTTGTTGATTTATTAACGAAAATGCCCCCATGAGAAACAAATTTCGTTTCTCGCTATGAGAAACAGGGAATTTCCCATTTAGGCTTTGGAAGAAGCAATATATATTAACCATTTGGGATTTGATTTAATGATGCTCCATGTGTTATAAAAGTTGAATTTATGTCTCTCAAAGAAAGGGAGGGGTTACTTACCATGAAGGTGACTAGCCAAGCTTCCGTTGTCAACAAAGTCAAAGATAAGAAGCTTCTCTTCTTTTCTATAGTAACATGCAACTAAAGCTAGCACATTTGGATGTCTTAACTTGCCCATTTTCCAAATGTGCTCATGAAATTCATCCCTTCTCACTCTGCTCATCTGCCTAAACCTCTTCACCACCAAGAGCTCTCCTGCAAATACCTCCACCTTGTAGGAAGACTCAAAATTTCCGCTCTCCAACACCTCTGCTGATGCAGTTAACAGTTCAGAGAGGTCAAACTTTTTCCTGTCATCTCTCACGAAATCTAGCTTCCCTGGTTCCGATCGCTTCTTTATGGTTCTTGGGCGCTCCTCGTTTGGTGTCATGTGTGTATCTACAAAATGGTTGCCATGTTGAGATGGCAAACTATCTAGTTTCTCTAGCTTTGCCTTGCGTTTCCTCTGATATACTATTAGGATGGTCGCTGCCAAGATCACTAGTGCAAGTAGTACAACTAGCACAATAATAGTGGCTTTACTTGATGAATTGGCTATGTTTTTAAGTACTGTACCCCCTGTATTACCTGTGCATGGCTTAAGAGGGGCCCCACACAGTCCCTGGTTGCCTGCATTGATTTGTAAGGAAAAGTATAAATTTGACATTTTCTAAGTATCGCAACAAACATTGGTACATTGGTAGGCGACTAGGCGGTAATATATGGTCACAATGGTTGTATGAGAATTTCTAAGAAAGTTTATTCCAATGTCCATGGCAATACCTTTTCTTTTGCTGCGAATGTATGAATTGAAGAAAAACATTTACTTGAGTGTAGAATTGCATTACCATGGACTTTAGCATTAGATATATAATTACACACTAACATATTACCATTATCAGTGCTGGCATTACAGCCTAATTTAATTTTATGGTGTAAAACGTGTTTTACCTGAAAAGAGCTTTGGATTGAGGTGCATGAGTCTTGCAGGTATCGGACCCTCCAATTGGTTGTTAGCCATATTGATGCTTGGCAAGATTTTTTGATGAAATTCCGGGATGGTGCCTTGGAATTGGTTGCCATCTAGTTTCAGCTCAACAAGGATGGGTAGCGAGGTGAGAGATGATGGTATCTTGCCGGTGAAGGCATTGTTTGCCAGGATTATCCTCCTCAAAGCATCCATTCCAGCAAAGGCATCGTCAGGAATATCACCAGAAAATTTATTGTTAGACAGGTAAACGGATCTCAGTTTAGGCAGACGACGAAAATCTGGGATTGGACCCTCAAACTCGTTATTTTTAAAGCTCAGGGTCCTTAGCTCAGGCAATTGAGAAATCGCATCAATATCAATGGTGCCGCCTAGACCCATATTTTCCAGCTTTAATCCCCATATTTTGCCATGTTCACAGATGACGCCAATCCATTTTTTATCTGAGCACGGAGCATTAGAAGGGTTCCAGTTGGAAATAGCCTCCATATTCGTGAGAGATGACTTGAGCTTTAGCAAGGCCTCATCCTCTGTGAGTCCTGATACCGGTGTTCCTATGCCCGTTATTGCTAATAGAGATAGAATATGGAAGAGGTGGGAACTCGGCGATGGTGGGCGCACAAGCGGAGCAAATGCATGCGCGCCCATCACCAGTTTTAGGAATATATATTTATGTTGATACGTCAAGGTAGATAGATAGTAATGCCGTTTGTAATATATTTCCTTTCACGCCGGACGGCTAAATTTGGTTTTTATTTGTTAGTTTTATCATCTTGCATGTTGTATCTTCATCTTCAATCTCTTTCCCCTTCGTCTTTCATGGAGATTATGCAGAGGATACACAAATGTAATGCCAAAAATAGGAGGTGTGGTTTTGAAATTTAAAATTAAAAAAGTAACGAAAATAAAACTATAATAGGGGGAGGTTTTGGAGGGTTTTTGGAGGTGTTTAGAGGGGAGAGATAGGGCGGTAATGTCTCCGTTGGCTTTACGAACTGTGAACTTGGCGGTTGATTTCGGGTTTTGGGGAAGAAGAAACTGGGATATCAGCTGTGCATTTCGGGTTTTGGGGTGTTGGGAGGAGAAGAATCTGGGATATGAGCTATATTGAGGCCGAGAAGAATGGCCAACCTTTGAATCAAAAAACACAGTTTTCCTTTCTTTTTGCATTCTATTAATAGTTTTGCCAACTTCTACGAAATAAGAGTTTTGTAAAATTTATGCATGAGGATTCATATGTCTAAAAGAAGTTGAATATCAGCATCTGTAAGTTGGTTTTTTTTATCTCTTACTATTTTTCTACGCAGTGATCTGCATTCGTCACTCATGAGGAGGGACATCTAATGTAATTTTTCCTTACATTACCGAAGAAAAAAAAAGGGGGAGATGTACATATAATTGTATTGTACTCTGTTCTAATTACTCGGTAGTTTTTGTATTGTCTATTCTCATTATTTAATAGAAATCGTATAGTTGTTTATTAAATTTTGAATTGCTTATAATTGGGAGACAAAACATTTTTTATGAAGACAATTTTGCATTTTTCTTTGTTTGATTTGTAAAAGCTTAAAATGAGTTTCTTAAATACAGCATAAACCCTACATGTTTTCCTTTATAAACCCCCCAAAATTACACGTAAAAATAAACGGAGGTAGTAATAAGGTTGGAGATTTGATTCTCACTGTCAATCTTATATTGATTGTTTATGCGATTGTTTGCATCAAAGTAAGATGCTTGCCTGCTCGGTTATCAATCTAAATGATTGAGTTTTCCTTCATAGGAATGTATAATGTCTAAATGAAGCTAATTAGATTTCAATTTTGTACAAATAAATACAAGTATATATACAAGTTTGGTGTTATTGCCATGAAATAGACAACCTTTCTATGGGCCGTTAGTATAAAAAGGTCACTTCAGATTACTAAGAAAGCCCAAGAACGGGACATGACAAAGGATGTAAATGTTAAAGAGTATTCCGCCGGCGAGTAAGTTTTTTTTTTTTTTTTTTTTTTGAAAGGAGGCGAGTAAGTTATTTGAAAAAGGAATAATTTTTAGTGAGTTATTTACTTATTTGTACGAGATACAAGTGAAAAAAAATACTACATAAAGAGAAACATGGATGAAAAAAAATATAGGCAAACGCTAACAAACACTCTTGGAGTGTTGGATAAGATAACTAAAAGTAGATAATTAAAAAAACAGCCAAAAGTTAATGAACGTCCCGAAAGTGTTGGGTAAGTGTTATTTATTTTTCATTCAAGGTTATTAAACAATTTATGTATTCAATTTTATTTTATTTTTATTTATTTTTGTTTTGTTGTCAAAGTATGAGACATTTGTAGTCCACCACTCAGGTTACGTTGTTAATCATGGCTCCGCAACTGCTCCATCTTAACCACTAAGCCAAGTTCTTATTAGTTTGATTTCTTTTTGGTATAAAGAAAACGCATACGAAATATCGATAATAATGTTTATACTACCTAGTTAGCTAGGGGAGGATCCTCCTTAACTAGGACTTAAATTTGTCTAAAGGATTATTTTATCACTTCCAAATAATGAGAGACTTGGTTGTTTAGGTCCAACAATATAGATTAGTTTTTAACAAGGGAAATTAATGAGCCAAACCATTCCCATATTCTTTGTCTTGTGTGTATTAGATGCATAATATATACGTACTTTGTAAAAAAAAAAAAAATGTATATTAGACCATTAAAATACTGTTCGGATGCGCTTAAGAAGTTAAGATTCTATAGAATCGGGTGTACACGAGATTTTGTGTATAAAAAAAAATGCTACTGTCATGAATCATGATTCATTGCTAATTAGTCTCAAACTAATATGCTACTCCTAATCAAAAAGGAATTTTTTAATAAGTCCACTAATTTCTCATCATTGACCAAAAATCCAATATAGACTCTTGTGCTCGAGGCTCACGTGGAACATTTTGCATTTTCACGCCCCCACCTTTATTTTATATAAAAAGTCACACAAGTAGGGTTGTAATTGATAAAAAAAAAATTACTATGTATATAAATACTAGGTTAAAATCCCGTGTAATGTACGGTTGTTAAATATTTTTGACAATAATATTACAAAATATAAAGTATATAAAAGATATTCAGAAATATTTTATTTGGGTATATATGGAATATGATTGTCAAAGTGGAAAGAAAATATCATAAGGTATAAATAGTTTACTTAAAAAAAAAAAACCAAAATGACAGGAAAATTTTTCAGAAGATAATGACAAGTGTCATGGAAGGATTTGCTTTTAATATAGGTTAATAGATTATCATAATACAAAGTAAAGTAAAAGTGAGTAGCAATTACAAATACGAATAGTATCAAAAAGTGAACAGATCTTAGCTTAGAAAAACGGAGAAACTAAAAATTATTATTGCACTATCTTTTTCTTCAATGTATAATTCTCCAACAAACTCCACTTACACAATATTTTATTTCATTTAACCCACCTTCTGAGATCTATCAAACCGATGAACTTACAAATAAAAAAGAGGAAGCATATATTAATATGTTGGTAAAATATATCAACCAACCTTTTAAATAAATTCTTAGTACTGTAATACTATATATGAAGTATATTACTTCATTTTTTTAGTTGATACGTATTTTTAATCTCGTTCACATGTCAAAACACAAGTTCAACATAACAATTTATATCTCTAATTACCAAAAAGTTGGTATTATAAAAATATACATCGACATGATTCTTACTTGACCATGTTTCACCATAATTATAAATTACAAAAAATAGTCAAAATAAAATTTGTAAAGAGTACGTATTAAAAGTTAAAACGTATCTACTAAAAACAAAAGGTGAGCATATTATATTAACTTCCTTAATTTTTTTTATTTTTATTTTTTCCAATATTGGGTAACTCGTGAAAAATATTTGCTAATGCAGTGATACGTACTAACCGCGAGCACCTAGACAAAAATGTTTGCTAATGCTACTAGCTTTATGTGAAATAATCAAATAATAATAATAACAATGAGATACATTCATCACTTCGCAACTAGACAAATTTTGTTTGCTCAAGCTACTAACCGCGAGCACCTCGTGGGAAGTGGGAACGTCGGATCTGTTTTGCCTTATTTTTCATTCATTCATCAAATAACTAATACGGAGTATTTTAATTTGAGAATATTATATGCAATCGGTCTAACATTTATGACTTTACGTTTTTCAATACTAATGAATATTTTTAATGGATCTTTCTCTTTAATTTATTACTACCACTTTCCGTAACCTTGGCTATTTTGTTGTGATAATTTTAGCTTAGGTTGCGTAAATTCTTCTTCTTCTTTTTTTTTTTTTGACGGGTAGGTTGCGTAAATTCTTACTTGATGAATATCGGTATATTTGTCCTGTAAGTCATTAATCTTATTTAAAATCCTTTATTTTTATTTAATTTGAGAGAAGACAACTCATTTTTTATCAACTACATAGAAAATTGGATGCAGTTATCACCATATAAACATATTTTACTCATATTGATTTCAAAAGGAATTGATTTATCTGATTAAGCGTTGAATGAGCAATAATAACATTAAATGTAACATAGTTTTTTAGGAAAAGTGTACACATACTACGTTTTTTTTGCTTTTTTTTAAGACAAAGATTAAGCTAACAAAATGAAAAGATATACTTTGCATTATATGGAGTAAAATTTTCACTATCTTACTTTTGTACAAAAAAATCAGCATGCATATAGGCACATGTATAATGTAAATTGTAATATATTTTAATAATATTTTATTTTTCCCAACTCCCATATCATCGAGTTACATAATACTTCTATTAGGTAAGATTCGAAGCAAATATATACACACCACACACTACACACTTTATCAATATATAAATAGACACAACCTTCTAAGTATTAGTGAAAATTTAACTCTAAATTAGCTCCATCACCAAAAAAAAAAAAAAAAAAAAAAAAAAAAAAAAAAACAACAATGGAGCTCTTCTTCTTGTGTAGCATAGCCCTTGTTTTCTTCCTATCTCTGCCTTTTCTCTACCTATTCTATAGGCATAATTCGACCCGGGGGTACAAGCTACCCCCAGGGTCGATGGGATGGCCTGTGGTGGGCGAGTCCCTAGAGTTTTTCTCTACCGGGTGGAAGGGATACCCCGAGAAGTTCATCTTTGATAGACTAAAGAAGTACAAACCTAGCCAAGTGTTCAAGACTTCCATCTTTGGAGAACAAGTTGCGATTTTATGTGGCGCGACAGGTAACAAGTTCTTGTACTCGAACGAGAACAAGTTAGTACAAGCTTGGTGGCCTAAATCAGTTGATAAGATCTTTCCTGCTGCCACCCAACATTCCTCCATAGAAGAAGCTAGGACTATGAGGAAGCTTATCCCTCTCTTCCTTAAGCCCGAGTCTTTACAAAGGTACGTAATGTATTCCGATATGTATTCCGATATGTATTAGTATGACTTCAGTAAATTTCAACCTCATTAAAATGTGTTCATCATTTCGTAAATATGGATTGAAGCTACCTAATTAAATCATAAGTACAAATCTATGGTTTAACACATAGGTCATTTTGATATTTTGACATGTACTGATGTACATACATATACTAATATACATGTCGTTCTTAAGAAAACCTAACATTA